CCGGCAGTATCCCCAGGGCGCTGTTGAACTGGAGAGGCCCTGGGGAGATTACTTGTGTTTGGCTGCTGGGGCGCCACTGGCTCTGAAGGGTTATTTGGTGGATTTATTTTGATCCCCAATCACTGTCATAAGTTAGTCCTGGCTGGCTAAGCGTTCCCCACAACCAATGAAGCTATTGTGAATCCTGGGGAGGGCGCCACTAATGGGGTCCGTGGGGCTCTGCCGGCCGTGGGTGCCCCTGGGAGCATCGCACCTGATATGGCAAATGGGGGAGCCCCAGGAGCGCTGCACCTGTAGGGTCCCTGGGGGCAGTTGTTATTGCAATATTTAGGACAATGGGAAATATGAAGTTAAATTAATCACCGCCCATCGCATTTCCAGTATCATCCCATCATGAACAATGTAAAGGAGAATAAATATCCAACAGGAAAACATAAGTTGGGGTGTTGTGCTGGACTGACTGCTCTGTTCTCCTATTGGCTGTTATTTGGTGGATTTTATTTTAGTCCACCAATCACAGTTAAGTAAGGATTGCTGGCCGTATGCAGTATGTACAGCACCACAAACCAAGCAAGCTATAGATCCTGTGAGGGGACGCCTCTAATGGGGTCCGTGGGGTCGCCATGGCCCCTGGAGGACCCTGGGAGCATCGCACCTGATATGGCAATGGGAGAGCCCCAGGAGCGCTGCACCTGTAGTCCCTGGGGGCAGTTGTTATTGCAATATTTAGGACAATGGGAGATATGAAGTTAAATTAATACACCGCCCATCGCATTTGTGCATCATCCCATCATGAACAATGTAAAGGAGAATAAATATCCAACAGGAAAACATAAGTTGGGGTGTGCTGACTGACTGCTCTGTTCTCCTATTGGCTGTTATTTGGTGGATTTTATTTTAGTCCACCAATCACAGTTAAGTAAGTGATTGCTGGCCGGAGCAATATGTACAGCACCCAACCAAGCAAGCTATAGGTATCCTGTGAGGACGCCTCTAATGGGTCCGTGGGGTCGCCATGGCCTGGGGGCCCCTGGGAGCACCCATGGAGGCCGGCGCTGCCTGGGGGGGTTGTGGGGTGGTGTGGGGTTTTGGTGGGTTGTGTTGGGGGGGTCCTGGAGGACCCCTGGGAGCATCGCACCTGATATGGCAAATGGGAGAGCCCCAGGAGCGCTGTACCTGTAGGGCCCTGGGGGCAGTTGTTATTGCAATATTTAGGACAATGGGAAATATAAGTTAAATTAATACCGCCCATCGCATTTCCAGTATCATCCCATGAACAATGTAAAGGAGAATAAATATCCAACAGGAAAACATAAGTAGGGTGTTGTGCTGACTGACTGCTCTGTTCTCCTATTGGCTGTTATTTGGTGGATTTTATTTAGTCCACCAATCACAGTATATGATTGCTGACGTATGCAGTATGTACAACACCACAACCAAGCAAGCTATAGGATCCTGTGAGGGACGCCTCTAATGGGGTCCGTGGGGTCGCCATGGCCCCTGGGAGGACCCCTGGGAGCATCGCACCTGATATGGCAAATGGGAGAGCCCCAGGAGCGCTGCACCTGTAGGGTCCCTGGGGCAGTTGTTATTGCAATATTTAGGACAATGGGAGATATGAAGTTCAATTAATACACCCATCGCATTTGCGTATCATCCCATCATGAACAATGTAAAGGAGAATAAATATCCAACAGGAAAAAATAAGTTGGGGTGTTGTGCTGACTGACTGCTCTGTTCTCCTATTGGCTGTTATTTGGTGGATTTTATTTTAGTCCACCAATCACAGTTAAGTAAGGGATTGCTGGCCGTATGCAATATGTACAGCACCACAACCAAGCAAGCTATAGGGATCCTGTGAGGGGACGCCTCTAATGGGGTCCGTGGGGTCGCATGGTTCCTGGGAGGTCCCCTGGGAGCACTGCTATGGCAGGGAGCCCCTGGGGCGCTGAGCTCTGGGGGGGGCCCAGTTGCGTTTCATTGACACTGGCAGGCATGGGGATCACCGCCACACCCCAAGGCAGTATCCCCATGCTGTTGTCGTGAGAGGAACCTCCACAGGAGAACACTTAAGTTTGGGTGTGGTGCGCCACTGGCTCTGTTAGGGTCATTGGGTGGACTTTGTATTTTAATGCCCCTGGGAGCACTACACCTCAGGTTGGGCTCTGGCGGCGCTATGCTGCCCCAGAAGGCCACTGGAAGCTATAGCGTATGCATCTGTGAGCGACGCCACTCAGTTAGTTCAGGGCGCTAAGCGTTCCTGCAGCACGGTGCCCTGGTGGAGTGCCCCTGGGAGCATCGCACCTGATATGGCAAATGGGAGAACCCCAGGGAGCGCTGCACCTGTAGGGTCCCTGGGGGCAGTTGTTATTGCAATATTTAGGACAATGGGAGATATGAAGTTAAATTAATACACCGCCCATCGCATTTCCAGTATCATCCCATCATGAACAATGTAAAGGAGAATAAATATCCAACAGGAAAACATAAGTTGGGGTGTTGTGCTGACTGACTGCTCTGTTCTCCTATTGGCTGTTATTTGGTGGATTTTATTTTAGTCCACCAATCACAGTTAAGTAAGGGATTGCTGGCCGTATGCAATATGTACAGCACCACAACCAAGCAAGCTATAGGTATCCTGTGAGGGGGACGCCTCTAATAGGGTCCGTGGGGCCCCTGGGAGGGCCCCTGGGAGCACCGACAACCCTGGCAGGGCCCCTGGGGGCTCCACCGACCCTAACAGTGCCCCTGGGAGTGGTGTTGCCTTTGGTAGGGCCTCCGCCCTTGGCAGGGGCCTTAGGGTCACGACTGCCCTTGGGAGGGTCTTTCGGGTTACCGCCGATTTGAGAGGGCCCCTGGGGGCGCTGCCACCTCTGGTAGGGCCCCTAAGTGCGCCGTCGCCCCTGGGGGCGCCACCACCCATGGAATGGCCCCTGGGGGCGCCACTGACCATGGCAGGCCCTGGGGTCCCCGCCACCCTTAAGGAAGGCCCCTGAGGGCGCCGCCTCCCTTGGGAGGGCCCCTAGTAACGTTGCAGCATTTGGGAGGGCCCCTGAGAACGCCACCGCCCCTGGAGGCGCCACTGCCCCTTCAAGACCTGTGGGGACGCCACATCCCCTGGCAGCGCCCCCAGGGGCACTTTCAAGGTCGGTGGAACCCCCAGGAGCCTTCCCAAAGGTGACGGAGCTCCCAGGGGACTTGCCAGAGGCTGTAACACACCCAGGGCCTCTTTCATGGGCTTTGAAACATCCTGAAACCTCCGAGGAGTGACGGCGTCCTAAGTGCCCTCCCAGTGGCAGCGGCATCCTGAGGGGCCATTCCAAAAGTGTCGGAGCCCTGCCAGGGGCTGTGGCACCACCAGGTCCTCTTCCAGGGGCTGTGGCACTCCCAGGGGCGGCAGCGCCCCTCGGGGCCCTTCCAGGGGCGGCAGCGCCCCTCGGGGTCCTTCCAGGGGTGGCGGCGACCCTAGGGGCCTTATTAGAGGCGTCCCCTCACAGGATCCCTATAGCTTGCTTGGTTGTGGTGTCGTACATATTGCATACGTCCAGCAATCACTTACCTAACTGTTATTGGTGGACTAAAATAAAATCCACCAAATAACAGCCAATAGGTGGAGGGACTGGAGACAATGTAGAGGGACTGGAAACTATGTGGAGGGACGAGAGACTGTGTGGAGGGACGGGAGACTGTGTGGAGGGACTGGAGACTATGTGGAGCGACTGGAGAATATGTGGAGGGACTGAAAAGTATTTAGAGGGACTGGAGACTGTGTGGAGACTATGAGGAGGGACTAGAGACTACGTGGCGGGACTGGAGACTTTTGTAACCCTGAAACAGTGTAGCAGGCCTTCTGTTGGTGAGGTAACCACTTATCCAGTGTAACAGCCGACCTCCTATATTCATTTCGGCTACTTTGTACAATATAAGTTGCCCATTGGCAATATCAAATGCAGCTTTTAGGTCAAGAAATATGGTGTATGTCTTTCATCCACATGCACAGTTAGGAATGTGGTGATGCAATTATGTGCACATTTACCATGGGTGAAGCCATTTATGTTAAGAGACATGTGTTCTCTAATTCTATATAAGAGTTTGCCAAGAATCATTCTCTCAAAGGTTTTACACAGGCAGCTAGTTAGTGATATGGGATGAAAAGCATCAGGCTGTCCTGATTTCGGTATTGGTACAACAATACTGCTGGTCCATGATATGGGTAGTTGGCCCTCGGCTGGACTCATATTGTACAATGCCAATAATGGATTTCCCGGCACACGCCTTAGTAGTATAACGATGTTGTAGGTGACTACGTCCTCTCCAGGGGCAGCAGACCTACCTTTGGCGAAGGCAGCGTCAAGTTCCCACTCAGTATATGGAACATCACACTCATCGTGCTGTTTACCCAGCATAAAGTTAATAAGATTACTTCTCTCTACAGACTTCGCATCAAGGAGTCCTCGAGTCCTAGTTGGTAACATGTCATAGCTAGACACATGAGCCCACTTTGTTATTAGTGCATTCGAATTTGCAGGAGGTTTGGATAGGAGACATGTCTACTGTTTTTACTTCTGATAGTGTTTATGTCTGTCCAGGCTTTGCTGAGGGATGAGTGTTGGCTCAGGCTGTTGACATATGTCTCCCATGCATCTTGTCTGAGTTCGTTTACACGTTCCCTGGCAACAGCAAGGGAGGCTTAATACAATCGTAGCATTTGAAGTGTTCTAATTTGTTTGTAACCGTTACCCACCCTCCTGACTCTAGCCCCGAGTTTGTTTTCAGTTAAGGGTCATCATAGCACTGCTGTTGCCTGCTCACAAGATGCTGACCATGTTTTCTCCTTTTTTTGGTGGAAACATTGTTGGTGAAGTATGTATAACTATCAGATCATCATGGGGACTTTAGTAGTTGTCAGGCTTGTAATCATTGTACCAGTCATGGATGAAGTCTAAGAACTGGCTGTCATGTTCTTGGTTGACTGTGAGTCTACGAATGTTAAGTTTAGTATGTGGAGGGACTGGAGACTGTGTGGAGGGACTGGAGACTGTGTGAAGGGACTGGAGACCGTGTGGAAGGACTGGAAACTGTGTGGAGGGACTGGAGACTGTGTGGAGGGACTGAAGACTGTGTGGAAGGACTGGAGACTGTGTGGAGGGACTGGAGACTGTGTGGAAGGACTGGGGACTGTGTGGAAGGACTGGAGACTGTGTGGAAGGACTGGAAGCTGTGTGGAGGGACTGGAGACTGTGGAGGGACTGGAGACTGTGTGGAAGGAACTGGAAACTGTGGGGAGGGACTGGGACTGTGTGGGAGGGACTGGAGACTGTGTGGAGGGACTGGAGACTGTGTGGAGGGACTGGAGGCTGTGGAAGGACTGGAAACTGCATGTGGAGGGACTGGGGACTGTGTGGAGGGACTGGAGACTGTGTGGAGGGACTGGAACTGTGTGGAGGGGACTGGAGACTGTGTGGGAGGACTGGGGACTGTGGAGAGGGACTGGGACTGTGTGGAAGGACTGGGGACTGTGTGGAGGGATTGGAGACTGTGTGGGAGGACTGGAAATGTGTGGAGGACTGGAGACTGTGTGGAGGACTGGAGACTGTGTGGAGGACTGGAAACTGTGTGGAAGGGACTGGAGACTGCGTGGAGGACTGGTGACTGTGGAGAGACTGGAGCTGTGTGGAAGGACTGGAAGCTGTGTGGAGGCACTGGGGACTGTGTGGAGAGGGACTGGAAGCTATGTGGGGACTGGGGAGCTGTGTGGAAGGACTGGAGACTGTGTGGAAGGACTGGAAGCATGTGGAGGGACTGGAGCTCTGTGGAGGACTGGAGCTGTGGGGAGGGACTGGAGATTGTGTGGAAGGACTGGGACTGTGTGTGGAGGGACTGGGACTGTGTGGAAGAACTGGAGAGCTGTGTGGAGGTGCTGGAGACTGTGTGGAGGGACTGGGCTGTGTGGAGGGGGACTGGGGACTGTCTTGGAGGGGACTGTGTGGAAGGTGGAGCTGTGTGTGGAGGGGACTGGAGACTGTGTGGAAGGACTGGAGACTGTGTGGAAGGACTGGAAACTGTGTGGGAGGACTGGAACTGTGTGGAAGGACTGGAGATTGTGTGGAGGACTAGAGCTGTGTGGAAGGACTGGAGACTGTGTGGAAGGACTGGGGACTGTGTGGAAGGACTGGAAACTGTGTGGAGGGACTGGAGACTGTGTGGAGGGACTGGAGACTGTGGAGGGGACTGGGGCTGTGTGGAGGGACTGGGGCTGTGTGGAAGGACTGGAGACTGTGTGGAGGGACTGGAGACTGTGTGGAGGGACTGAGACTGTGTGGGGGGACTGGAGACTGTGTGGAAGGACTGGAAACTGTGTGGAGGGGACTGGAGCTGTGTGGAGGGACTGGGGACTGTGTGGAAGGACTGGAAACTGTGTGGAGGGGACTGGGACTGTGTGGAGGGACTGGAGACTGTGTGGAACTAAACTGTGTGGAGGACTGGACTGTGTGGAAAGGACTGGAAATTGTGTGGAGGGACTGGGGACTGTGTGGAAGGACTGGGCTGTGTGTGAAGGGACTGGAGACTGTGTGAAAGGACTGGAGACTGTGTGGAGGGGGACTGGGGCTATGTGGAAGGATGGAAGCTGTGTGGAGAGGGACTATGGAGACTGTGTGGAGGGACTGGGAGACTGTGTGGAAGAACTGGAAACTGTGTGGAGGGACTGGGGCTGTGTGGAGGGACTGGGGCTGTGTGGAGGGACTGGAGACTGTGTGGAGGACTGGAGACTGTGTGGAAGGACTGGAAACTATGTGGAGGGACTGGAGACTGTGTGGAGAGGGACTGGAGACTGTGTGGAGGGACTGGAGACTGTGTGGAGGGGACTGGAGACTGTGTGGAGAGGACTGGAGACTGTGTGGAGGGACTGGGAGCTGTGGAAGGACTGGGACTGTGTGTGGAGAGGTTGGAGACTGTGTGGAGGACTGGAAAATGTGTGGAAGGACTGGGGCTGTGTGGAGGGCTGGACTGTGTGGAGGGACTGGAAGCTGTGTGGAAGGACTGGAGACTGCGTGGAGGGACTGGTGACTGTGTGGAGGGGACTGGAGACTGTGTGGAAGGACTGGAGCTGTGTGGAGCACTGGGACTGTGTGGAGGACTGGAGAGCTATGTGGAGGGGACTGGGGACTCAATGTGGGGAGGACTGGAGACTGTGTGTGGAGGACTAGAGCACCAGTAAATGGAGGGACTGGAGACTCTGTGGAAGGACTGGAAACTGTGAGGGAGGGACTGGAGATTGTGTGGAAGGACTGGAGACTGTGTGGAGGGACTGGGGACTGTGGAACTGGAAACTGTGTGGAGGTACTGGGGACTGTGTGGAGGGACTGGGCTGTGTGGGAGGGACTGGGACTGTGTGGGACTGTGTGGGGAGTGGAAACTGTGGAGGGGACTGGGGCTGTGTGGAGGACTGGAGACTGTGTGGAAGGACGCTGGAGAGCTGTGTGGAGAGGGACTGGAGACTGTGTGGGGAAGGACGCTGGAGATTGTGTGGAAGGACTGGAAGCTGTGTGGAAGGACTGGAGACTGTGGGAAGGACTGGGGAGCTGTGGAAGGACTGGAAACTGTGTGGAGGGACTGGAGACTGTGTGGAGGGACTGGAACTGTGTGGAGGGACTGAAGACGCTGTCAATGGAGGACTGGGAGCTGTGTGGAAGGACGCTGGGGCTGTGTGGAGGGACTGGAGACTGTGTGGAGGGGACTGAAGGGCTGTGTGGAGGGACTGGAGACTGTGTGGAAGGACTGGAAGCTGTGTGGAGGACTGGAGACTGTGTGGAGGGGACTGGAACTGTGTGGAAGGACTGGAGCTGTGTGGAGGGGACTGGGGACTGTGTGGAGGGACTGGAGACTGTGTGGAACTGGAGCTGTGTGGAGGGGACTGGGACTGTGTGGAAAGGACTGGAATTGTGTGGAGGGACTGGGGCTGTGTGGAAGGACTGGGGCTGTGTGAAGGGACTGGAGACTGTGTGAAAGGACTGGAGACTGTGTGGAGGGACTGGAGACTGTGTGGAAGGACTGGAAGCTGTGTGGAGGGGACTGGGACTGTGTGGAGGGACTGGAGACTGTGTGGAGGACTGGGACTGTGTGGAGAGACTGGAGACTGTGTGGAGGGGGACTGGGACTGTGTGGAGGGATGGGACTATGTGGAGGGGACTGGAGACTGTGGAGGGGACTGGAGGCTGTGTGGAGGGGACTGGAGACTATGTGGAGGACTGGAGACTGTGGAGGAACTGGAGACTGTGGAGGGACTGGGGACTATGTGGAGGAACTGGAGACTGTGTGGGAGGACTGGAGACTGTGTGGCAGATGGATGGGAGGCGTGTGTCAGTTCAAGGTTTCAGTCCTCCACAGTCTCCAGTCCTCACATAAGTCTCCCGGTCCCATGCAGTCTCGATCACAGGAATCCCTCTTAACCGGAACTCTCCGATAACTGAAATTGAAATGTTCTCAGAAAATGCTGGATGGGAGATAGTTAAGATTTACCTGTGTGATCTGCTAGATGATTTACCACTCAACTTCACTGGCTTTGAGGCTGAAGGATTAGTTGGTGGTGCTGGGGAAGCAGAGCAGTGTGGGGGCAGGGGCAAGGGGTTACTAACACCACACCCCTGCTTCGGATGGCGGTAAACAGTCTCGTTCAGCAGTTCAGTGAGTGTCTAAAGGTTAGTTATTATTATATAAGTCTACATGAAGTATTAATGTGTGTTTGAATAAGTGGTTGAAATTTTTTGTGGGGTTTATAGATGACAGTGTCCGAAGGCCGGTACTAATTAACCCATTTAGCATATTAACTATACTCCCTTACGATTTTCACTTTAACAACAGTTTTTGTGGTACCAATTAGTCATTAAAGTGAAGTATGGACACTCTCTCAAAAATATGTTGACATGTAAATTTAAACAATACATTAAATATGCTGCTTTGAGATTTTATTTTCATAACTTTTTGAAGTTAGACAGAAGACTATACACAAAGTAGTACAGTATTATAAGAATGAGAACTGATAATTAATCATTAAAACATAAATGCCCTAACAGTTACTGATGTTATTGCTACTTATCCATTATCTGCAGTTATAATTCTAAAACACCTATTCTGGGTGTCAAATATTCATTAGTAGGAAACCAACTCAGCAAAACTATTGTTGGTGAAAGAATACACATAGCACAGCACAACACTGACTTAAAAAATCAACTTATAAACTTTAAGAAATTTATCATAAACATCAACAAGTAAAACAATGTATTAAAGATAAAGAGGGTATCTTAATGAAGCCAACTTGTTTGAACACATTCAAGGTTAATAAAGAACCTTTACAGAGAAGTCTACGACCATATCTGGGTCAGAGTACACTACAACGCCATACTGTGTTAGTTTACAAAAGTCTAAATGAACATGAGGTACTGTAGTACTTCATGTAAGTATCAAATAAAGTAAAATGATACATAAACCAGATATCTACTGGAGTACATAGCCTTCATAAATTACTAACATGTTAGTGATATAAGCCAACAAACTTTTGTACACAAAATTTCTCTAAATTATTTCTATGGTGGTGATAAACTTGATTATCTACACAAATACTGATATGTAGTACTTTATATTTCAAAAATTTATAATAAAACATAGACATGACACTTAATACATTGTTTAATTATTTGCTGTAATATTTTTATAGTAAGCATGCAATTAAACTATAATTACTTGTTTATTCTTCAAGGAATAAAGACAAGATTCAGCGCTTTATCTTGGCAAGAAATGTGATAATTTTTACAAATGAACTTTCATTTAACCCTTAGGCCCCAGGTGACGTTCCAGAATGTTTGTCCAGCGCGCCCCGGGTGACGTTCCAGATCGTGCGCCTATTCCCGCCACTGTTTAAACGCCCAGCGCGGGTTATCAGGTTCCAGTGTGACTATTTGTCCTTCACACCAAATGCTCAGCCACAGGGAAGCTTCCTGAACATAAATACCTACTTTTGTTTGTTTCATTTTCATTGTTTGTCCATTTTATCAGGATGTATGAAAGTAATATTGCTAAAAGTAGTGTAGTTGTATTGTAGTTTAGTATTACCGTAAAACAATGCTATGATTATGTTATAAATGTATTTATTTGTGAAATTATTATTATTTTATGCATTAATTGCTCTACCAAACACAAAGACAGCCAGGCAGACTGGCGCCTAACTGGTGATTGTTGCCAAGCACTTTTTTGATAAATTATGCAAATAAAATATTCTAAATGAATTATTTAAAACAATTAAGTATTACGATCAATAAATACATACATTATTGGCCACCTCGGACACAAAGGCGAGCTAAAAATAGCTGTAAAGTGCGTAGGGACCACAAGCGTCAGCTGTCAAACCAGCACTGTCTACTTGTCTCCCCCTCCTCCCTCTGCGAAGTCACGAAAGTTTCTCGAGGGTCAATATATAGTTGTTCGTGCTTAGTCTTTATTGTTTTATCATTTTAAAAGGTTAAAAAAAATTTTGAAACGTTGATTTTTCTCAATTTACCCCCGCGTGGGGGGGAACTGCCACCAGCACCCTAACCCGGGGCTTAAGGGTTAAGAAAAATTCTATTTTGTGTAACCTAATTAACAATTATAAAATGACTGGGACAGAGTATAATATAATTTACCCCTATCTTGATTTGTAACCCAAGGAAGGAGCTATCTCATAACATTTGCATCCTGTATGTGCCGAGTTCTCTTTGACACGAGAATTTTAAACCTTCTTATAACTAGAATACCTTTTTAATAGGTAACCTTTAACCAAGAGTTGGATGACCTGTTACCCAACAAAAAGAATATCTCGTAATACACATGGGTTTAGGCGGTTACATTTTTTCTTACATGTCTTATAATTTTATAACCAAATCACTTGTAGAGTCTACCTAATATACCGTATATATTTTATAAAAGACTTAACATTTTTTTGTTTTTGTTTTTTCAATGCTAGGCCTTTTACCCACTGGTTTTATATTCAGTACTGAACAAATCATGGGTAGAAATATCATGGACTAAGAATCTACTCTACAAGAGAAGCTTTCTGGATCTTGCTATCCTTTGGCCATGACAACCAGAGAGCCATCACTTGTAACTATCACAGGCGTGGGAAGGTTATATCAGAATACATATACTGTACTGTATTGCCTCCACTACTAAGGCAGATAAGTAAACTTTAACTGGTTTTCTGATTTGTAAATAAAAAAATTAGTAGTGGAGAAATTTCAAGAACATGATGTACCCTTTTCATGACTGAACACACCAATATTCGGAAAACGGAAATTTAAAATAATATTTAGTAACGTGAAACAGTTGGATTGTACAGTAAACAAGAACAATGTACCTCAAGAGAAGATAGATTATATTATGAAAATGTTAACATAAATACTATATACACACATTCTCTAGATCTACACAGTAACTAACACACACACAGGTAAATTACACAATTTAATTGTTAAAACAGTTCAAAATGCTTCTAAAAGAGATAAGGAATATATTCATGTGCACTCAATAATTTGTCTCTACAATTTTCTTTATCAACGTCCAATGCTTGAAGACCACTAAGATATTAGAAATTATGGCTCTTGAGGAAGATACGTCTACATCATAGTGACATCAAGGTGGCAGATTTAAACAGAAACTTCCTAAAAGACAAAGGAACAAATTACCATGAATAAATTACTAAAGTATTATATAATGCAAGATATGTAAAACTGTCAAATGTTAAAAATTAAAAACTGATTTTTTTTAGATAATTTTTTAAGAAAACATTACAATTTTTTTATAAATTAAATAAAGTCACTATGTAAACAATGAAGGATAAAAGAGCCAATGAGCAATAAGAGCCAGACTAACACTGATTAATGAGAGAAGTCATTCAGAGTACAACACAACTTTAGATTGGATGAACAACAAGGGAATGTGTAATTCATAATAGCTTTCAGGAGTGTTTTACATGCATTGAAAAATCATTTGATGAAGGTTAAAACACATAGTAGTAGTAATTTTAGGTCTTGTATGACAAAATTGAAGATATTTACAAATAAATTGAATGAAGCAGCCTAGTTTAAAAAAAATATTTTAGAAACAAGATGCAGAGGAATGCATAGAAAATGGAATGTTCGAGGGGATTTAATGTGAGCTACAATACAAATGAGGAGCTTTAAGCCTATAGACAAATCAACAAAGATGATCACAATGAAAACTAATGTGGATGCAACTTTTCTTATATTCTAGAACTACGATACAAAAACTTACCAATAAAATTACTACACAACATCCAAAAGAACTCCACAGCTATAGAATATACACTATAAATACTAATAACATTAACAAAATGTGATGGTACTTGTATGATAAGCCATGAAAAGTGTCGACACGTAGGCCGCAACAAACTGGCCTACAACATTATTCATTCAGTGTTCACAAAATTTTACCTGTTCATATGAATCATTATCAGACAACACTAAATATTATTGGCCTTCATAGAAAACAACATCCATAACTACAATTAATTAAACAATGAGAGTATTCTGCAAAATTTCATGGAATGAAATGAAGACTAGAAATTTTAACTGTACACATCTAATATGATAAAATCTTTTCTTCAACGGCAAGCATGTAAAACATTCTATAAACATTTGAATCTGTGTGTATATGCAGGTGTGTAGGTAAATGTACAAGTATGTACTTTCATGAAACAAAGGTACAACAACTGTATAAATAATAAACTGTAAGGGTGAATCAAAGGTTGCTCCAATACAAAAAAAATGATGTATAATGTGTGTACTTACCTGCATTAAACAATATAATTACTTTGCACATATATTCACTCTATCATTTACACTTCTTAACATGTTCAGTATTTTCCTCAGGCCTTTGGAGCCTCATAATTCTGCATCATAGTCCAGCCAGAGGCACATTCAACAACGTTAATCATTATGCACAGATACAAGTTCCCTCCCTAATCATTAGTTTTTGCAGTTTACTGTTTGGATACAAATTTTATTCTTATAGTGTATGAATACTGCCAAATGTGCATTAAACTGTGCTAGAATATATGAAATTATCACATCTGCATAATTGACTCTCTTAAAGCTTCATTTCAAGTCCTGGGGAAAACACTGTTACATCCTATGTGAAATACCATTAAGAGACTTAATACTTCATAATAACTTGAGTTTATGGTTGTAGAGCAAAATGATGGAATAAATTTTTTTTGAAAATAAACAAGAAACCGAATATTGCTATTCAAAATTTCCTGGAAGACATTTACATAGAGAGATAAGTTTATTACAGTTTTCCCCAAATTTCAAGAAATAAATCCCTATTTATATTTATTTTTTAAGTTAATTATGGGTACTGCTGCTCCACACCTGCACCAGCTGGACCGTACTGATGGCAGTTATAGTTACTCGCAGTACTGAGGATCCCCCGACGGTTACGATACTTCTGCTGTTTTGTCATCTGGAGGAGTAAAATAATATGAATAAAAGTAAATACGAATGAAAGTTAAGAATGTGGAATTTGGAAGACAAGGCCATGAAATTTTTTTAACTTAAAACAATACGGTAATGAAGATTTTTCTCTTTATACAAATCACAATAATATACTGTAGTGTACTCTCTATCTCTGACTTTCAAATAAAGATGATACAAAAAAAATTGAAAATTCAATGCACAAGTCTATATCTGAAATGTGCTTATTCAAAACTAAAGCCAAGATTCATAAATTAAGGATGGCCTTCACTTTATGTGGGGGTTGTGTTCCAAAAAAAGTTCATACAGTATATCATCAATACATTGCAGGAATGGAACCAAGAATTATTGTGAGAGTGAATTGTAATAATGTACAACAGGCATTGGCAACCCGCGGCCCATGGATCATGTATTTGTGCGGCCCGTGGAGTGATTGAGAAATTCTGTTTAATGTGGCCTGTGGTTCAGGTAGATGCAGCCAATTTATGGTGATTAAAGCAACATTTATTAAAAATAATAATCTTCACACACAATTCGTTAATGTTTCATCACTAAGAGTAAGTAACTACGAAGATGTAACAAAGAAATAAGTGAGTTTATGGGCCAAGTTCTGCGCAGTTTGTTTGATGGATTAGCTGCTATGTGGCAGTGGGTCACTTGGGAATTAACTAAGGTTGGGCAAGACCAAGTGGGCTCACGGGCAATGGTCATACAGGGGTTAGCTACGGTAATTGAGTACTTCTAAAATAACATAAAAACACCTAAATGTGTACACACCTCAGAAACTCATAGTTGGCGGGTAATTAGCATTGAAACAATGTAGTTAAAAATTTCCAAGCATCCTTAAGACCACTAGTTACCCCACAATCAAAGTGTGGACCATAGATTCGGAGAGAGATGTACCTATAGTTTGTTTTATTGTTGTTCCTCAGATGCCAAGATTAACATTGGCATTATTCTGGTGGGTGTGTCTCATAAGTAAGAAAAATGATGCAGCTGTAGGAAAAATCAACATATTCACAGACTGCTCCACTCATCTGCTGTTAAATGCCAAGAAACATTAACATATTACTTTAAAAATTATTACGATGGATTTGTTTCATAAATGGGAACAAGACTGATTGTAAACTGAAAATATCGTAAGGTGGATGTGACGATAAATTGCTTCACTCTGTGATAATACAATATTAACATTACATTTGGGTGAGGAGGGATATAAATTTTGGTGGGTAGGCCCACAGAAAAATACCCAAATTGAAATGGGGCTCATGACTAAGGAAAGGTTGCCCGTGCCTGATATACAGTACATCATTTCATGTATCTCAAAAAGAAACATAAGGTATAGAACTAAAGCCTAGGGACAAGACATTGACAAACCTCATCCTTTAGTTCTGATAGCTGTAAAACCAGGCTGTCAATAAGAGCTTGTGTACGGTCCAGTTTAGCATTAAGGCACCGCACCTCATTCAATTCTCCTTCTGTTTCTCCAATGCTCAATGACATTGCTCTCATACGGGGGAACCAATTTAAGTCTTTATCCTGAAAATAGAAAATAATCAAGGTATGATCATGACAATGTGATGGGTCTAAGTTTAGGAATATACTGAACATGTATAAATATATGTACACTAACTCAAGGGGGTATCAGGTTAACTCCCCTTGTGACTTTTACACCTTGGGCACAGATGTGGTATGTTTTAGTACATGTATTTATTACACAATTGTTATTACATGGAGGTAATATGAAGTGAATATTCAAATTCTTACAAAGAAGAGAGGTAAAATTACATTTATGTTATTACACAAAATATTTACTTACAGCATACCATGGATACAAATAATTACAAAACATTTAGTGTTTGAAAAATACAGTATCAGCAAGGGCAATATATACTGTACAATAATAACACTATCCACACAATATGCAAATTCCATATAAATGCATTACTGGTAATTCATAAAGAAAACAAATAACAATCTCCTGGTATATTTAAAAGGAGGACAAGTTTTTGGCAATGCCGCTTAAATAGCCCATGATAGTTAAATTTGTGATGTCATTCACTATGTGATGTATGCACACAGTTGACTAGCGGAACTGAAGACGATGAGAAGCAGTGTATGAAATTATTATTTATCTATTTTCATCTGTAATTATCAATGAACTAATACTGTACATTCAACATAAAAATCACAGGGGATAAATAAGGAAGACAAATATCCCTTCTCCCAAATTCAGTTACCGACCAATAGTAAAATAATGTATACCCTCAAGGACAGAAATCACAAAACCAACTCAAAGCAAATACTGAAGAATTGTACAAGCAGGTGGTTTAAGAAAGTACAACACTCACTGCATTCTTGCATACATAAAAAGATGTGTGGAGAGGATGTACACTAACCTAGAAAGTATAGAATACAGTATAGCAGAACTTTGAGGGAAGGCAGCAAAAAGTGTAAGAAGGAATACTAATGTTTGGAAAAATGGAAAAACCCCAATTCTTAAAACCAAGTACCCAGTAAGCAAACTGCAAAGAGAATGTGGGTAAAGGGAAAAAATATACCAATAAGAGGAAGGGGAATCTCTTTGCTTCTCAAATGGCAGTGCTTTCTTTGGTGACCAAGTCCAATTTGCCTTCTACATGACGTGTATGAAAAATAAATAACATGAAAAAGTTACTTGGCTTAGAGTTTCTTGTTTAAAGCAATTAAATTCAACATACTCAAGTTCAGCTTAATATATAAATGAGACAAATGTGCCGGACTCACCTTCACCAAAGTGTAGACATAACTCTCAGGTCCAGTGAATTCTGTAGGATCCTTCACGTTGACCTGGACATAAAAGTAGAGGTAATGCCACATGTTGTGCTCACGTTTAATGTGATCCTCAAAGTTGACATCCTTGTTGTCAAAGCTTGAGCGTGTTAATCCTGAAAAAGACACAATCAAACAATATATGGTGTTACTGGAAACAGTGCATAGAAGAAGAGATGTAAACTGAGTAAGTCACATTATGCAAACACCATATATTTACTTGCTGCAATTGTAAGATACATGACTCTCTTCCTTAATGTATCTTACAACTGCAACAAGTAAATATAAGGTCACTGTATAATATGATTTACTGTTCTTACATCTCCTCTTCATACAAGTCCCAGCCCCATCAACACTGACCTTGAGTTTAAGTTTAGAATAATTACTTACCACATATGAAGCAAGAATTTTTTAGTATCTCTTCTGAATTTTGTTTTTCACTTCTGAGGTCAGCAAAAGTGTCAATGATGACACCAAAGATGAGGTTGAGCACAATGATGATGACAACGAAGAAGAAGAGGAGATCGTAGATGACACGTGCAGCAAACAAGTTTTCCTAAGGAAGACAGACCACATTTTAAGTACATTAGAAATGATTATGCAAACTGTTACAGTATTCTTTAATTAATTAAGCAAAGTGGTGAGTAATGGGTGAAAATACCTGATGGTGTTGGTGCTTCCTGAGAACCCTGTATCCTAACCCCATTTCCCCCTTAAGCTCTTACGCCCGGAGTTTTAAACACCCCCTTCCGTTGAAGAGGGTCGTCGTGTTTCAACCTGAGTTTTAAAAAAAGAGTCCCAAAGGACACCACGGTACAGTACTTGACAGGGTGGTGTGGCGGTAAAATTAACTAATTCCAATACTGTATTAAAGTGAATTTATAATATTGGAATTAGTTAATTTTACCGCCACACCACCCTGTCAAGTACTGTACCGTGGTGTCCTTTGGGACTCTTTTTTTAAAACTCAGGTTGAAACACGACGACCCTCTTCAACGGAAGGGGGTGTTTAAAACTCCGGGCGTCAGTCTCTCTATTTGTGGTTTTAATATTCACGGCATTCTTCAAGTTTATTGGTAAAATTCCCTGGCTTTTCCAGACCAGTAGACACCCTAATAGTCTATATTTTAAGAAAATGTATATAAAGGTGATTTAAAACTTATGGGCACAGTGTAATTGACTTTTTTAATAATTGTAATTATTTCAAGGGTCATTAAATAACATTAATTACTCAAATTTTTAAAATGTGAATCCAGATCCTTAATCAGCATGTAAAGTAGTACCCTTGGATGAAATTTAAACAAAATCTATTTTTTGACCCCAAGTGCCAAAAACTAAGGTATTAGTTCAGGAGTATTTTTTACATAAATCGATATTTTTGGGGGTGAAAACTAATGTGTTTATATAATAAAAAATTTAGAGCCTATGTGCAATTGGGGAGGCCTACCTTATTTGATAGGTGCCGTAGGATGTCTCCAATGCCCCCCCCACTCCGGAGTCCATGGTTGAGAGTGGTCACTATACACATGAGCAGAGTTGAGCAGGCTTCCTCCGTTGTGTCTTCAACTTCTTTACTTACTATTTCTTTTACATTCTCGAAAACTGCAAATACAAGTTAGAAAATTATATTAACTTACCAAGAATAAAAAAGTCATTCATAGACATACAGACAAGTACAGTACAAGGTAACATAATCTGAAATTTAAGAATGCACATCAGAAGCAATCCGGTTCTCAATAAGGAAGTTTCTAAATACTCGATCAAAATAAGTTGTCGAGATGTATTACAAGTACTGTACTGTGTAAGCTCCTTATTATGAACCAGGAGCATAACACACTAAGTTCTCTCAAATAAAACTGTGTAAACCAGTGGTGTCAAACTCAAAACCTTTCGAGGCCCAATTCGTATTTTAGTTACCCTCTTCAGGGCCAACATAAGTGCTATATCACATATTTGCAGGATTGAAGTTTACAGCTTCACACAATGCCTTACCTGGCTTATCAGGAATACCTCATTTGGGTTTGTATGATCTTAAGTATGTAAAATTCATTTTACTAAATAAACATGATTACAGGGCTGTGGAGTCGGAGTCGGAGTCGGAGGAAATTTCGGCTTGCGGAGTCGGAGTCGGAGTCGGTAAAATTGTCCAGACTCCGACTCCGACTGAAGCTATTCTGTTCCAAAGAACAAATATATGAACTCAGGCATATTCATTGCAGTGATTCCACTGATCCCACTAATTTATTTCCATTTTATAAGCATTATTATGAATTTATTGTAGCAGGCACAGTATAGCACTATAATTTTGGACGATAGTCTCTTCTTTACCATTTGAAATTTTGAATTATATCAAATTTTGTTTCGTTGAAAACTGCACAGAGGCTCTCAGCTACAAAACAATTAGCTACAACCTGTTTTTGGTGAGATTAAGGCAAATTTAATTTAATAACTTAATCATGTAAGGTTTATCCATTTTCCTTAATAAGGTATTCATTTCTTTAATGTACATAAATATATAACTTTACTTTAAAAGGAATTGTAGGATCATCATTTAGATCCACATCAGATTATGAGCTTAAACAAAATTCATATGCTGAGATCGAACTTTTAGATATACATGTAAATGGTGTTTTCTAGTTAATATCTTGAATTCTTAATAAATTTATTTTTCTTTTGATTGAAACTTTGAAAGTCAAGCCTATCATCTTTTTGTAGTTCTTAAATATCGTCCAGATCATTAATAAAGCTGTAGCAGTATAGCCACGGTGTTTTACTTTTTACCTATGCAGGTTACAACATACAAATTACAATTAGGATGGTAGAAATAGTTGTTACAAATAGGCCAAGGAGTCGGAGTCGGAAGCATAAAAATTTGAGGAGTCGGAGTCGAAGGTTTTGTATTCGACTCCACAGCCCTGCATGATTATATCTATTTCTTTCAGAATTTCACGGGATGATAAATTTTACCGTCATCCCGCGGCCACACCTGACCATCCCAAGGGCCATATTTGGCCTGCGGGCCATGAGTTTGACACCCCTGCTTTAAACATTGTACTTCCATCACTTTTCTAAAACACTCTTCCTTCCTTTTTCATTATCTTCCCATCTATTTTTTGTGCATTCAAAATATATTATATATATATATATATATATATATATATATATATATATATATATATATATATATATATATATATATATTATTGAAATTTATCACATGAAATAACAGTGCAGTAGTAGTTAGTTCTTGTAAATCAAACCCACCACTTATTGGAGAGTTAGAAAAACATTCACAGTTATGACTCATGGCAATCCAGTTACTCTGTCACAAATACAATGATAAATAATAAAATACTCACAATCCTGATGACTCGTAGTAACGTCCTTTTGTGAGCAATCTGCCCCTATTTCACAGGTATCAGGTTCTGTTTGTCCTGGGGTTAAATTGTGTAGCAGCTCCTTAAAAACCACTTCAACATTTTCTGAAATTAAAAATAAACTTTAAATATTATATCCACTAAACATAACCAAATAGTAATTTGATAAAATTGGATTACGATCAAGGAAATGAAATAAGCCAATGCACTTACTAAGCCACTGTTTCAAGTGAAATAAAATTCAGTAGATAAAGTACAATATATCTTCCCTTGGATTTTTTTTTATTCTCTTGTAGCATTTTAAATCTATCACATTTAAATAATCATATACGCTGTATCAAAATTTAAAGAACAAAACACTAGTTCCATCAATAAAACTGTGGCCTACCCTTCTGATGTTTAAAAAATAATAATTTGTTTGAGATAATTATACGAGAAAATGTTTTAAGACGATACTTACCCCAATTGATGTCCTTGTTCGTAACATCCATAATGAAATCCTCCCTGAAGAACATGTACCCAATGATGGAAAACATATAGACCAGTATGAGGGCAAGAGCTGCTGTCAACACAATTGACCAGCCGTTGCGTGTTACCGACCTCATCACATTCAACAGTGTCTCCTCTCTGTATACCACATCAAACAACTGCAGAAACACACACAAAAAAAGGCAGGTATAAATGATCTGCTGCACTATACTCCTCCATTAGAAGATAAACTAATTCAGGTATTGACAAATAACTCCTTGACCTAATTATAAGAAATTCACAAATGACCACACTGTACTGTATATAAACAAAAGATTTATGTAAAAAACAATAGAGGATTGAATATGAATTCCTATTATCGAGCAGAAACCTTGAAAAACCATAAGCGGTGAGTAATTAACGTTAGAGAAGTAGTACCGTAATTATAATTTTTTAATGTCATTTGGACAAGTAATTATACCAATATCAATCACAGACAACAGATCCTGAATCAGCATGTTCTGTAGTGTATATATTGAGATTTTAAACAGAATCTATGATATCAAGATTATTGCCGAAACATTAAGCCTTACACCTCTTATACAATTTTAGGCCCAAAATACTTTATCAGAATTGAAATTTAACGTGTCTAACTATATATGTACAGGTACATCCAGATTAACACATATGCTAAGGTCGGCCAATTTAAACCAATGATTTAAACCATGTTTTAAACTTCCCCTTTTTTAACCATTGCCTTTTTCCTTGGTTTTGATAAGTTTTTTGTTGATTTCAATAAGTTTCTTTTTTTTTTAATTACAGATGGTTTTAATGATTTATGCTAGATTTGGAAAAGCGTATGATAGATTGAACATTGTGGGAGGTATAACAAGTGTTTGGGGTGGGAGGAAGGCTATTAAATGCAGTAAAAGCATTCACTGACAACAGGAGGAGTAAATGAGTAGTGAAACATTTGAAATAACTGTGGGTGTTAGACAGGGATGTGTTATGTCCCCATGGTGATAATAAGTTGTCTTACAGGGCTGCACACATCTCACATCCTGATTATAAGGGAGCCAAGTTACCACTGGTGACTGCTTCTGTTTATGGTTGGGCTCTGAGCCTCTGATTCTAATGTGTTCAGACCACATATACGGGTCCAGGGGAGCCAAGTTGCCACTGCCTGTCTCTCTCACTTTGCTTAATGTTAATGAATTCTTCAAAACTTTCAATTGTAAAAGTAGAATAGTTTTTCCATGCATTAAGGTGAACTTAAACTTAGTTTTTGCCTTTAAGCATGAAGGATGAGTCTGGGTGACTGATCAAAGCTTGTGTTTTTAAAATTTGGCCTTTTTCACATTTATTTTTGGAGATGGAAAAGAGTATAAACGATTGAGAAATTGATCTGAATGTAATGTTTATGATTAACAGCATATCAAAAAGTTATAAAAAGGTCTAAAAATACTTAAAATTTATTCAAGCCAACATAATAGCATTAATACTCTGAAAATACAAAAAAAAAAACTTTTTTTAATAATAAAAAAAAAATTAAAGGTTTTTGCCAACCCTAGCTGTCCATATTAAAGTGAATAATACAAACAATTCTCTTTTTAGCATTCCACTGACTATAACTGACCCTTCACAAAATAAAACATAACTAAAATTGGAACAACAAAATATTTTAGTCCCATAAACTCTTCTACAAATAATAAAACTAATAATAAACTTACTAGTACTGAGTAGCAGAAGGGGTGAACGGAGAGACCAAACACACAGAAGATAAGATAGATGACATGGTAGAGTAGCTCACAATCTGTCACCTGTTGTTCTAATCTCTTGGCAAATGTTCCTTTGTTCCCCATCAGGCTCACCAGATGTATGCCTTTTATTAACACCTAAGAAAATATATGATAAAATATTTTTGGATTAAAAACAAGCAGATAAAATAATAAATATTTCAATTTATGGAGCAACACGCAAACACCCTCGGACTTTACCCCAAACTTAGCCCGCTTTGTAAGAATGAACAAAAATGAAGGACCGAGTTTGATTATTTATTATAATTATAATTTTGAAGCCATATTCACACATTGCTTTCTTGAAGAGACTATGACTTACCCAGTTGTGTATATCTTTCAATATTCTGTACAAACTAATTACAGAGACAGAAAAAAATCTAGAGTAATTGAGGTTAATGACAACACCTTTATATATACTGTACTTGTCCCTCACGAGTGGTAGTGACCAAGATAGATGTGAATAAGTCCTGTTCGATGACATTTCCACATCTTGAGGAATACCACTACTGTAGATTACCTTCTCAGGATGAAGATGTAACAATTTAGGTGTAGGCAAAATTGTTTTGTTTTATTTACCTCAGACATTGTATTAATTAATGAAAGTATATATCGTTTAGGTTAATACTTTTTAAATTTACTTGCCTACCAAACTTAGTGAATGATAAAATTACTGTTAAGCTCCACACACACACACAAAACTCTGGATACAACTTACATTTGCACTCCCCAGAAACCAGAGTGTAGGTTCTGGCCCTAATGAAAATATGAGGCGAACTATAGATATAACCCCCAGGAGATACATGAAGATGTGCCGTTGGAAGCTTATAACAATGGCAAGAGATATCAGAAGAACCACCCACAGCAGGCCATTCACATGACCATTAACATCTGAAAACAAATAACGATATTACTGTAAAACTATTATGAATATTGATTATTTCTAAAACACAGGCATTAAATAGTTCATAAAACACAGAGTGAACTAGGGTATAAAATTGAATAACAATCACCATTATAATAAAGAGTATACTGCAGGTACTGAAGTACTAAAAGGCATCTGAGTCATGAAACTTACTTGGTAAAGGATTATCTAAGGGATAGAATAAAGCAACGATGAGGTTATTAACTAGCGCCAACAAGAAGAGTAATCTGCCCCACAGCGACATATAGTTGCTTATTGTTGACAGCACCGCCTGACCTGTGAGACATTGACATTTACATCATTATTCCTTGTGACATATAACAACAGTTCTCAAACAATTCATGTATGTAAACGACCTCCAAAATACCTCAAAAAGTTTATTAAGTTCTCTCACTAAATGTGTTTTTTTCTTGATCCATCTTCCTTTTATTTTTATTTACAAATATTTTTAAATAATTAATAATTTTACTTTTATTTACAACTTCCCAGTTTTCTTCTACATGTACTACACCATTTATGCACAATTAAAAAATACCAGTACATCAATAATATCATTTAAGTTAGATGAACAACAGCACATAATTCTACACTCACTTTTTAATTTCTTTTGCCACTGCATTTCTATGAACATATCATTACACCTTTCAAAAAAATCTGTGACTTTAGTTCCCTGTTCATCCCGTTCAGCAGTTTGGTAGACGCGCTGTTGAGTTTCTCTGGTGAGATAATTGCAGATTTCTGGGATGGGGAAAACGATCTGCTCCATTGTGCGGTCGTGACGAACAATCTGCAAATGGAGGCGAGGCTCATCTTTAGTACCAACCATCTTAATGACCATTACAGTCAGCCTTTCTCAAGAACCTTCTACCACAATCCTCCTATACCAATCAATCAAGCTCTCTCTCTCTCTCTCTCCCCAATCCATATATTCATCTACTCTCCTCCACCCACTACAGTACATACATCACACCCACCTCAGTCTACACCCCACCAGTTGTCTTGTCAGTCCTTTCCACTCCAATCTCTCCTCATAATTTGTCTAATCTTCTTATCCTCTAATTCTCATAAACTCTCTATTATTGTTGCTCCATTAAAGCTAGTGTCTCCATACCATTAAATGTAGACTAGAGTCACACGAGTTATTTTTTCCTTCAATTTTATTCCAATTCTCCACAACTGCTGCCGCTTCTTTCCACATTACAGACAAGACTTATACTTCCCTTCTTGTCTCCACCTCCAATCTCCTATTTCCCAAGATTGCTTTTGCCACTTTGTGTTCTCTAGGAAATGTTCAATCCTTACAATTACATTTCCTAAATCTTCAAGACACTATTATGTCCCATTTTTGGAAGTAAATCCACTCAAATGAATCAAACCACAGAGAAGATTCATGCACTGAGCCAGGTGTTGCCTCTGAAGTCATCTTAATATCTCTGTATGCTCAAATAAACAAGAAGGAGAGCAGTTTTGCATGAATATCTATGCAATTAGAAGCCAATGTGTACTTGGCTTAGGACTCGCTAACAGGTGTTCAGTTATATGAAGTGCCCGAGTCACTCACTGATAACCAGTAGTTCTTAAAGGCAAATAATGGGAGACAAGTTAAGAGATACAGTACAGGTACAGACCCTCTACTCCAGGGCCCTTGGGATCAACACCGAACCAGTTTTAAGGATTTTCCTATTTCCTGGGTCATCCATGTTACCCTAAGACTCTCAGTCTACCAATACAATAATTAAGTTTTGCTTCCACACACTCACATAAACTCAGTTGAACTTTATATATATTTTTAGAAACAAAATAAATAAAACATCATTGTATGCATACTTTAAATAAATAAATACATTAGATATATTTTATTAACAAGCAAATGAATTGAGTTTGTTTACATTCCAGAAGCTTCTAGTGAGCCGTGACATTTGTGAGAAGCAAAGAGTTCAGTTAACATCCTGTAAAGCCTTACATTACAAGCAACTCACCTCAATCTGGGCAGTGTTCTCCCGGTAATGGGTAAGAGCTTTACTAAGCTTCTCATTGCCACTTTTGGACAGCAACTCCTCCAGGCCCTTGTGATGCTTAGCCAGCTGGTGACACAATATATAGATGTTGTGGCCAACCTGGGAGAAAAACAAGTAGGATTAGTGTGATGGTGTTTGGTCATAATGATACTCCCGGGGAGAAAGAATTCCAAGACTGGATATTTGTAAACCATGTATGTACAGGTGTATGCCTCCACTAAGCTCCAAAGATGATAAAGACAAATAATCACAAGGCATAACCCACATTACAATAAACATGTTTACTTTCCCTTCAGTTATTTTTTCCAAGTTTCAGACTATTTCATGGAAGGCTGTATAAGAAAATGACTACAAAAAGTGAGCACACAAACATCATATGAGATGTACAGAACAAGAATGACAAACACTATGCCTCTGGTCTATGGTTGGAGCATAAAAAATCTTTTGCTTATTAATCATTGTCTTAAAATCCATCAAGGTGTTTTCCTATGGACAAAATATCTATACTGTATTACAATAATAATAGTAATCCAAAAAGAACATAAAACATTGCAGGGAAATTTAAATTCCTTTGTCTTAATGAATCAAATGGAGAATTAGTAGAACTACAGTACCACTAAAACACAATTAATTTAATTTAGTCATGGGTAATTACAGTTCTTTAAAAAAAAAAAATGCTGGGTCCTGGTAACACCTTGAAAAAAGATTGAGTCAGTCAGTTAGCAATTTTTTTCTTTTATTTTGAGGATTGTTTTGTGTGAATTATTAGTAATAATGTGGGTATACAAAGATAAAAAAAAAAAATAATAAATTAAGAAAACAAACAAGTATAACACAAAATGTCTGTTTCAAGCTTTCTTTTTTATGTAGTAACTTTGTAATTTAATCACACGCTGCTCTGTACCACGGCTGTGCATGTTTGTTGTACATAACTGTAGTACAGAAACACTTTTAGCATGCATGCACCTGTAGTACTTGTTATGCCATAGGCTTAACATTTGGGGGTTTATGGAAGACTGTATCAGGAAGTTATGTTTTAGCGATGGTTTTTAGTACACACACTTGATATACTGCCAGTGGTGTACAGTATCTGTAATCTGTCTCAGCAAGACTTTCACACATGACTGTGAACCTAATTGGTAGACATCAGCCCAACTTAAGTGAGTCAAAATGTTTCATTATGGTGGCTCACACAGCACCAATCCCCCACTCTGCCTCCTCACAGCCTCTCAAGCCTTCACAGTCTTATATTATTGGAATGGCTATTTAGTATTTACACACCGACATATATACTATACAGTGCACTGCTCCTCACGTGTACACTACATAAGAAACCTCTTTTAAAGTCTCCGAGTTCTTTGCAAGAACTTCCAGTTGAAATATCTTGTCAAACAAATGCTTACATTTAGAATGCAGCTTTACAAAGACCTTTTACATACACATACACAGCAAATGTTATACAGAATACAGCTTAGAATTGTTTAATTTTCAAATTGCTTGGGCAGAGACCTTACTTTTGTTGAATAAGTTTTTTCTTTTGCCCTTATGGGTAGCAGAAGGACTTCCTTTTCCATTGTGTTGTTGATTAAAAAAAATTATCAATTAATATTCAATTTATTTCACTATACTGTATTATTGAATTATCTATGTTACTTAGCTTACTTCTCACACATAATGCTGTGTGTTTATATATACAGTACAGTATTGTATACCCAAATGAATATATAAAATGTTTGTAACGTATGTGCCAGTGTATAAAAGAGGAACTTATCCAGCAATACATACACATCTAATACATGTATGAGAGTGCTGGTGGTTTAGTGTACCAGTACAGTACAGTATGTGCACACAGGTGAACATATTCAGGAATGCACACACCGGCTTGTGAATAGCCTCTACCATGCATTAAACACTACACAACAATGATTCACAAAAGAAGTTGGTAGTAATCAGAGAAAACATAAAAATTGACCTACCACTGTGTGCTTGACTTTTGTTTTCCACCACATGGAATCACGGCTAGCTCGGAAGTTCATGTATCTTGCCTGTAGATGTCACCACTCAAGTTAAAAAAAATCTTTTTTTTAATAGGGTTTTAACTTTTAATAGAGTCGGTCAGGTACACCAGTGTCAAGATTTTGTCTTTTATTTCTCTACTTCTCCAGTGTGGGTGTTGACTTCATTTACCAGTGTGATCATTGCATTTTCAGAGCATCATCTACACATTATTAGCTTACCTCGCAGTGTGTTATATTTATTTATTACTGTATTATTTACTTTATTATTACTTTAAAATACTATACTGCATACAGATCAGTATTTACTCTACATGTATTTCTACGGATATTATTTCTCGCTTAGTGATCATTTCACCTCTTAGCTATCAGTGTTTCAATAACCCATCCTGATCACTAAACGAAGGATACCTGCACCACACTTTAAATGGTTTGTTGTCTGCTCTACTTCCTCCGTCTCCTTCACAGTATCTCATCCATTCACACAAAGTCCAGCTGTATCTATACCCACCTCTTTATCTATTTCTTCGATAGATCACATTTTCCCACAAGTTCATTCTCTCGCCAACATCATTTTTTTCCCCTTTCATTTACTCAATATTACCATTTTCTTTACTTCCCTCTGCAGAACTGTATATTCTTCTTTCTTTGTCTACCATTTATTACTACTAGGTATTTGCAGGTAACACTACAGTAGTATTTCTTTCTTAACTCTTTTCAGTTTATAGTTGTCTTTCATGCCATCAAGCTGCCCCTCTTTCTCCAGATTCTGTTCTCACACTTCTACATCCAGTACCAGTTTGGCAGCCTCCAGTATGCCATTCTTCATATGACTCAACTTTGCTTCTACCTTATCTACTAATTCTCAGCCCAGTCAAAGAGATAACATAGAAGCCAATCCAGCCACCCCTTGCCCTCTCTCTCAATCATCTTGAATACACATTGCACAAACTTGAGACTTTCAATGAACACTGGAACATCATGGAAGTCACACTCGATCCTCTTATGATACAGTACCTGAAGGTGACTTCCATGAGTATCAACCCTTGACTCAGTCTCAGCACAATATATCTCACACACTCACTTCTCTAAATCACAACAACTCCCTGACAACTGGAATTCTGTGCTATGATAAAGAATTGATGAACTGTCTTTTAATCCATTACCAAGACATGACTGAAGTTCATCATTTGAATTATAATTGCTTCTTTCGATTACGACGGCTAAATTTTGGACGTGCGATAAACTCGACCCGACTTTCAAAAGAATGTTTTCATGGCATTAAAAGCCTTTGACCTCCTATAATGATAAACTGACAGTATTCCCATCTTTCATTTGCATAATGGTTAAGTATGTCACAAAAGTGAATAAAACTCACTACAATATATCTACTGTGCATTATTACCAAGGTTACACTTAGGAATGAGGAAACTGCACGAGCAAACAGTTCTCTACTGGTAAAAAAGCTGTCCTCTGGTAATAATTAATTGATAAGAAATGAAGAGTATGACTGCTATAGCCAGTACAATGGGATATGAATGCTGCAATAAGAAATTATTAATTAACATTTTCAAGTTATTTTCTTATGTAATATGAACTTGTGAGCACTAAAAACAAACAAGTTTTATGAAAGTCTTACTTCTTTTGGTGAGACTCCATCGTCACTCTCAGATGAGCCCTCCTCGAAGAACTCATCATCATCCATGCTCTCCTGGTGGTACAAGTTACAAACCACATCCAGCTGTGAATTGGAAATCAAGCTGGAGTTGGCTTGTCAGCAACATAAGCAAAGCATTATGCAAAAGCTGTACATGAGGGTTTTAAACTTATTTCACTTTTTGTACCGGAGCAAACCCTCATTGTCTAACGAGGTTGTGTCCCTAAATGTACTGCAAAACTGTGAATCTATCCAAATAAGAACACATCTGCAATGAAAAATAACTGTCAAGATCTAAGAACCAATGACATAATCCATCACTGGAATTTGGACCCCTAATGTAAAGAGTTACAGTCATTATACAGGACCGACTGTACAATGAAATGAACCATTACACATATAAAAGCTTCAATGGTTGATAGATTAATCAGTCATTAATGTATTATTGAACACGGGAGGGAGGGAGAGTAGGAGTGAGGAAGGGTAGAAGGAAGGGAGGGTTGTGTGTGTTGCACAAGTTTACAAGAGCCAGCCAGCTTCTGTACACATGCACATCTATACAGTTCTGCTTCTAATTTCACAAACAAAGATTATGTTGAGATTGGCCCCATGAGTGCAGAAATAGTAAATAAAATATGAATAAAATGTCACATAAAATTGGCTTTGGAATTTGTGAGAGTAGTGACTGTGACTTATGTCTGATTTAGAAATCTGTGAAAGAACACAGGAGTAAAACTGTAGTGCAGTTTGGTAAGAGCAATTATAGACTCTTAAGAAAGGCCACGAGTGACTGAAACATGGGTTAACCAAACAAAACTTAATATAAAAACAGAAGCCATAAAATGGAGGCTTTTCTTTTTCATAATCTTTAAATTCTCCTGAAGTGGTGCCACTCCCAATGGCTTATGCATTATCAATATCTATTGAACACTGGCTCGTCAATTCTGACAATTCATTCGGGAAAAATTTATTTACCTTTTCTTCTTCATTTATTTCTTTGTTCATCTTAGCATGATGCTGCTGATCAAGATAAAGACCATAGACAAGAGTGAGGGTGGATTTCTGAAGCAGCAGAGAGGAAGCACAGCAATGCATATTGAAATAAATTAGTCAGTTTAAAATACTTAATAAATTATTAAGTATATATATATATATATATATATATATATATATATATATATATATATATATATATATATATATATATATATATATATATATATATATATATATATATATATATATATATATATATATATATATATATATATATATATAAAGTACTGTATATATAGCATGCATAGTAGGTAGTACAATATCCTACTTAGATTTCATTTAGCACTACATATGTAAACAATAATCAACATACTCCTCCAATAACTACATTTTTTAATTCTACCTTCTATGATGGTGACTTGTACCCAACTCACTTGCATATTTCTAGGTGTAGTAAATTTTAACCTGTTCAGCATTACCCTGATATTACCATGGTAGAGAAAAGTCTAGTGCAAAAGTGATGAGAACAACTCACCATGATTGAACCAACTTAAAGCCTCCAGTTTGGTATTGCAAGTAATTATTTTCTGAATTCTCTTTAGAAAGACCAGAAAACTCAACAATATCCTGAATGTTTCAGTAAGGAACAATGCTACGACCACACTAACTGGAGCAAGAATGCTTTTTGGCTCTCCACACTGTAGTGCCGTCCTTCATACCACAAAAGTGGTGTTGCAGCAACATATGATGGCCAACAACACTAAGCAGACACTTTCCCTAATTTGTTAGTGACTAAATGAAGCAACGATAAATGGAGAGATGTCAAACCAGAGTCCTGGCACTACAATTAATGCCCGAATTCAATACTGCCTTACGAGTGAACCAAAACCTCAGTTCACTTTAAAGAAACTACCTATATTTACCAGTTGATCAATATGCATGCTCTGAAGAATACGTTCTGCATTTTCTGAGTCTGCTCGAGATTCCATTATTGCTAATAGTAATTTTGAAGCATTGTTCTTCAACTCTAAGACGAGGTCCATGCGAGTTTTTGCCAGTGGGTTGATATCGCTCAAGATGAGTGCTGTTATGATGTGTAACCCATTGGACTCGTGAGTTGCTGAAAAATTTTTTTTTTTTTAGAAAGTACACAAATGAAATGAATTTGAAAACAAAATGATATGATGTATATATTATTTCTCATATACGTACACCCTGCTCACATTACGAATGCTACTTATAATAAACAAATAATATGAAGGTTCATATATCATGATGCCATGAATAATTCTGATAAAAATATGCCTTTCAATATCTAGCAAATGGCGAGTGATTTCTAGAGATAACTGGGAAAGAGAAACTTTTAAAAGATACATGAATGACTAAGAATTGGTTATTAGCTGTATAGTTTAAGAACTAGAACATCAAAAAACTCCCATAGTGACCAAGAGTAAAAGATCTGGTTAATTTAGCTAATAAACCATCAACACTCACCTATACAATTCTGATTTTCATGACAAGGCCCCTGGCAATATTCAGTGAGTGTCTCTAATGTCTGATTGATGAGAGAGACATTGTGTTCATTGATGTAGAGGCCAAGGAGCCCCAACCCACCAGTTGTTGACCCACATATACAGTCCAGAAACATAAGAGTTTTGCTAATTACATTGTAAGTTGTTTTACTCTTTTGAACCCGTAAGAAATTCTGAAAAAAAAGGGGACCTCTTAGAAATCCATAGTTTATAATAATAATAACAATGATACAAAAAAAAATCTAGTAAGTAAATTAGCTGACAATAATGACCCATTGTAGTGATGCAGGAGAAGTTAAGGACGACCATGAAGATGATATTATTCTTAAACTCCCTGTAAGTTTCTCCTTCTTTGACTACACAATTATACCATATTGAGTCTTTTATCAGGAACTGTGACCACACTGCACTCAGGTAGGGTCATAATATATAATGTGGACAAATGGGCAATTTACTTGACCTATTTCAAGTTTAATTTATTTTAATTGAAGAAATATAAGCAACGGCACACATTGCAAATTTTATAATTTCTGAAAGGAGTGGTACAGCCTCTTTTAATGGAATAATTAGTATTAAGTGGTCTGAGCTAAGAGCAGAGTACATAGTTGAGTACTGTAGTAGTATACTGATGAACAAAATAACTACAGCCACATTGACACAAAACATTTAATGTATTAAGACTGTCAGCCATTCATACTCAAGATACAGTGTTACTCAGGAGACAAGGAAGAAAACTAATGAACTCTCCATCTTTATCATGTGAGTAACTTCCAAAATTTAAGTCTGACTAACATACCTGGAGAAACAAGTTATGGTTTTCACACAGCAGCTGCAAGAAACGCAGCACAGGTTGCATCACAGCAATCTTAGGGGAAAGTTTAGGATTATCCGCAATGGACTCCTTGTTGCCCCGACCGCCAAAGTTCTCCCCCACCTCTTCCATGGTGTGAAGGCCGAGACAGGAGCTGTTGTCGTCCCCTAGAGAACAATCGGTTGGTTTAATCATATACAGTAAATCTTAATCCCTAAATCAAAACTAAAAAGATAACTTGGACATGAAAATTATCAAGAGTTGTACAGCTGTTAACCTAGGGCGACCATTCAACCCGAGCAGACAAATTTATCCACTAAATTTTATAAAAACTACAGCACATAAAAGTCATGTTCTATATAAGCGGCAAAGAGGAGAAACTTAAAAATATGTTGTGTATTTTATCTTCTTAAGCACATATTCAGTATTGCTTCATTCACTCACATTAATATGAAAAATTATGCAAAGGGAAAAATGGGTAATACAAGAAAAGGACAAAAATGATGAAGACGAGTTGACTAACCTGTGTTCCCAGCTTTAATATTTGTGTACGCCTGTGAAGTAACAGATGCGGCAACAGATAACTCTTCTCGAATCTCATCAGTCATTACTAATCCATTGGGTCTGTGTCCTGTAGGTGTCGGAGAGGGAAAAAGCAAGGGTTTGGTGATTAGCGGGGAATCAACGGAATCGGGGGAAGGAGAGGAATCAAGTGAGACCATACTACCACTTCTAGTACATTGCAACTTCAAGCCAACTTTGGTACTTTGCATATTATCATGACATTCTTCTATTAACCCTTCCTTATCATTACCAACAAGCGGCTCTATACCAGTATCATATTCACTACTGTTGAAGATGTTCTTTAACATCTCTTTGCTCTTATTAACTTCTTGAGTGACTAGCATACCAATGTCTTCATAACAATTTTCTAGTCTGTCCTCATAACTACTTGTAATATATTTGGCCTTTGAGCTAGAAGGAGATCTATTAATCAAGTTTACACTACATCCCACATCCAGATTTGTACATCTTTGCATATGGTTATGATGAGGAACTGTACTAATTGTACTTGCACTACTCATTGGGTCATCTTTACTAGCTACTTTATGAGCAGTATTGTCTAACTCTAGATCTTGTAAGCTTGTGGAGGAAAGGCATGAGTCAGAGTTTTTTGTCTCTGATTTGTCAGGTCCATTTTCCCTCTCAGAAGTGGAATACAGACTGGTACTATCAATCCTGAAGGACTCAGACTTGGCCGTGGCTAGTTGTTGTATTGTGGCTCTCAGGCCTGTTACAAAAATAACATACAGCTGTTTGTATAAAGCAAAAATTATTATACAGTATATGTATTGCATTTAACATCAATAGGCACAAAAAATATTCAACACAATGAGGCACAATTAAGAGCACAATATTGACACTTTGGACGATAAAGATTTCCTTGGGGGGGGAAAACAGTATTTACACATGATTATTAAGAGTATTTTGGTCTCTCTTTTATTCCCAATAATGAATTGTCCTCTTTTTATAAATCAATTATATCTTTATTTATACCTTTTTGTCAGTTACTGCTTCATTCAGTCTTGTTTATACATGCATCAACACAAACATACTTCAATTAAAGCGGCATCTAAACCGTAACACACATTCCCACACCGGTTATTTGACTGTTCCTAAAAGTTACAAAATTTAAAGACATTGAGAGTTTTTTATCAATGACACATTTAGGAAAGATCCTCATATGACTACCCTTAAAATGGAAGTTTCTGAAAAAAAAATTAAAAATTCAGATATACTGAGACACTATGAATTTACAAACTCCCAAATAACTCTGAAACTCACATTAATAGCTTTCAAAGCATAAATATTAAAAGCACAATTTATATCTATAATATGAAGAAAAACTACATCTTTTCGCTCACCATGTAATAATATTTTGAAATCAGTTGGGTTAACCGTGAAATAACTGAAAGATTTTGTGATGGTTATAATTATACCATTATTCTGAAATGTCATTTTCCTTTCAAGGGGTTACCCTTGTGTATGGGTCCCCTTCTGAGTTGAATAAAATAGTCTACCAATAGCCAAATAAAACACTAATAGTGGCATCCCCACAGTGAAGAGGCTAGTGTCTTCACCCTCAACATTTACCCTGGAATGTTAAATACTAATAATTAAAGTTTAATGCATAAAATTAACAAGGCCACAAAGGGTAAATGGTACAGTTTACCCAAAGTAGGCTACTGCTAGCATTAAGGGGTCTGGTAGGAGGACAAGACCCCCCCCCCCCACCAGTAAACTACCTTATCACCAGTGATGCCCGGATTGTGGGCATACTGTACTTTAGAATTTTAGGATATTTCAAAATTTTGTGTGTATTTTCTGATGTTCAAACCCAGTGGTACAATTAACATGTAAGCCTATGTCCCATTTTAAAGCTGTCCTTGGCGGTCCCTAACTCATGTTTTGGGCTACTCGGCTGTTTATTATTTTTAGTATCCAGAATAATAGCCAACACCACCTATTGTCTTGGTAGTTACTGAGTCTCAGATCAGCTGATGCTTTGTACTATATGTGTTCGTCAGAAATAACAACACAGCCTATCTTTTATTAAGTCTTAAACATTCCTCAGAAAAATCAATATAAAAATGTCTAAATTACTTTTAATTTAGATAAATAGTCAGGTTTCTCACCTCCTTTTTTCCTGTTCAACTTGTCTCCTTCCTTTTGTCCATCTTTCTCATCACTAGTCTTAGCACTCAAGTCTGAGGTGTTGACTGTGACTGTGTTTCGTATCTCCTGCTGGGCTTCCTCCATTTTGTTATCAAACACCTTCAAAAGAGTACAGTAATGACATTAATATATACGTGTGATTGTTATTTTATGCAATAGTTCAAATAACTAGCTATAAAAATACTAAATCATATAGAGCAACCTTTGTAAAACTTATGAGTACAGTATTTTAAAGAACACCTCCAGTGATTGAAAGAAACAAAAAATGCCTTCTGAGCATTGTTAATATTACCTTAAAGAAATTTTGACATTTATCGCACTCTCGTAGTTTAGTATAGAGCATGTCTTGTATTTCCCTGTTACCAGCCTCTAACAGAGCAATGCCCAATTCCACCGCCTCCACAAAAATCTGATGACGATTCTGGCTTTTCATCACAAGGTCCACTACTAAAACTGCTGCTCCCTTCTTGGCTAGATCACACTGTACCTCAGCCAGAGATTTTCCTGATCGTCGCTGCACTACATCTGAGAACAATAAAAAAATAAAACTACTCTGCACTAAGTTTCTATGACAAGCTATAAAAAAGGGAAAAAATTACATGGATGGACAAACATACAGACAAACTCATTGGATTGATACTGTTTTCAAACATGCAGTACACAACACTCATGTGCATGCCCTGTCTGTAACCTGCAATGGTAAATTCCATCAAAAACTAAAAAATTAATTGACTCTACAAATACTGTATATAGCTGGAACTAGTGACTCATCAGATGGCCACCAACTTCACTTACAAACACCCTCCAATTTTTTTTCAGTTTTACTCCACATTATTCACAAAGGTTATTCACAAGTGGGATTCCTATCTACACGTAACTCCTCCACATACACACTCCTCCACTGTGCACATTCACAACACTCCTTTAACATACTCCAGTTATGTTCCTAGGCTTTATAATTTTTTTTTTATTTACATTTTACAGTTCAAGAAAGAAAAGATTCTCTAGTGCATAGTATACATATGACTGAGGTAAATAATAGCATACAAACAGGACAAGACGATGAAGCAAGAAAACCAGAAACAAGTATAAACAAAGAACCAAATAAGAAAGAAATGTTAGGCAAATTTGTTTAAACTGTCAAAATATTCAGAGAGAAAAAATACTTTACCTCCCGGTCCAACATTCTGTGTTTGTTTGGCCCTGAATTCTGCAGCGTCCTTCTTCGACCAAGGGTAATGGTCAAAGTACCGTGCCAGGAGCAGGTTTCGGAGAGCATCTCCCTGGAGAATAATGGTCAATTTAATACAATGCTGTTATATCTACCTTATATAAACTTACCTCACTGTACAAACTCAGCTTCAGGACAACAAACTAATCTTGTTTTAACATATTCCACTATTCTCCGATGTCTTAATTGTATATAAAGCATAATTACTCATGACACAAGTACTGTACTAGATAAGATACACTTCATCCATGCAATAATATGTCAACAAATTTATACATCAATATGAATACAAAGGGTTGTGTTTTGATACATGAACACAGTCAACATATACAGTAACCTGATTTACATAAATTCCTTCCAGTATATTTAACTATCCTAAAACCCATAAAATAGTTTTGCTAAGATCACACAGAAGATAATATACCATGTCAGAAAACTCTCCCATATCCAACACAAGAATATTTGTGAGAACACTTACATCGTCGGCTTATGCTAACAACATCCTTCTGCACCAGACGTTGATTTGAAGAATATAGAGGCGACACATATTGTAGATTCAGTCCAGGTTCTACATTTCAACACTTATGATCAGAATAATAAAGCATCACAGCAGGAAAGGCTTTTATGTGTGAAACAACAGCAACTAATAGATTACATCATATACTGTACTACAAAGTTGTATACCTGAATATTATTTGTAAACTCAGTCAAACTAAAGATCAGAATTGTTCAGTAGGATAACACTATAAATCAACACGTAAACAAACATGTCTCCCCACCTCATAGGCCAAGTAGTACAGTATGTCATCCTTTAATACACGAGGAGGAGGGGGGGGGTGTTTAGCCTGTAGTACCATATTTACAGTGCCCAGCTGTCAAACTGTGGTTAACTGTCACAACTATCTAACATATTGGCAAGGTATAGTTCAATTTATGTTAGAATACTGGTTTTGGAATTCCACAGAAGTTTTATCTTCAGAAATCAACATCTGTTTGTTTATTGTCTATAATTCATGGCAAAAAGGTGAAGAAAGTTGGGAAAGATATCAAAAGAAATGAGATTGGGCATTTTTAAAAGAACTGAAAATATTATGAAAGACACTGAAGGCTGTCTGATGATAGAAATCCGATACAATACAGCTCCTACCCGACTTACGACCTACTCGACTTACGACCACACGTCAGTGATTACGCAGTGTACTGACAAAATTTTCGTTTGTAATTCACTTTAAAATGGCTGGCAAGCTTAAAAGTGAGAGTTTTGTGGTGCTGAGAAGAAAAAGACACCCCCATTTTAGATTTTTTATATGTACCCGTAGTACTGTATTATTTAAGCATTTTCGACTTACGACCTGGATTTGGGTCCCTAACCCCGTCGTAAGTCGGGGAGGAGCTGTACAGTAAAGTAAATTTTTCAACTGCATCAATAAGAGTGTGGGAATTCTAAGCTAAGCAGTCTAGGGGTGTGTGAGGTATGTAACTGTTCACACAACGTAATGATAGGCATGAGGAAATTAAGGTCACCTATAAATAATCAGAAAGAGAAAATGAAGGACTAAGTAGAGTGAAGTGCTTCATCTACCTGACGTACAGGGTGATCCAAAAGTCTTTGTGCACCTGCAATAATTAACAATGTAGGTATAACAAGGAACATCTATATTGTTATTTATTACAGGGACTCTTCCATCCACACAGGCACACTTACTCTACAATATGTGGGAGATGGAGAAGGAACAAATTAATAGCCAAGAATAAGCAACATGCAATAAATAAATACAATAAAAGGAAAGTTGATAAACGATATACAGGAGGAAGTTCTAGATGGCATTAAATTTATGCTAGAAAAAAAGAGAGATAAATATTCATAAGTAAATATGAAGAAAATCAAGAACAATATGGTTTGAAAGGTAAGATAGATTTTGTGGACAAGAAATATACTCCAACAAGAAGGAGAGGAAGATGTGCAAGGACAAAGCTACTGCTCAAATATAATCAATATACAAGTCATCAAAACCAGTATCCATATTTGTGTAGCTGAGTGACACAGGGATTAGAGGAGAGAACACTGATAATTTAGTATGGTGTTTGTCAATATTGGGGAAACATTAAACATCAACTCTTACATCACATCAATCCTGAAGATGTGCTACGTCCAGGCTCCATAAAGCATTAGCAACACTGATATGTAAATATTAACTGAAGATATGTATATCATCTGCAGATTACCAATTCACTACAATAACAGAAGTACGGTAATCTGTCACGTTCTCGTAATCAACAACAATTGCTTCCTGCACATAACATATCCACAATCAAATCTTACCATTTCGAGTTCTTCTTTTTCAAAACTTGACTCCCCCTACAAATGTAAAATAAGTGACAGAATGAGTATTGGTGGTTGACTTAAATGTTAAACATTAACAACCATAGAATAAAAGTCTTTTTCAAGGTTGGAGAAAATAATTATTGTACGTATTAAAGAATATTTAATATATTTTATGTAAGGACTTTACAACCTAAATTTTTATTTTTTTTAAATACCAGTGAATTTACTCTCATATCAGTTGTATTTCAATGCATTGCATCCTGCTTACCAGCTTAGTTCGAGACAATTGCAGCAAGTATTCCGTCTTGCCTTACCAGTATAGTACAGGTCTATCTTGATTTAGATAAGGTTGTACAATGTTCTTCAAAGTCACATCATAAACCAAATAATCGTAAATCAAATCATATTCATCCATTAATGATATACATTAGGAAATACATACTGTACAAAACCAAAATTTCCAATGACACTTTGCAACACAGCCTAAATTTCTGCATTAATAAAGAGTTGAAAATGCAATACTGCACACATTGGCAACAATTTCATGAAAAATAACTTTTGTATTTATTTATTATTTGCCTCAATCAACTGAGATACTCCTGAAACTTTACCAATGGCTCTTGTCTTTTTAACAGTCTCACTATGCCTTATCCCCTCCAACTTAACATCTGAAGTGATACCAATAGGGACATTGCTGTTAAGGTCCTCATTTTACTGACTGGATACTTTCCTGACATTACTAAATAGAGTACAGTTTTGCTTGCAATAACTAGATTCAAAAGATTGAATTGGCTTATAACAATTCTGTTATGACAAGTTGTAGACAACAAAACAGGCCGGAACATACTAGGTATGTGTAATTAATTTTCTTCAGATATAATGGGTAATGACATGTTTTCCACCCAAAAAAATATAATAAAATTTAAAGGACACCGTAAAACTGAAAAAATCATTTACTATCATGAAAGAAATAAAAAATCTTAAATAGTTACCATAAATCAAGGTACGTACAATATACAGTACCTGTACTTGTCGTCCTCTCTGGGAGCACCCACAGGATGCACCACTAATAACAATAATAGTACAGTACCCGTACTTATCTGTTATGAATAATAGAATGTCAAAAAGCTGTCCTCATATATAAGGGACACGTTTTTAACCTCGTGTCAATAAAGTTAGTGTCTAGTTCACGAGCAACTTTCTGTTCAGCCCTTCCTTTCATTAGCCCGGTCTTGACTGGAGCACAGGAGCATTGTACTGAGTTATAATTTCTGTTCTTATGTCATACTTGAAAAGAACAGACTATAAAAAAAAAAAATAATAATAATAATTTAAGAGGCCTTCGAGCTATAGTAAGGATGTAAGTCCCTCACCACTTTCAGTGACAGTACAGTATTGTATATACAGTATTATATGTGTGTGTGTATGAATGAATGTGTGTATGACTGTATATGTGCAGATGCATGAAAATTTTTGTAAATATACACATATGTATATAAAATTAAGTACGTGCATGCACATGTGGGGTCATGTGTATACACATGTGAATTAATGGGCAGTTAAACACACATTAAAAATATATTAGAATGGCTATTACCATAATAATGGACATAAAAAGTTTTTAAGGGGGAAATATCATGACAAAATATACTGAATGCAAAGTGAAGCCAGAATTTCTTGATTATTCATTAGCTATGATAATTCTCACGAGTGACTCATCTGTATCATTAGAGGTTGTTACACAGTACAGCCACTGTTTTAATGGTTAAGAGAAGGAGGGTTATCAACACTGCTCACACAATTTTGATAATTCTTCCTGGATGCAGTATAGTATAGAGATGGAGGGAAGTTGTAACCTGGATGGAAAGAAAACATTTCTACCTTTTTCATTATTAAACATTAACACACTATACTGTACATCATAAACTTAAGAAATAAGAAAATGCTTTACCATTTACTACAGTTAAAGAGAAGTTTTGAAATACAGTATAAGATTTTTCTTCTCATTAATATCTCATTAAAGAGGCTCTTGTTCCCAAATGACAAACTGGGGCCAATTTAAACAATTATTAAATTAAAACACTAAAATTCAGTTGAGTCTGAAGATGGTAAGACCAACATTTACAGAATCTAATCACTAGTTTATGTTACAGTCAACACAACATAAAGGTAAATCCAGGGCATAAAATTCATTACTTGTAAAAACAATGACACTGATAAGCAAAACATGGCTAACTTGACCAAGAACTGTGCAACAATGACATCAAATTATTATGATGATGACAAATTGTGCACGTCTGGAGGAAAATGTCATACATCAATACAAATGGTAGACCTCTGAAAAACTCCAAACCCCAAAGTGCTCTTCTACAAAGTATAAGAACTACATAAGCTAATCCTTCATATCAAGAGAAAAAAACTCCTCAAACTCTGGGAAATGCACAATAAATAAGACCCTCCCACAAGAACCTAAATTCAAACTTAAACACCCGTAAAATAACACGGAAGAATGTCAGATGTAGGGCTGGATTCTTAAGAACTTTAATAAGTGATAAAATTTTTGCTTTCCCAATGTAACAACAGCATAGTAAAGTCTGTGGGCCTCTGCATGCATTTATGAGTTAAAAAGTTGAAGAAAGAAGTAGGAAAAGACTGTAATGCAAAAGTACAAGTAAATACAAAAACTGGAAAAATGCTGTCAATACAAGTGTAATAATCAAGTGTGACAATATAGTAGACCACTGAGGGAAGAAGGACCACTACCAGTACTCTCCCATGGTAAGTCCCCAGAGGCAGCAGAGGACAACAGCTCCGTCACCTACACATCTTTGATCACAAACTCGGGAGAGAATATATGAATTTCTTACCAACTGCTTCAAACTCATAAAAAGATTACCTAACTCTAAAAATAATGGGAAACACATAAAATATACAATACATAAATATGATGCCTCAATGAACAACGGCTGTTAATGAAAAACTAACTTTGACTTTACATCTAACTGACAAGATGAATCTAAATCAAACTTTCCAATGCTTGCTTCACCCTCTCAAGGAGACGAAGATCACAGCCATAATAACCCACTACCACGCAGCAGTACTTAATGCACGTTACAGTCAATTTTAACCAAAACAAAGCAAAAAATGATAAAAATTTAGGTAAGGTAAAATTCAAGACTACATAGACAACAACAGTTTTATCGAGTGACAAAAAGCAAGTGGCATGCAAGTACTGGTTGTGGCTCTTTCAGACTCCAGCACCTACTTGACACATGGTCACTCTTCCCATGCTCTGAGGCAGCTAGATCTCTATACCCATCACTGGACCTCAATACATAATTCTAATCCCATGTAAAGACACTATGATCTAACCGACAAAACAAGAAAAAGAAAAAAAATCTAAATTACATGGATTACAAAAAGAAGTACCAGTATACACAAATATATGAAAAATTAATAATAATAATTAAAATATATATATAAATGTAAATAAAAGAGGACCCATTACATACAAAAAAGTAATGATATAGAGTATCTGTAAATATTTACCGTAAGAGTACCTTAATATAGTAGTTCTATAGTAAACGGACATACATCCATTCAATATAAATTTACAGCTTACCTTTTCTCCATATTCTGAATCAGTTATCATGTCTTTCAAAGTCTTCAGAACCTGAATGCATAACTTTTCATCCTTTTCTTCAAGTAACTTTTCACAGTGCCGAATTAACCTGCAAATAAATAAATACTGTACATAAATAATTTAATAAATAAATAAACCTTAAAACCAAGCAAAAAGGTACACAGCCAAAAACAATGTCTGAGTAACAATAACATGTTATAATTAAGAGGAGAAACACCTTCAAGATAAATATGTCCACTGCTCCTGAACCATACACTCTGCTAGGTAACAGTACAGTTTACCAATGCACAGTTGTCCACGTATGTAATGTTCCTCACCTCACAGGCAACTTGGTACATGTGGCAATACTGCAAAGTCAAGGGACCCCAACTGGTGGATGGCAGGGCGGAGGGGGTGAATATCACTGCAGTGTTGACACATGTACTGAGTTGCCTGTGAGGTGAGGAACATTACATATGCAGACACCTGTACTATACCCCCAAGAATCCTAAGTTCCATGAAGAGAATATTTTAGAAAGTAGACCACCCTTGTTATATTGTAATCTGATATTATCCTTTGCTTTCATTATTTACTGTCTCAACATTCTCTGGCAGCTTGCATCTCCATCTTTGCCTCCTTATATTAGTCACATCATAATATTTACTTCTGTCCTTAACCACACCTTTATGTTTGAGACTTTAATATAAGTGAGCTCCTAAGCATCATGAGGAGTGTGACCTTATACATATGTTGTTATCCGCAGGTTACTTCTTTTGTCATCCTGTTTTTCCTTCCTCCTCCAGCTGATAGTCTTTTATTACAAGCTAAAGAGGTTTGAGAGACTTACCTGGAAATAAAGCCACCATTTTTACACTTGATGCTTGCTTCACTATCTGGTCTGAACAGTTTGTGTGGCTGATAGAGTATGTCCACCAAAACAGAGAGTTCAGCTGAAACTAGTGGTCGAAGCTCTGCCTCTAAAACTGATACAACAGAGTTGAAGTCTTGTTCGATGACGAGGTGGTCCATTCTTCCAGACAGCTGTAGAGGGAACAGATAACAGTAGATGACATCATTAAATGAATCGTTCACACAAATCATCTAAAACTGTAATGGTGATGAGATTTCTGTACAAAATTACTATGTTGGCATGTGCAGGTTTGTCATGTAAGGATACTGTACTTAAGACAATAAATATTCATGACTGATGGAAGAGTACAGTACTGGACAGTGAAATATGAAAACCTGTAAAATGTTTAATGTTGTAATTTATGATTCCTCACAACCTGTGATGTTTAAACACACGAGGCATCCTACAACTGCCATAGTTGTCATATTCATAAAGTAATTATCATAAACAGCATACAGTACTGTACAGCATATAAACACATGCCCAAGATAAAAACTAGTTTTTTAATACAGTGTACAGTATTAATATGATCTATATTTGAAAAATAGAATTTGAATTTCCATCAGTAAATCAACATATTTAAACTTGGTGTAACAGGCATAACCCCAAGAGAACAGTTTACAGTATTAAGAAACATGCATATATTTTAATTTATTTAGATTATTAACAGGCATCTCAAACTATTTACAGGAAGAGTTATATTTTATTTGTTTATAAAGAGAGATAAATATTTTTGGATAAGATTCTCCAAGACTCATCCACTTCACAAACAATAACAAAACAGCTGAATACTGAGAGTTGCAAAATCTTCAATTCCTGTTTTCCAGAAAAAAACACTAGGTACCTCTCATAACAGTGGTTAACCTGTTCAGAGCATTCTAGGTCAATGACCGCACCTGTGTATGGTAACAAGGCTACTCAGTTAATCTGTCTGTCTGTCACAACTATCATCACCAAGCATAGATCAGGAGCAAAGGGAAGGGGGTCCTCCAATGCCAACCGGCATTTATCACATTGAGGTGTCTGTCCTCCGATTCAATTTCTGGTTAATCTGCTACTTTGAAATTCAGTTCCAGCGAACTAATTATAAGCCCAAGGGATTAGGCAACTCATGTACTGCATCAGCAAGCTTGCAGGTTTGCCCCCAGGATAACCATAAAAGCTCACTCATGTTACTGGACTATACGGTACTCCCTACATCCAGTAAAATTAGAGACCAAAGGATAGGATCTCGTGTGGTGTTGGAGAGCTTTGTCTCCTCAATTCAAAGTATAAAAAAAACATCAAAACATTCAACATTAATTATCTTAACAGAACATATCCAGCAATGCACATTTGTGGGGCTAACTCACTGCTTTACTCTTGAGATGCTTCCAAGTCACTGTTCTGATGAGCTACACCCAATAGTGCTTTCACTGCAGTAAACACCCTCCAATGGCCTACAAAGACATACGAGAGAGACCATGCCACTTCTGATAAAATTACAATTCCAAGAAATTCTGTCTACTAAAACACATTTATACCCAAGATCATCACTCCATGGTCTGACTAGGAAAATACATCAAAGTATGATTTCTTCATTCCTCTTCTCAATTTGCACTGATAACATGATGATGAGATCAACAACTTCCTACAATGATGACACTTACATGTGCAGTATTCCCACCCAACTATACCTGGTGTCACAATGGAACCTGGCACTTGGCTTTTAGGGGAAAGCTGCTCTGGAGCATCCACACTGGCTGGTGGCCAGTTGGGAGCTAAATTTTAAAAGAACTGTGACCAAATAATCATGCGGGAGGATTAAAACCTTATTGTGATAAGTGCTGGTGAGCCAGACTCCGATCTAGTTTACTCTTTTTACCGATTGCAGGAAACCTCTGAACCTGATTTTCATTTGGTGGCGATGGGTGGAGGACAAGACGATCAAATTATCTAAAATAGATTAAACAATTACCCTTGTTGCCACAGAGGTGGTGATCAATGACTCAGAACACCACAATGGAGAGAAACACTATTGCAAGAGCCAAATGGCTTTACGGTGCATGCTACAAAAATAAACATGGCCAAAGTACACACGAACATCACTCAAATTAACTTCATATCAGATAATAAGGAGCAATACAGTACAGTACTGTATAAATAAATTAAAGTTCCAAAAGTACTTCCAAGGACTTAAAATTATGATCTTGTACTTTGGCAAAGCAATATATATAAGATGTTTATCTGGAGAAAAATAAGTACACAGTACAGTATGATACAGGCATAAAGAATTCAAATTTTCTAAAATACAAATGGAAAGGCTTATTTAAGAGAGAATTATAAGACTTCATATAATACAGACTATCTAATGTTATACACATGTATATACTCTTAGGAAGAGGTTTAACTTGGGATATTCTGTAATGAGGCTCAACATGGTGGAGTGTAGATAACAAACAACACTAATAATGGCTGAAGACAACACACTAAGGAAAATGAAGCTCAGTGCCCTGATGAACAGTGAGGAATAGTTGTTAACAAGTAACATCTGAAAGTTTAAGAATCTGGAAAAAATAAAGAAAATTGAGAGAAAGTCTGGAAAAGATTAACAAACTTTTCAAAGAAAATAGCTTATAGTAGTAAATGGTGAACAAAGATACTACTGTAAAAATATTCTGAAAAGAAAGAAGTAGTAAATATTGAAGAACTGAAATTTGTGGAGAATATTTTAAGCAACTGATTAGAGCAGTAACAACCGAAACATCAAAACACCAGTGAAACATAAGGCAATTAATGAGGCGGTGTGGAGTAAAAATGAGCCACTGTCAGTACCATATTTACTCTTGTCAACTGATATTTTCATATTGTTAACATTTGCATATTTTATCATCCTTTCCACAAATAATTCAGTCAACATGGATGAGTGCAAAGGCTCAGTGGAGTTTATAAATGTTATGTAATGGACTCTGGCCTATCTCTTGTTAACCCACTGTAGACCTAGGGTGTTCTCCAGAGTCATTATTTACCTTACAGCCAAAAAAATGCTAAAGAGTTTCTCCATACACAAATTACAGATCTGAAAAGTGAAATTGGGCTGGAAACATCTTGTGACTTGAAGCCTTAAATCAGATGTGAAGAAGGAATAGTGGACATAAAAGGTTTACACTAGATAGAAAAGAGGAGAATGAAGAGCAGAGAGCACTGAGAGAACACTAGTGGAGAAAAAGGTGTAGAAAGAGGATAATGTACAAAAACAGATAGGTACCAGAATCACATGGTAATGAATAAGGTGTGCCATGCTTGTTAGAGAACATGACAAGATAACCGGCTCAAGCTCTTTTATTACATTCATCATTACAATATACATCAGGGGCATAAAACACAAATAAAAACATTGACAAATCTTATTGAACAATTTCATCTCATAAATCCAGGTTAATTGACATGTTCTAAAGTCTCGGAAATGAAATCTACAGCAAGAGGGATACAGTATATATATCAGTACACATGTATTTATATAGGTCTTTATGTAATGAACAATATAAGTACAGTACAGTATTACTAGGCTGTTGGAATTACAGGTATTTTTGGTATATAAAGTACCTACAGAGGGATACAGTATATATATGAAATACAGCTGCTGATCCCGTCAACGGCTACCTAATTCCTACGTCCGCTACCGTAAAGCTTAGAGAGGAAGAACCTACAGACAAGATGTGGATAGATAATTATTCCTTGACCTGAACCATGTAAAGCAGGAGAGATGGCAAGCACAAAGCAAGATGTCATTCACTTTACTTTCTTGGCTCACCTGATCTCCATCATCTTCTTCGTACATTAAGTCATTGCAAAGCTACAGGGAAATGCAAGAACATCAGTCTTTAACATCCCCCAAGTCTGCCTCTCAAACACATTCTCATCAACAGTCACAAAACTAATAAAACACAAAGCCTCATTCCACACTGATGAAATAATTACCTTCTATATAACACCCCTAAAAATGATGGATATATACAACATGAAACAATATGGTAAAGCTCTGATACATACCACCATCAAGCACACCCTTCTTATATACTGGTACTCCCTTTATTATACAGTACTGTCCTTTAAACTCAAGAGACTGCTGACTTCAATCAAAATTCACAGCTTATATAAACTAGTACAGTAGCTGCCACTGTCATGAATTATTTTTTACATGTTAGTTATTTATCTGGTGCAAAAACATGTGAAGAAAATTAATGTTATTCAGATATTTTAAAATCTCTCTCACGGCTGATGTCATGTCAGTTATAAGTCGACTCTTGGCACAGCCATTCTAGTGAGGCATTTCACTGCTAAAATTTAAGTTACAGGTAATTATTAATCTTTTGGCACATACAGATAAAGCTTCTTATGTTTGATTATGCATTTTAGTGTACAACAAAAGCTATGCAAGGCATTAAAATTATTATAATGGGGAATAAATTTCTGTAATGGATCATAATTAGTATTGCCTGAAACCAAACTCCTACTGTCTAAATACTCAATGAAAAACTTTATTAATTCAGCAAATTATTAATCATTAGAAAAGTACGGTTTTAGGCTTAATTATGCATTTAATAAACAAATGATCCTGTAAGAGGTGTAATACAGTGTACAGGAGTAAAGTAAACACTGCAGTAATGTATGGTGTGTGTGTGTGTGTGGTCCCTAACCCTCTTCCCATTATACAGTGGATTCACATTTGAATTCATGTAACCCCTGTACCTTTTGTACCACAACCACGATATCACTTAAAAATCAATACATTTAATTCTAACAACCTTTTAAACCATGACTCCAAAGAAATCTCATGTACTGTACCGACCTCCGTTTGTAAATTATGGCCACCTGAGTAATTTTACATACAGGTATTATCATGTTAAAATTTTTCCCTTATTACACAAATTCTTTCACCAGTGATTAGTTTCTTTGATGATGCTGCATTTGTTGTCATATCATTGCCTCATTACAACAAACAAAATATCCATGTCAATAGTAGCTGTAAACCTCCTCACCTTTTCACAAATTTCTTCAAAATTAATTGTTATGATAAAAATCTGGTTAACAAAAACTGCATCCTTCTAAAGGTCTTCTGAGTTGCTTTGGAAGAATTGGTTTTACATCTAGTAATTAAAAAATATCCAGAAAACAAAGACTTACTCGCAACCAACACAAGGGTAACTTAGCCTGACAACCAGGAAGTAATGTGAATTCCAAGTCTGTGAAAGCAATGTGCTATTTAAGCCACCAAAATAAAATGATCGAGACGTAATAAAAGAAATAAAACAATGTACTGTACAGAGAAAAGTAATAAACCTTACCGCTGTAACTATTGACATCGGTTACAATCAACAACATGTAAGCTGTTCTTCAATTTACACAATGTCTTCACATATAGAACACAAAAACTCTTGCACTGTTTCCTTGTGAAGACACTCTAGCTGGGGTAGTGTTCTTAAACAGTGAGTGGCTTACCAAGGTTCAATGGCCATGGAAAAACTTCACCGAACACACTCCAAATTTCATCATACTGAATTATGAAATATTTACCAAAGTATACAGCATGTTTGATTAGCAAGACTGTGATAAAATACAATATCTTTCATCCAGTACTACCATAAAAACTCCAACATTGTCTTATAACAACACTGCACAACAAAACTTATAATTAAGTTATAAAATGAAAAAAATAGTTGAGTGAATAATTAAAAAAGAATACTGTACACTTCATAATGACAAGGAAGGAGAATCAGTCCTTCTCTTCATCACTCTGAGTTCTTCACTGTATAAAAATCATCAGCATGGCAGCCGCAGTTTCATTTTCTCTCTTGCCTCCTACAACTTATTATTTATTAAGATTTCCCATCACTCTTAGAGATTACAGTAATTTATAGGTTTTCTTCTACATATTCTTAAGAGCATTACCCACAATCTCTTCATTCTAAGTTACTAAAATACTCACTAATTTTATGAAGCTAAACGTTTCAAGCACAAAAAAAAAAATCCAGAAAAAATTCCTATTCCCCCAATATATATTTCCTTTCATTTGATATATTAAAATACAGATTACTTTACTTACTGAGGTGGAGGAGGCATCGCGTCTCGTGGTTCGGTTGCTCCACTTTGAGGCTGTACGTGTCATGATACTAGTGGTACGTTGTGACATGCTCACTACCTGTGCCTCAAGATCGACTGGGATGGAAATATTGTGTTTACGAGCTGAAAGAAAAAGAAATAAAAATTAATGTCATTTAACTTTTTTTTTTTAAGTGTGATGAAATGTGGTAGGTACAGTTTCAGAAAAAATTCCCTGAACACTGGCATCTAACTCAGGGTCATATAGTATATGATTTGTTTACATCTACTAATGCTGCTTTTCATCACATATTATGCCAGAACCACACAACAGGGAAAAAAATCCTTAATACAAAGAAAAATCTATTACACTGAAATTCCAATCCCCTCACCTAATGATCCTCAAGTACTTACAGGCCAGATACTGCCAACTGTCTAGGGAATTCTATCTGCAACTGCAAGTAAGGCTGTGAGTCCTATGAAGGGAAACACAACTGACCTATACACAAGTTAGACCTGCCCACTACACCGGGGAGAAGAGACCAAGATGTGTGATTTAACTGTGAAATAAGAGGCGAAGAGTTGTAAGTGGAAGACAAGATGTAAGGATCCTATCAACAATTCTGCTGCAAAATTCCTCCCATTAACCAAACAATAAGGATAAATAAGATAAATAAATAAACAAAGTCATGTGCTTACCAACTTCTGTGAGTGTTTTTATGCAGTTCTCTACGTTGACTCTCTGATGTCCCATGACGGCCTGGCTCACCCTGTACACAGCATGGAGAAGCTGCACGAACACTGGCTGCCGCGTCTGAGTTAACAGATCCGGGGCAACAATGAGATGTAGGTTGGTGCAGTTATGGGTTAACTGAGGATCAAGCAAACTACACCACATGTTTACTCTTAAGAAACAACAAGTTTGTCCTTTGTCACTCACTCACTTTTATGTTCAAACATCAGCAAATATACCATTAATATATATGTGTGTGTGTGTGTGTGGGTTTTTTTGGGAAGAATTAGCCCACCGGCACAGGTCAAACGACCCACAACGGGGTCTGGGGAAGAAGAAAGAAATTGAAAATATTGAAGATAAAGGTTATACAGTACCCTACTGTATTAATCTACACCACAAAGATGCCGGAAAACCAGCTTTTTAAAGAGAGACAGATTGTATAAGTATAGAAACACAGAAGAAGGAAGAGCATTCCACAGTTTGGCTGTGTGAGGAAAGAAGGAGGTACTATAACGGGTTATTCTCGTGTGACCAACATCCACAGAGAAACGGTGGGCACCGCGGGCAAGATGTGTGTTACGAAGCCCACGGCCTTGCCGGTGGTACACAGGATGCCAAATCCACCAAAACTTTGCCCGTTAAAGTACCTGTAAAAGAGAGAGAGAGTGAAGCAACATTGCGAAGAAGAGAAAGGGAAGAGAGATTGTCGACTAAAGGAGGAGAGTTCATAAGACAAAATGCCTTTGATTCCACCCTATCTAATAGTTGAACAGAAGAAGAGCCACCCCAGATATGAGAGCAGTACTCCAAGTTAGGATGAATGTGTGTGTGTGTTTTGTGATGTGTTTTGTTTTGTGTGTGTGTAAGTATATATGTATGTATGTGTGTGCTACACACACAAATGTATGCATGCACACAAACACACATGCATATGTACATGCCAATGCATATAACCATCAACCCAACACCACACACATACCTTCATACGTAGCACCATACTCTACGAATACAAATACATTACAAACTTTCACAAATCAAAATAAAAACACACACACAGGCACAGGTGTACAAACACACATACACACACTCACACACAGGCACAAACTCACACACAAGCACACACTCATACACACAGACACTCACTCATACACACAGGCACAGGTGCACACATGGGTACACATATATACATGCACATACATACACACACACACATATATGCAAGTATATACACACTTCTCTCTCACTCTCATTTGCCCTTAAAACTCCCTATACAGTACGGTACAAAAAGAAACATCATGGCAGTGCTTTATCTACCTATCGACATAACTAGCCAGTGAGGTGAAGCATGTTAAAAGATATTTGTTAATTTTGCAGATAGATACATCTTAATAAAGAACATATCTAAACCTTTTAGTTAAACAAAGCACTATACAGTACATGTATTTCTAGTTATATCAATACCATTAATGGATAAACTCAGTAACACACACAACAGTGGAAAGCCATTTACTTACATGGAGTTTCATTAATCATATAATAATAATCAGAGACAAGAGGGTACGCTGTAAAGTCATGAATCTGACCAATTTATTTACATGTTTTTTTTTTATTTCAGTAAAAAAATTCAAGTATATTTTTTTGTTTTGTTTTATACTGTTCTTTGTTACTAACATAAGTAAATCATTAAATGTTTATCTGCATAAATATAATACACAATCATTAAGGTCATTATTAATACAAGAACACTAGCAAAACCAGTCATCATTTTGGACCATGCAATATCTAGACAAATACATACTGATGTATTGTTTCTATTAATCAGTACCATAATGAAACTCACTTCCTCTAGTTATCATAAGCTGGGCTCTTCATGCATAAGTGGCTTAGCCCACCTAACCAACAACCTGGGCATTTTTACTACCCCTAATTTCTATCTATTGTCAAAAATAAAATTGACTACATTCTCTCATTCATTTTAAAATCTTATTTAATAAATGTTATTAATTTATCTTCTGATTTCATAGACAAAATTTCCTAGTGACAGCCTCATAAATCATGCCCAGCCATTCTCATCATTTGGAAATACATTCACCTTTATCTGTTATTCAATTATATTCAACACTCCAGACTGACTTCATATATTTAAGTGTACATTAGTTTTTAAAAGATGTTTTCTTTTAAAAGCTAAGATTTTATAAATAATGCTTCACAACCTTAGCTGTTGGAGCACCTTTAAAAAATCTATCACTTCTTATCTCAAAAACCACTTTTCCTTCATATATGAACATTTATCAGAAAATAAACATAATGTCTTCCCAAAACATACCTATACACCCAATATAAACACTGCACTGTACTGCCAAATGTTAAAAAATTTCAAACTTCACAAACATTCTCCTTTCATCCCCAATAAACTCCAAAACATCCCCAAAGGAACTTAACCTATGCCAAAGGAAGCTATGTAAAAAAAAATAAATTGTCTTTGGCTACAGGAACAGCAAGCCAACCAAACCAAGGGGGTGAAGCCCTCTCAAGCATTGTGGGAGTGCCACCATTTTGGTCAAATACGACTGTAAATTAAATCCCGTGATGCACATTCATAATGAATCTCCGTTTTGTCTCGCCTGTAATAAATATCACAAAAAGCAAGATAACAGTAACACATTTCTGAAGACCATGATGGTGGCAGCATCACTATTAAGATTTTGCAATTGGGTCAAATTCTTACAAATTTACAGGCAAGACATATCTGAGTCACACTTGTTTTGGCTATGTTGTCTTACAATTGCCTACAATTTTGGATAATCTTTTCAACTAAGGTTATTAGCTGCATAACGCAAACAATCTAATAACGTATGCAACTCAAATAATCCATTAAAAGGTCGTGTTGTCCAAATGAAGACACAGTAGTTCCTTTTGCATCACTCCGCCTCGCCGGGTTTAACGAATTAACTTTACCACAAGCACTTCTCATAAGCATAGCCGTATATTCACCATCTGACTAAACGGCAATCCACTGTATTGGAAAGTTTTTATGCTGGGTTAAAACAAACTTGTTTCCACACGTACAAGACCTGTTATTATACTATTGAGGGATAAACAAAACGCCACAAGATATATATACAGCTCACGACTACTTTGAAGTACATTATAGATTTTATATTAATTAGGGATTAAAAAGGTTACTTTTCCTATATAGTCTATTCTAATGTAAAAAAAATTCCTCATCACAGTGTTTCAAAAGAGGCAAAGGCCACTCAAGGTGAAAACAGAAGGGTAACATGCGAACAACCTCAATATGATGAACGAGGATTCAACAAAATACAAAAGCAAACTGGTCAAACCAAACAATAGCTAAACAATGCTAAAATACCTGCAAAGTTCTAGAATGAAGCAGCAACATAAATACAAATAGCAAGCCTGGAAACTTAACAGCTGGCAGCACAGACAGATAAAGAGAGTCATGATGAGCATGCATACTTCTGAATTGTACTGTTGAACATAAGGCTGTCCCCAGAAGTCGCGAGCCTCGTCCAGGTATTTCTGTAAGCAGGTAAAGTGCATGCATGCAATAAAAATTAACCAATCCACCAACAGGCCAAATCCTGAGGAGTATTTCAGAGGTCCAGTACACAGGTTATATTTGTTAGGCTTTTTACCCTCTTTTACTCAAAGGTTTAGTTTACTGGTCAAGCCATAGCTGTCTTTCCTCTCGTCTTAAACATAAAAAAACAACAATAGAATCCAGTTATTGATAACATATACAGTACAAAGGGTACATGAATATAGTTGTTAATTCAGAGGAAATATAAACTGAGTAAAATTTCACTGGCAGTAGATTTGTGCCATAACAGTACAGAGTTACATCTAGCTTTATCAAAATCAAACAAAATGAAACCCATAAAAAATTTGTAATAAATAATTATTATTTCAGATTAGAAAATTACAAACAAGTTCATAATTATTATATGCCATTTCCCACATGCAAAACACAAAGACAAAAGCAACATCTCCCCCAAACACTCTGCTCACCACATGTCCCCGCATAAATATAATTAAATTTTCATTCTCAAAACACATGACCTACAGTACAAAATCTTATATCATATCTAGCATCACATATATGATGCAGTTTCTAAATGTCTAAATTACCATAACAAGACTACAGTACAGTATATTGAAATGGAAAACAAATAAGGTGGCTACTCTACTATTTTCAAAGGATAAGCAACTTCCTACAGTTAAAGAAGGTGGAACATGCAGAATCTCTTCCAAGTATTTTGGTTACTATACATTTTGATTACCCCATACTGCACATTGCAATGTTAAAATAATCTCAAAGATATCTACAATATTGTAAAAAAAAATAATAACAAATAAATTGCGCTTTGGCAAACCTATATCCCAAGGAAAGCAATAACTTGGTGTAAGACGATACAGGATATTAAACAAAATTTAACTACCCTCAGCAAATTAATTCACCATTATGAACGATATTAAGGTTAGGACAAAAATGAAAGACACAATAAAGACTAGAGGTATTCCTCAGTTAACACGGCAGATATATTCTTAAAAATGATCCCAGAGGAAAATGTGCTAAAGGTGAGAGCCGAGTATTTGAGGGAGGAAGTACAAAGGAAGGATGAGTATAAGGTACCCCAAAAGGGACTCTGCTGGGGTAGTCTGTATGTATTATGGGAAATGGCACATGAGTATAAGTTTCCTCAAAACACACACACAAAAGACAATAGGGATAAAATTAAATTTGAGATTTTCTTCAAGTCCGGAATGTAAGCTTTAGAAAAACTTTATTGCAACATCTGTAGTTTGAAGAGATTTTAAATGAGTTTCATATCTTCAAATGCACTATCAAGCTTAATGATACAGATTTATTAAGACATATTTAAGATGACAAACCTAATATGGCAAAGACCCATCTATTTGTCCTGATCTCTGTTACATTTCACCAGTGAACATAGAAATCAGTTTGAAATTTCACAACAGTTCTGTATTTGTCAATGTAATTGCTACTGAGAGTATACCTTTGGCAAACTGGACCCTGAAACTTGTATCTACACAGCTTTAAGATCAATCAAGTTGGTGCATAGATATGGTACCACAGGGTGTGCTTCTTCCCTTAGTAAGAACTTAATGTCTCTTCATAACAACTGTACTAAATAAAGATATATCACAAGATAATTGATCTGTGCCTATGTTTAACAGTGATAAAAGCATAAGCTCATTTGGTAACCACACCTAACAGCACTTAATGATCTTAAATAACATATAGACTGTAGGTGCAAATTGAGAAAAAATGTGCAGGTGCTTCACTCATCCAGTCATGAGTGCCAACATATGAGTGCCCATCTACAAATACTGTAATCAGAAGGGAAATTCCAGTCATGATGTTGTATATTAGTAATACCAACCAAGAGTTTACACCAATGAGTTATAAATTTAAGGACTTTCAGATATAATTTTGAAGTGATGAATTCCCTACCCTGAGTTCCTAACCATAAGTTACTCACAACAATTTCTGTGTCATGCTCTTCCAACCCTGGATTCCTTACCATGAGTTCCGGGTTTGTTCCCACATGTTTTCTACTAGGAGTACCCTTCCAAAAATGTTTAAGCTGGAGTTCAAAGCTAATTTTGTAGTTTGAAATCCAAGGCAACAATTTCCAACCCAAATTCTCAACTATGAATTCTTCAACATTTAAGTTCACCTCAGATAAAATCATATTTGACTCACAAACTACCATAATGACTTTTAATCAAAGGTCAGTTTGCAGTTACCAACCAAAAGATCCCTGCACTAGTTCCAATATATAAACCTCCCAAAATCTGACATCAATTCAATACAAATTACATAATGGCTGACCTGAACTTTGTGTCAACTTAGTATAAATTACCAGATTATTCCCAAAACTCTAAGTCAACTCCTGTCTTGTTCATCACTTCAACTTTTAGAGTGCAGTATATTTATATCCAAGCTGCCAGTCTGAATTAGTAAAGGAGGCAAAAAATTTCTTTTTTAAATCACTTTTTTCCCAGAAGTTTAAAAGGAAGGTTTAAGATTATACAACCACTGCCCAAACAACATTTAAGAGAGTTTAGGAGAAAAAAAAAACTGTTATAACATTTTTATCTTTACAAGTGATAGTAAAAGCTATCTACCATTCATAACCTGTCCTGGAAAAATAAATTTAAAGACAATAAATGCACTTGTATACATTTTTCCTTTGTAATGAGTCACTTGTGATGTAAGAGAAAACCATGAAACACTGTATTGAAATTTATATATATATATATATATATATATATATATATATATATATATATATATATATATATATATATATATATATATATATATATATATATATATATATATATATATATATATATATATATATAAAATAACAACATCTTAGGACTACACAAATACTGTATTACAATACACAAGTGTTTCTGGAAAGTAAAAACATTAATATAGAAATGTACCACTTACTAATACATGCACTAATTAAGAAAAAGTTAATGATCAAGAAGTAACTCCATTACAAAAGCAAGTTATAACCTAGTTTCTCAGCACAAGACAGCACATGTACTGTGTAATCTTAACTGTGAAAAACAGTAAGAATTTACATAGCTGGTGGATATTTACTATACAGTACAGTACAGTACAGTACTTGTTATACCATTACCCAAAGAATCAATACTCCAGTATTACCTGAAGCTAAAGATCAGTTTGATAAAACATTAAGGGTTATGGTTCATTTAAACTAAACTTAACTTTTGTTATGATAATCAAATTTCTATCAAGTTGCTCAATACACTTTCATATCCAATACAGTACAATATATGTAACACATACAGTACAGAGTATTAGGCGTAGAATCTCCAAGTGTCTCCTATACCTACATTCATCCTTACTTTGATAAAACCTAAACACACAAAATAAAACTTTTTTTTTTTTTTTTTTTAAATATTTATAACAGAGCCAGAGAGGAGCTACCCATGGACATACAATACTGTACCAAGCTTTTTGGAGTTTTCTCAGTAAACCTTCAGCCATGGCAACTGAAAGTAATACAAAAATCATTTACTCCCTTGTGGAAGTCTCAGTTTACCCTAAGACAATGATGTGTGATTAGTTATGATGATGCACAATTCATTCTTTCTACTGTGCAGATGGCACCTCAATAGACAATTATGTAAACAAAGTTCCAGAACTAACTTCATCCTACCTTGAAGGAAATCACCTGGAGTGGATGGGAACTAAGCCACTCCTCCCTGGCTTTGTTATACAATGGGTTTTCAGGATTAAACCATTATAAATATTGTGACCCAACTATTGAAAAGCGAGGAGGTAAAAAGAAGCACCAAGTGCTGTGTGGCATACATCAGCTTCTTTCATAAAAAAAGAGTAACGGGCACTCATCATCAATGTTTACAGCCGTGGATAAAACCCAAAAGGGATGCCACCCCCCAGTACAAGCCCATGTACTAGCACGCTGCCTAACCACGCCAACCCAGATAATGAAGCCGAGACCAGGGGATGGGCACAGCTCTGATGACCCATTTGCCTCTACTGTTGTCTAAGTGCTGGTCAAGGCCTCTGCTAATGTTTAATTGTTGAACAGTGCCTTAGGTAATGCTTCAATACTAAACAGTGCCTCAAATTTTTTTTGAGGCAGTAAGAGCAGAATAGAGAATGTAGAGATGAAATAAAATACCTGAGGTAGTTTTAATGGGAAAATCATTTAGAAAGGACAAAATAATTAAAACATTAAGGTTCAAGGCACAGTACAGGAAGATGAGACACAACATGCAGAAGAAGAATAATAGAATCAGCCACTAAACTACAAATATCTAGGAATAAAGCTGGAGATACTACAGTAGGAACTAGTGAACAGGGTGAGTAGATCTGCTTCTGTAAGAAAGTAATGTAGATGAATATCACCTGATATCCACACTAAACCCTCTCGTGGTCTTTCGACGCAGATTGTGTCACTGAACGCTCTCGTGCTGGTGTGACCCCTCCTGCTCAGCCATATCTCACACTGAGAGTATCCCTCCCATAAGCAGAGACGAGGGAAGTCCAGCCCTATCACCCACCTAAGATCCACCCACTAGCCTCATGGGCTGGCAGATGCATCCCTAAGGGTTCAATTTGGGCCTGGATCACTCTACCCAATATTTACTAAAATTAATAAACCGTTCCTGTTACCAACGCTATTTGCATCAAAAGACTGCGAGGGGTTGAGATTCCCGCCCTTGGCCAGGAGCACCAGAGGGTTAATATAAAGAATGGCATGTGGTTAAGTATTCTCCTTAATGTACTAACTACTGTACCAGCTTTACAATTATCAACCACCAATACAACTGATACTGTATATAATTATGAATAACAGAACACACTGCCCCTTTCTTTTTGTACCTGAAAGTAACTAAAATTATATATCTCCAAATAAAATTATCAACCTCTTTAGAATTCATTTGTTATAGAGCATTTTCTTTATTCCCCCCACTCAGGACCTTGATAATCTTACCTGGATAGTTTGACTTTGATCTGAGAATGGACTGTTGAAGAAGGTTGTGATGATGGTCATGAGTGAGTTGATCACGTAGTTCTCCAGTGCTCTGTCAGAGGTAAATGACAATAATTGTTTAAGGAAAAAGTAAAACCATAATGAATAATAGTTACTAAGTGCATTAACAAATTTGTTACTCAATTTCTAACAATTTAATAAATGTTTGATAAATTAATTTGAACACTTATTTCAAATAAACAGGATGGTTTTGTAAACGTCCGAGACACTTTCGTACGTTGGGATGAAAACAAAGAATACAGCATAAACCAGTGTAACATAGATCCCACAAAACACTTTGTTATAAAACATATGTTTCATTTTGTATTGCAGAAAAATCCTTATGTCAAATAGGGATTTTTTCTGCAATAAAAAATGTAACATTCAAATCAGTGCGTTTGATAAGGTTACCCGATAGTTCACAAGTCACTCATGCAGCACAGATAGTCTTTTATTGGCCATCTTGGATGTGTCAGCTAGTTGAATCACCAAGGCCAGCCACCACCCATGCAACTCTTTTTATCCTGTGTTACCATACAGCTTTCATTTTGTGTTTGTGTCTTGTGTGTAGAGTGGAAACTGGTTGGTTCATGACACTGGGTTCCTGCATCCCTCATAATACTCTACACCTTTCACTAGATTCTAAACAATTAAAAGGGAAAAATTAGTGGTTCACTCCGGCTAAAATTAATAGTTCAGCGACAGATTTTTTCATTGACAAGAAGCCCTGGCAACAAGTAGTGGCCACCGTGGAGGAGATACAACCTTCTCATTTTACAAGAAAACTTTAATTTTCCTTTTCTTCTTCTTTCTCTTTAACTTATTATTATAGGAAGCTCCTTGCAACAACTTCTCTTCAATACAGTATGGTGAAATTCCAAAGGATAATGTGGTGCCAATCATCTTGGTAAATGGCATAATGAGCATTTGTAAGAGCACGTAAAGGGATATATACATAGAAGTGAGGGTGCGTGTAATATTGTGTTTTTGTGAGCGGGGTGAATAAAAATTCTGAACCAAATATTTATTCAGCAAAAAATCATCATACAATTTCACACTGGATCACCACATACATAAACTGTCTTGGTATATAAACAATAGCAAACAAGTCTTATTCAGCAATATATCATAAGGATCATTGTAGTACATTAATTTTGTAACCAGAATGAAGGAGCTGTAATAAATTAGAAAGATTAGAGTACTTGATATAGTCGTTATTATGTAGCAGCTTGTTCATGTCTGAGTAGTTTTATTGCTAGTGCATTTGTTAATCACAAATATGTATCACTGCTCAGAAATTAATGCAGCATAACAAACACTAGCCACTGAAATGACATCCTTCCTCAATTACTGACACTCAAAGAAACTTAAAAAAGTTTGGAATATGCTTTTTTGAAATTATTGTATATTATATTTGATTTCTTACTGTACTGTATTATCTAATATTTTTTACTGTTTACTGTACTTCTAAATATCAGAGTAAATCAAACTTTGATCGGTGTTCTCACTGTATCTCAGAGTTTACGAGTGTTTTGCTATCACTTGTTATAAATCTAGTGATACCATGATTAAAAAATAATTTCCCTGCAAAATAGTGTGACATGTGACTTGGTAGCTTCTAGCCTGGAAGAGACTGCAGTTTTTTTTATAGCCTTCTATATGGGCTAAAGTTGTTTTGTGGATTAGGAGACTAATCTTATGACTATTGACCCTGTTGACATATGTTAGGAATTCTTGGTTAAAAATAAAAAAATCAATGTAGATCGGCTTAGGTTATAAAATTAAATCTAATTATAAATGAAACCATACATCCATTAGTTCATTATTAATACCCATCAACATTTAACATAAAACAATCTAAAGCTACTTAATAAGTTCATTTACTTTATAACTTATCCCCAGACACTTTTAAATCCCCAAGAGGATAGTAACTTATTCACAAGGTACAAAGCTGTTACAAGTTTGTGGAAGAAGACCTTTATGTACAAAAAACTGAAAGAGTGTTATCTTAACTAATACTCCAGAAGATAAATTGGTAACAATATAATACTGTACTTACTTGTCAGCATGTCTGCGGTCAGGAGGAGCTGTGGCTACTCTACCCATGTCTACCAGGAAAGACTTTTCAAATAAGCTCCAAATATGATGCGAGTTGTAGATTTCCTTCATTTCAACCTCAGTATCGATGTAGCAATGGTTGAGGAAGTTGATGTAAGCCTCTTTAACCTACAGGAATGAATATATTATATTAAGAATATACATTTGGAAAAAATTTACATCATACATCGATTTTAACCTTAAACATTACACAGGATAACACTACATCATGTTTCATCTTACACTACATCATATCAAGTCCAATCCTTTCATCCATCCAAGAGTCCAAAAGTGAACTAGATAATCCCACAAGAAATAGCAGAAAATGAGAACAGGTGGTGTGTGAACAGTTCAGCTGGGGGGAGGTATTAAAAGAACCCCCATTACTCCTACAGTATGTCCAAATGACAAAAATTATCAAATAATAGTTTCTATCCTCTGACTACTGGTATCTCCAAAACTAATGCTCCAAGTTTTATGAAGTTGGTGATTGTCATATAATTTACCAGTCCTCTGCCTGTTTTTAACCTCCAACCAAAAGCCATAAAATAATCAGTTAATTCCTATTCCCTGTAACTTTGAACTGAAGCACTTGTTTTATAATTTCCACATCATTTGGTACTGGAAAATGAAAGATGTTATTTTTTTTTTCATCACCAGAGTAGCATATCAAAGTTTTCTTATACTGTATATCTCTCTATGGTTTACGTAAACATTTCCATAGGACTAAAGGACATTTTCTATACTCCATCACCTGTTTTCAAGCCCTCTTAGATAATTTCAAATCCCTTACTACTACCCGTGTATCTTCTTGACAGCCATTTCCACTCCTCCTCTTGGTATTCTCATCCAATTGAATTCCTCCCAGAACAGCTGCTTGCCCTCTTCAGCCCTTGCTACAATCTTTCTCCGTCTTTCATCGTCTTTTCTTTTGTATTCAATCGCCATATTTTGCTTACCTTTCTTCTTAATCTCCCCGTACTTTACTATATTCCTCCCTTTCTTTGTTAATCTCTACTTGTAACCTTGAGACACACACACACAAAGCCTCCCCTTCTCATTTTCAATCTACTTCTTAAGGATCGCTCCTCCAACTCTGGCATCAGCAAGAGAAACGGTCATTGGTCCTAATCAAGTCTATTTACACACAGTAGACAACAGCTCTCATACTCCATAACCATTGTCCCACTAAAACATAATGTCAATTCAGGCTAAGTTTTATATGTACAACCCATAAAATAACCAAAAGTAGGATAGATTTTGTCAAATATCCTTTGTATAAACAACAAGAGATCTTAGATAAGTTCATACAATATTCCATTACCATATTATACTATGGATGGACTATAATACACTGAACAGAAGCTTGACATGCAAAATTTCATCTCCCCCTTTGCTAAGAAATCCATATAAAAATACAATTAAATACAAAATCCATATAAAAATACAATTAAATACTGTAAATTGTAAGTTAACCGACTCAACAAGGGATGAAAATGATGAAAAATGTTTAATACACTAATTAAAACTAACAATATACATTAAACTGACTACAAACACGTGGGGAACTACCAACGACGACATCGCCATAATTTATAAATAAAAAAGTAAAACCTTGACACTAACTGGGTGATAATAGTGAATGAACAGTAAAAAATGTAGGATCAAACAGTGTGAATGTTGTCCACTAAAACTCAATATAAAGAGATATGTCCAATACTGTGTCATGCGAGAACCCAAGTATGTACATTAAAACATCTATTTTATGACCTTAGATTTTCCTACTTTGTTTAATTGAGCTAAAGGAGGCCAAGTGTTTCTAGGCAGAGTTTAGGCAGTTTGTGTGACATACCAATAAACTGTAACACTTCAGAACCACCACCACTACAATGTATGAAATGTGACTCTGACTGACTAGAAATTAAGTAATTTGCTCAATTGTTTATAAAGTCGACCCTCCTACAACATGATTAAAGACAATACAATAATGGAGTCATAAAATTAAAAATAAAAGGATTTAAATTATACTAAATCATGAATATACATAAATAACTGCCAGGAAGCTGGTGACAAGAAGCTACAGGCTTAAAATAACTTAAGGGCTCAAAGCACTTACGTGTAAACTTCAAGATACGTAACCAATCGTCTGTCACTTTAGCCTAATGAGAATTTTATTCATTAAATAAATATTAATTATATGTAAAATGATGCAGGTTGTCATGCATAGCAGTTTACAGAAAAGAAGAAAGAAACATCACAGGTAGGTAGCAGCGAGGCTAACAGCATGGAGTAAACAATGAGAAATATACGGAAGTCGATCGGCAGTCAATGTTTATACTATCATAAGTAATAGTTTTAATGAACAAAACTTGAGTATAATTGTTTCGTGATAAATTTTTTCTTGTTTCTCCTTGATCTCTTCTCTGTCTCTCTTGAGCAGGTTAGTATAACCTTCATTCATTGTTATATATTGACTTAAAGAGGTTCATGCCTCAACATACAGCTCGTGAGTAATCAGGATTCATCAACACTTTATCAGATCCATCTTGGCTTGAGTCACTACCATTGTGAGGGACACAGGTACAATATACCAGGAGTTGTCATTATCATTATTCATACATTTTCTTTTCTGTCTTCCATAATTAGTTTGTGTATAATTTGTAAAGAATTTGTTTCTTCTTTTTCTCTACTCCCTTATTCTCTCTCTCTCATCTTCTTTCTTGTTCTGTCTTCTCTTGCTCCCTCTTCTCTCCTTCTCTCTCATCTTTTCTCCCTTGCTCTCTCTTCTATTGTTTGCTTCTGCTCTTTCTTCTTCTTCTCCTCTCTCTCTATCTCTCTTTTGTAGGGCAATACCACTTTTAGTATTTGTTATCTTATCTAAGAAGACTCAGGCAGTGTAGCTTGGTGACAATGACCACTTGTGTGGGAGGAGGGGTTGCCACTGTCCTTATTCACTATATATAGTACATTTTATGGATCACTTAAAGATTAACCACCCTAAAACTGTTTTTTGGGAGGATGAGGTTAGGTTAGGTTAGATTAGATTAGGTTAGGTTAAACCATTAAGTGAAATAAACTGGAGGGGAGATCCCTTAGTGATCCAATTATTCCTCTTCCATCATTAGTTGTAGAAAAATCAGAGAAAAAACAGTTTAGTTCTTTTTTTTTCTTTTTTAAGTGAACAATTATGGCTTCTAAAATGCAATTACCATAATATGTAACCACAAAGCCTCAATGGTGGTAGATTTGAGACTTTGTACTCTATGTGGAGACCAAAGTTGATGAGCTGCACTTAGCCTTGGCTACTACAAAGGAGGTTGCAATACTGACCCACACAGGGTATATATATATATATATATATATATATATATATATATATATGTATGTATGTATGTATGTATGTATGTATGTATGTATGTGTATGTATGTATGTATGTATGTATGTATGTATGTATGTATGTATGTATGTATGTATGTATGTATGTATGTATGTATGTATGTATGTATGTATGTATGTATGTATGTATGTATGTATGTATGTATGTATGTATGTATGTATGTATGTATGTATGTATGTATGTATGTATGTATGTATGTATGTATGTATGTATGTATGTATGTATGTATGTATGTATGTATGTATGTATGTATGTATGTATGTATGTATGTATGTATGTATATATATATATATATATATATATATATATATATATATATATATATATATATATATATATATATATATATATATATATATATATATATATATATATATAAGCATTATGTTAAGCTCTTCTAAATACTGTGCAGTAGTTGATTTGGATTTCTAGAAGTGCTATAGCAAGGTACAGTTGAAGTGAAATTATTTGCTTTTGGAGAGGAATCCCATAAGTCCAGGAGCCTAACCCCTAATTTCCTCATAGACTTTTGTTTACACTGTATTTTTAAGGAACCTGACCCCTCTGTTACAGGAGGGTCGACTGTAAATAAACTTTATTTTGTGCTTTTCCCTCTCGATTGTCAGACTTCTTGGCGTAACCGACCCACCACCCTTCCCCATGTACGTCAGATAACCGAGGTTCTACTGTATATGGAAATATTTACTTTACATGCCTGAAGACTTGTGTGCTCTTCCCAAATACTACTCATAAACAAACAGAAATTGATGTGTTAACACTGAGAACTAAACTTTAACAAATTTATAGTAATTCAGTTCATCATCTAAACATGAGCAAAACTAGAAAATTCAGCTCAGCAAATATTAATGTAAGCAACATGGTGGTCAATTTCTTTGTTTTCTTGCCACTGTGCCAAGACATAAGGCTGCACAGGGCACTTGAGAGTAACTATAATATACACAGTACTAGTACACAGAAGAAACAAACACAGAGTAGAATTTATAATAAATGGTATACAGAGAATGGTGCGTGTTTTAGCATAAAGAAAGGCACACATTTAAGAGTGAAGTATACCGGTGAGTTAAATGGCAGAATAAGAATGGATGGAGACTTTGGATACTGAACACATGAGAGGTAAAGTAACAAAGTTCTACTGTACACACTTGCCATACATCATTAACATCTAAATGCAACACCAATACTCAGATTTATTGACCTACAGCATTTTTTTCTATCACTGTTGCTGTTTTCCCTTCCCTCAACCTTTTTTTATTGCTGCTTGTCAATTCCCTTTACAATTGTCACTTATACTAGTTGCAGAGATACAGTACAATGGATCTTTAAAATAAGGTGATTTCCTTCATGCCTCCTATACATACATACTATATATCAGGGCTGACACACATCTCTGGTGAAAAAGGTTAAGTTCAGCCCAGGGCCGAGATATCCCAGAGTGACACTTGACGCCTTACAAACCCTACACAGCTACAGGTGACAACCGTGGTCTCATTAGTTGGCAATGCACAACAATTACTATTTAGTGACAGCCCTAATATTAATGAAAATAGACAAAAAAAGCAAATAACCAAAAAATTAACAAAGGAAGTAACTAAATAATAAGATAACTCTATAAACAACAAATATCCCCACAATCATTAGACGACAACTACAAATTTGAGAAAAAATTATAAAAAGTAATCAACGGAACAGCTTGATAATATATTGAGGTAACCTAGTGACACACAAATAATATACAAAATTAATTTGTTCTACACTATATACATTTTGCATAATCTTGCAAACTGTTATGGGTAAGAATGAAATATGAATGTATGGACAGATGAACAGACAAGTGATATAGCTCCCTGCATACACAGTAGAGGTATATAAATAAATAATAAAATAAAAATATAATAAATCAAACTGACAACGTGAGAAATGTAATCAGGTAATTCATGAATGCTTGTAATGCAATCCAATAAACTACCTGAAATCTACATAGCATACTATTCAGGAGATCTTATAAATAATATTCAGTGGGAGGACAGTAGAGATAGATGTATGAGAGTAACAGTGTAAAGACCAGTGCAAATAAATATGTTCTTTGGCAATGAGGATATTAAATGTCACTAGAGAGAACAATATACGACCATCTTAAAATAATAAAGTACCCAAGGCATATGTGTTTCAAATTTAAATAAAATCAGTGGAGGAGTTATCAAGATATCACCCAAAAAGTAATGAACCAAGGAAATACATATCGGTTCCCCATACTACTACTTGAGGGCAGCACCAGCCTAAAATAAGATACAGCACAGTGATCACTCCCAGGGTTTGTGTGTCAGGCTGAGAGGAACACTCCACTTATCATGTCACCCAAACTTTGGTCTACTCAATCCAAACATGTTAATTAGTTCTTCCTAGATTAGTGTTCAAATGACCAGCTAAATTTCATTAATGTCAGTCCAGAGAAGTTTTGAGATATTTTGTTTACAGTTACTGTACATACATACATACATACATACATACATACATACATACATACATACATACATACATACATACATACATACACACACATCAACAAACACACAAACAAAATCATTACAATACCCCTCTATTAGCCTTCAGGTAGGGGAAATAATTTTACAGTACAGCACTACAGTACTAGAGTGTGTTACTAGTATTACGTATTATAAAATTATTTAAACAATAAAAATAATGATAGGTGCTAATCTATTATCATAATTCAGAGGACACTGTCACGGATAAAAAGAAAAACACAAAAATCATTTACAGTACTATATGTATGTAGAGGCCCGGCACAGTGGCTGTCTCGCAAATTGTACACCAGAGGAAAATTAATGTTAATTTTTTTTCTTTTCTCAGAGACGGGAATCATTACAAAATCAATGAAGATGGCAGAGAAATTAAGAAAAATTAACACTAAAGGAAAGAATCAGTTTAATGTTTATGTACACTGAACCAGATAGTAAACACCAATCAGTTGCAAAAGAATTTAATCAACAATATCCAGGCATGTGGGTGCTGTCAATTAAAATCTTTTCTTACTAATCGTAGCATCTGCCTTTCCAAACATGAACATTAAACTGAATTCTTTCCTTTAGTGTTAATTTCTCTACCATTTTTGTTAATTTCTTAGGAATCCTCAGGTGAAAAAGACAAAATAGAAGAACATTAATTTTACTATTGTGCATGGCCTATGAGACACCCTGTATTTGTGTGTGTAAACAATGAATATGTATATGTAAATGTGTATACTGTATGCTCGTCAGTTTCAGTGTGTGAGTGGGTATGTAAAGTTTTTCTACAATATACAACATAAATTCAGAATATAAGACATCAAAAGTATTAGTTAAATGGTAGTAACACAGACATAAAATGGACATAAGACTAAGCTAAAACAGGTCAACACATGGAATGGCATTTCAGCAGAAGTGAGCCAGAAGCAGATAGCAAGAAATATTAACAATAAAAAAATCTCCTTGAAAGATAATTCTTCATACAGAATTGAAAGTGTAATTATGGCTTTTACTAAGCTGATGGTAAAAGCATAATGATTGAAGGTATACATATACTGACCAGTGATAAGCTCTGGCAATGATTGACCTTGTAACACCTGGATGAGACTTAGTGTGGTGTTGCATTATTGTAAATGAAAATAAACTTATGGTGATGTTCGTGACGTTTGTGTGAATATTACAAGAGTTTTAAGTTCAATTAATTCAGTGGTACGTCTACTGTAGTTTCCAAGAAAGTTTGTCAAAAAATCAGGTGTATTTTGTTTGATCAGTCCTGAATTCTTATAGTGTACAGCAAAATCTTTTGAAGTTATATAAAACCTTGCTGCTGAAATTCATTCCAGGGAAAAAACAAAAACACACTGTACAATAATTGCTGTGCAATGCAAGAAAAGAGAAATCAATTAAATAATTTGTAAACTAATGTTATGGATGATAATAAGCACACCAGAAACTGTCCATCACTATAACATCTATCAGTCTAACAGTTACAATACCTCAATAATACACTCAGGGTGTGTCACAACCGATACAATGTCGTCAAGTGTTATAAGACTGTGACATTTAATCTCCGTGTAAACGTTCTTGCCTTCAGTCAAGTCGGCCAGTAGGTTAACAAGTTCAATGTGGTACCTATGGGGGGGATGAAATAAACTGAATATCATTTTTACGACCATATGCACACATGGGTAATAATCTTTGACTGGGGTCGGCACACTCAGAGGAGACAGCTGTCCAGCATCATAAGGAGGATTCCTAGAAAATCAAAATTTTAATATACAATTTAAGAGGGATGATTAATTGCCTCATTCAGTGTGTAATATGACAGTACAGTACACAGCCCACATACATTTGAACAGATTGTGTGCCCATAAGAAAAATCACAATACTACTGTATATAAAGAAAACTTGAATGAAAATTTTTCATTCTCATATGAATTGATCTAAATAGGACAGAAGATCATTCCAACTGCCTATTTCTCAGGCTGGATGTGTATTCTAATAAAAAAATACAGCTTTGATCAGCTAACCAAATCACTTCTTAATAAAATCAAAGCACACACTATAAACACTCTAAGTTGGTAGTATAAACCTAAAATTGAACTTTTGAACTTGAAAAACTGTGCTGAATTGGTAAGAGATCAAGTCATTGGGAGGTTGGGGGGGAAGAATAAGCCACCAATGAGGACAGCTCCTATTTATTGCACTTCTACTGTTGAACTCTTCATTGATACCTTGTGTACAGGCTGAATAAAATTGTTCGGCATCCTTGTAGTGAAGGGGTTAAGATACACAAAGTATGCAGTAATAAACAGGTACAATAGAAAAATATTTTTGCTGTTTTTGGTTTGAGATTTCTTACTGTAATATTGGCTGACCCAGATTATGAAAGGTCTGTGTTTCTGAAAACCTTTCATTAATCAAACAGTTGTAATTTGACTTCCATTACATAAAGGCAGATATTACCTTAAAAACAAACTTGCCCAAAATATACTAAACAAAACTAATAATCATAATAGTAGAGTACTGTAATGTATATACCCAAATAAGTTCCTTTAATGAAGATAATTCTTTAACCCCTCGCAGACATATCCCACAACAGCTGAAGAACGGAAGACCAAACTGTTATGGACACATCCCACAACTGTTATGATATAATTCTCGTGGAATGAAAAATATTGTGTTTTTCCCAATCTAGACATATTAGACTCTTAATTCGTAAGAAGAAATATATATATTGTATATATTTTGTTTCATCTTTTCATAAATTACTCCCAAAAATTGCATCAGGCCAATTTTGTAAACTTGGAGGTACACCAACCAAAGTAAATGTATTTTGTTTGCATGAAACAGGAACGGTCGGCAGAGGCGGCAAAAAATTAAAATAACTCGGCTGGGTGTTATCTAGTCTTGTTCAAATCAACACTTTAGGAGGTAGAGCTTGTAAACAAACAAGAAACACATCAGAGCAAACAGTACAGTATGAAATACAGAGAAGACAAATGACAAACAGTGACTACAAACATTATACCTTAATTGAAAACAATACTGTATAGAGTTGTACTGTACCTGTACAGTAAATATTTAAGAATATACAGAAACTTTAAGAATAACTGCACTAGCAAAATTAAAACCAGACATCAATATATTTTGACACTATTGTAATGAATTATATAAAATGTTTGGACAACTTAGGCCAGACACAGTAAGAAGTAAAACATCTCCCCCTCCCCCCCATGTATATCAGTACAGTACATGTATATGTTTTTGACACATGTTAAGAGGCTGAACTACACTGTACAGGTATACTAGCCAAGTTCAGTATGGGATGCTCCCAGATACCTTTGTCAGCACCTCCACATCTTCCTACGATATGAAAAGTAACCCAAAATATTAGGAACCTCGGGGTTTTCAATCACATTACAAACAGCAGAATAAAACAAAATTGTACCTTCAAAAATTCGTATATGAGACTTTTGTGAGTCATGATCTGCTGTTTAACATCCTTGAGAGTGAGAGAACATCTTGGCAGGGAGGGAATTGTGAACCAGGGCAAAGCTATAAGATTTAAACATTCAGCACAACAACACAATAGAGTACTGTATATTGTTTTTGCCTACGAATTTTCCATAAGCCAGCTAAGGTACACGTCCAACCTGAGTCTGAGGCAGATGAGACAAGCAACTGTCAAATCTTGGATCATCATACAGAAGAAGAGCTTTTTTTTTAACAACACAGTAATGAGTCTAGGCAATGTAAGAAAGAACATAATGGAATAATTAATGCAATTTTGAAGTTTTGCTTAAATCAATTTTTGTTTTACCCAATATAGGCAATAAATCATTCCTCTTGGTTTTAAATAAAGCTGTCTTGTTCCCCCTCCAACAATGCAGTGACAACTACTGGCCAACATACACCCCTCCACATGCCCCAACATCATCTGAAGCAGCATTACCTCCGGGATACAATCCGCGTGCTCTACCATAGCCACAATGTCATCCAAAGGTAACAGACTGTGACATTTGATCTCTGTAGAAGCATTCTTTCCCTCAGTACAGCAGGCCAACAGTTTCACCAGCTCTATGTGGTACCTGTAAGGTGGCTTTTCAGGTTATACATGGATAATGCTTTTCATTAATATTATTATTATTACTATTATTATTTTTACAATATTACTATTATTATTATTATTACTATTATTACAATGTTATTATTATTATTATTTATATTACTATCATATACTGTATATGTATAATCTTTATTCATATTTAGTCTACGTAAGGTGTCTTCCTAAACACCAGTAGGTAAGTCTACAGAGGGACAAATTATATGATCTTCAGAGTAACTAGCAATCTAAATCCACCAAAACTAACTTTTTCCTCCCATATGGTGAAAGATATCTCTTACAGACAATCACAGTTAGACTAAACAAAAAAAACATCAATCTACAGGTATTTAACAACTTATCAACCTTTATCAATTCTCAACTACCTGTACATGGAATGGAAACTAAACAAATATAAAATGAATGCAATATTATGTCAGTTATGAAACACAACATTACAAAGGAATTACTTTCTCATGACTACCAGACACCAAAGAACAATACAAATACTGGTAAGAGAAATGATTCCGACTGTGTTCATGGTTAAGACAGGAGTAAAGTGTGATCCTGAATGTTACAATAGGGTCACTACAGAGTTGGCAAGGAAATTATGTCAACAATGTACTATACTGTACCAGGGTACACTAAAATACTGCTGTACTTAAATTTTGATACAGAGTAATTGTATCAGTACATGGGGAGTGTTCTGTCAATTTTTTTATGTAATGAATCATTCCTTTGTTCATAAAGAAACACATGCCAATTTTCCCAAAATCTCACACTTCCAGAAATCACATATTCAACAATTTTCAAAAAAATTATCAATAAGAAATATTGAAGAAAGTTTAAAAAATAAATTAGCAAGAGTCCATTTCATACCACACTGCTGCATGGTCTTCTTAAAGCTGTTTCATAATTTGTTTACATGGCACCTTAAGCAGAGATTATAACTGTGTCTGGTAAGGACATGTGTACTGTAATTTTATACAGTATTTTACTAATTCTATGACCTTAGTAAAGTATTCAATAAAATGTCTAAATATATGGGATTCAATCAAAAAGGTAAAGATAAAAAGGTTGGAGATTAGGAGGGACAGATACCATCAACAATGGCCAGCACTGAAGTTTACTCTGCTTTAAAATATTCCAATTTGTGATATTTTAAAACAAGTATTCATGAAAATAGTATACTGTATATACAGGTACTTGTATTTATCATAAATACAAAATATTTTATATGTTCCAAGTGCTGTTAAATATTTGTGATGACTAAATGCCATTGCTGGACATGAGGAGGAGGAGAGACAAATAGTGGGCAATCATTCAGGAGTATTTGCCAATGTTTGCTATAAAATTTTAAAACCATAATTACACTAAGCTTTGTCAACCTTATACTGTATAGAAAAAAGATGCTACGAGATATTCATTGTCAGGTTGTAAACAGCTATCAAACAGAGAGGTACTACTGCCTGGGAATATATTGAAAGTACAGTATAATGTGTTGTCTAATGGTAGACCCTGCTGCCATACGGCATCACGAAAATTTACCAAATCCCAGGCTGCTGATCTGACTGACTTTCTGCTTCATTTGCACACAATTGCAGGGTCTCAATTGTTTCTCTTACTTTGACAACACAATGTATATACTGTATGTATATAGTTTCTCACTCTTGATCTATTTTATGTTTTCCATTTCTGTATTCATTTATGGTTCAATTTATTTTTATTTTGCCTACCAGTCCTCGATGTAGACTGTGCCTGGGTGGGCTAATCCCCATTAGAAAAAAAAAATAACCTGTTATTGACCATCTTGTATCAATATCCATTTAAATCCATATAAACTCTTCTGACATCATCTGACCTCTGAAGAGGAACTTTCATGAATTTACAAAGAGTGCATTTGTGCATGCATGAAAGTTTACTTATTATGAAGAGACACTAATACTTATTTATCTTGTACAAAAGTGTTCAAAGTGTTGCTCTAAATAAATAAAAAAAAAGCATAAGGAGAATTCAAACTTACAGCCAAAAATATTTTCCTTATCAGGAACAATTCCACTAAGCTGATACTGTTAAAAAATTATAAATTCAAAGTAATAATCAAATGTAAAATCAGCAATACCTGAGCGGACTGCATTCATCATAGTCCATTCTGTTGCGGTCAGCTTTCATCATTTCAATGAACATGTTGAATGAAGCTCTCTCATTGTAGAACACTAAAACGTCTTCACCAGCACTCACCTGTTTACAAGAATAACAAAACACACCTCAACTCCAGTGTACAAATTAGAAGAATTATTCTACTGTTCTACAATGACAACTGCCACTTAATTCATTAGAGTTCCATTAATCACACAGTACTTCAGCCACATACAAGAATGAACATCACACACTCCATTATTCCTGTTCCTAATGCATCAAGGTAACATACAAAGCTGTAGCACTGTCCACACCTGTTCCTTCAACTGTTTTCAGAGCTGCAGTTAGTTAATGCAGTATATAAACATTCTGCTGTTTGATGACAGTATTTATAATTTCATCATAAAAAATTAATAAATTTATAAAAAAAAGAGAAGACAAAAACAAGGGAACTACTCAGATGGTGCATTTACAGATGGGGTGACAAAACCTGCCAGGAGGAACATGTCTCTACCACCTATATTAGTTTATGACTCACCTCCTGCATAACCATATCTTGACTTCGGCGAAGGAACTGTCCTTCAGCTTTGACAATAGTCTGGAGGAATTTGAGATACTGAACATGTCGGCCATGAGTTTCAATGCAGTGGATGAAATGCTGTATGACACGTTCTGATACTTCATTACACAGGTGAGAGTTGTCCTTGAACACAGCACAAACTGTCTTGGCTTCCAAAAGCTGTAATAGTAAAGTTTGTGTAAGTCAGGACTAAGAATTAGGAGCTAAATGACAATAATTATAAAACAATGCTGGCATAATTCTCTTCTGCTTTCAAGAGGTTTATGGTATATCTACAGTTTAACTTTAAGAGTTAAAACTAAATAAAAAATAATGAATCATGTATGGTACAGTATAGCTTAAAAAGACCACTCCAGATGACAACACTTCCCTTCTCATATCAACCGTCCATTTTTTAATGAAATAAAATAAAGCAATGTCAGTTGGTGCCCCAAGCTTCCAGTAATGCCTCACTCACTACTATGTCACCCTTAGTATTCATCACTCACTACTATGTCACCCTTAGTATTCATGGGAAGGATGAGGCAGTGATATCAGGCTTTTAATGCTTATTTCTTTTAAGGTTTATGATTTCAATCTCAAATTGTTTTAGAGGTAATAATAATAATAAAACTACATAAATCAAGAACACTCATTTACAGAATGATGATAAATTATAATAACTAATTAGCTACAATATGACCTTAAAATTAGTGGGGGTTAGGTTCTCAAAATGGCCACGAATAGCATTTACTGACCAGGGGGGAGGGGGGTACATTTTTACTCGTGTGCAAAGAAATATATCTGTATTCCCTTTACGTGTTTGCCCTTATAACAATTATTTCTTTGACCTGTTTTATATATATGTTTGTGCACCCACCCACCCACACATAAATAATAAAGGGAAATCCATTATCAAATAATAAAAAACAAGACAACAAAATGTACAAAAAATGTGAGTCTACCTCCCCAAGTAAACTCCGTGCTTTGTTATTAAAGTTAACTTTAATAACAAAGCACGGAGTTACTTTGGGATCCTCTAAATAAATAATAAAGTTGGTTGCTCACCCCAGGATTCAGGAAGAGATCAATACTCTTGTATAGAAGAGCTTGATTGGGCCGATCTCCAAGGCAAAAGTTCTGAAGGAACTGATGTGCTAACTCAATCAGTTCATTCATACGTTTATCTTCTTTTTTATCATAAGGAATCTGAAGAAACAAATAGTAGTATACAGCTATATGATAAATGGTGGGTTGTTTCTGAAATCCCATTTTATAATTACGTCTGATAATCATAAAATGTGAAAATCACGACTAAGTTCAAGGGCTTAGGAACCTAGTAAAGCCCTAAACTCAGCACTGGGGCTTATTTGCACATAAGCCTCTCTCCCATAGCAATCCTTGCCTATGTATAGAAGTGAGGTTTGAGAAGCTGCAGTTGCCTGATGATGGAGAGTTATAGAGTTGTGAGACCACACAGTGCATGTGTTACCCATTACTAAGATGTCTTATAAGAGTTAGCATTATTTTAACAATAGTAGTGCCAAAAAAAGATTGAAGCTTCTTTTTTACATTAATATTTTCAATTATAAAATGTAATGGATATCATGTTCTTTACCTAACTCAATTGGATTTTCTTGCTATTTTCTTTTCAAATACAAAGTCCTCAAAAAATTTATCAATAGAAACCAATAATTTCCTATAAATAAATCCATACCAAAAAACTGGGAGTTTTGTCAATAAAATCACACTCATACCTTAAAACTTGTCACATAAAATTATAATGGACCCTTACACAGTACTGTACTTTATTTAATATCGCCTTTTAGTGTTTACACAAACTATCAACCCTTCCTTCTGTAAGAGGGACTAACAGAATTCTGAAAGTCAGTGAGAGAATCTCAACAATATATGCACCTACAGTACCTGCAACAACTCTAAGACAACAGAGTGGATGCCCATATTTCTTAAAAGACGCTGTTCATTTCTCTTCGGTGTCAGGTTGCCGTGACTAGACTGCGTTACACACAGTTTATTCATTCGTAAAAGAATCTACAATAAAATAAAACTTTCTATTAAAAGTTGAAATGTAAAACAGTTTAATTTGTTGTGTCACAAATGAAGGTAAATTGTTGCATTAAAAATTATTATATCATACTTCAGCCTTAGGATAACATATGAACCAATTATATCTACAGTATAACAGTTTTAGCTATATCACTATCAACAAATAATATACTGTATGCAGTGTACTTCAACACAGTTACAAAAAACAAAATAATAACTATGGGATGTTCATTGACAAGATATTTCACAGAAACCTGGATATCCTGGGTTTGTTTGATACATAACTGAAGAGCAGAGGAGAGTAAAGGGGGTAAAGTGTCTGCAGGAGTAAGACCAAAAGAAGAAGTAGTGGTGTTACTGAGTCAAGTGATGTGGAGTTGTACAATACAGTATATAAGAGGATCAGGTCCTAGAATATTATTGGACTCGGGTTCAACCAATAGACTTTGGATAGTAACAAGAAAGTGAACGGAGACATTTGTTACATTAGGTAAAAGAAACTTCAACATCACAGAAAAATCACCAGAGACGTTGCCTTACCTGTTGGATCCTCTTGTAGTTATCTTGTTGCTCAGGTTCCAGTGGAGGGCCAAGACCCAAGTCAATGGCCGACTCCTGTTTGTCTTGAGCCGAGAGCATCGGTTTGTGATGTTTTTTAGGTTTACTCTCACCTGAAATTATATTATATACAATTTCAGTAAAAAAGTATATATAAAAATATTGATCCAGAGATTCTATTTTCTATTAAGATTACATTACTGTACTTATAACCTGTCACATCACCTTAAAACAACCCAAACTGTGGTAATTAACCAAATCATCAGAAAGTTCTCTGCCTTAATACTCACCATCATCGTCATCATCATCTTTTGCCTTCTTCTTCTTCTTTTTACTTCCACCGCCACCACCGTCCTCATCCACACTTCTCGACTTGTAGACCCATAATTCTGACTTCTCTACTAGATTGCGTAGGTCATCCAAATCTTCTTTTATCTGTTTGTACGACTCCACATCCCCATCTTGCACCAAAAGCTGCACCTAAAAATATAAATTCGTATTTTGTAATAAACTCTTCACACTAAAGGAAAATAAATATGGTAGTAATTTCTAAGCACATCTACAGTACATCCACATAAATTCAATCCGCCATCTCCAGGTAGGCCACAAAGTTAATAGATTCAAGTCTCAATCGTGATATCCTCTTCTCTGCAAAAAATTAGTGCTGTTCTCTTGGCAATAACACAAAAGCTCTTAAAATCCATAGATGAAGTGAGAGTTTAATGCTACGGAGTTCAGATTCTGGTCCTTCAGTCATTTTTTCTATTTATGTATTCCTTACTACTCTTGGTGTTAGTTTGGCTGAAAGTGAACAAGACAGGTTAACAAAGATTCTGAGATTGTCAATAATCTTCTTGATTGAGCTCCACTCACTAATGTTATACTGTATGTCTGCTCAAGGGCTACAGGTCCCTCACTACCTTCTAGTCTTCTAAATATCAGTACAGTACATCAGTTTATGGCATCATTCTCTTCATTTGCAGAAGCACTTTAGGATATTTTGGGTCCATATTACCAATGAAGAGAAGAATTTAGGTTGAAAACTTTATTGGGTCTTCACAGTAGAAGTACCACATGTGTGTGCGTGTGTGTGTGTACTGACAAGCATCAAGACATGCTCACGACTTCTCAGGCATGGCGTGGAAAAAATTAAACATGCAGAGAACGTAGTATTCAAGTGTACAGAAACTTGGGTGATGGAAAGTTACACATTTCCAGGTGAAACCTCTTTGTGTGAAACCATCTATAAGAAAGGAGATCTGCTATTTGTAAATTTCAAGTTAAAGTTAAAGTAGAAAAATAACAATGTATCGGTATAGGAATACCCTTGTTCACAAAAGGGTTAGGGACTGAAGGACCAAAGCTAATGCAGGGTGGCTGTAAACAAGAACAAATACATGTGCATACCTGTTCACTTAAAATACAGTACAGTATTGTATAATATTACCTGTTTGAAGTTTTGGAGTACTTCCTGCCTCTGTGAGAAGTGTCTGAAGAGCAGCTGCAGAGAACGTGACACCAGAGGAGGATACTCGTGCATGGTCAAATGCAGCAGCACACGGAGAAACTTCTTTCCACCCTCGCCGTCTAAATCAAGGTTAGAGTTTTCCTCCCTGAAAAGGGATCATTAACTGGCTAAAAGTTTGACATGAAGTACACATATATTAAACCTATGGTCAAATATTTTTGTTGTAATGTAAGTTCTGCATGAGCCAACTCTGAGCTACAGAAAAATTTGAATGAAAGAAAAAAGGATTTTGACTGTTAAACACTCCATTTGTGAAGACCAAGAACCCTTCACAAGGTTTTCCTACTTATATTTCACTCACGTTTCATCAAAAATACTTTGAGCCTGAGCCCAGATGTTTTCCAGATTTTTATTCTTTAATCCTTGTGATATTCCTTCACCAGTAAGGGAACTTGGATTTTCATCAGACTCCTTCTTGAAAATGGAGAGTAGACAGCTGATGCGGTAGTCCAGACGTACATTGAGGATGAACTGTAAAATTGGTCACTTTAATAGAAAGTCAAATTAAAATAATGTCAGACTGAAAATCAAGTTTTCTGAGAACATGTCACTGGTAAAAACACTGTTCAATATGTAGTGTGCTGTATTAATACTTTCAGTACTGTTCTTAGTATAAAATAATATGTATTAATTTTATTCAGTGTTATCTTTCATAAGAATAGAGCACACGCAAGCTCCTGTTGAAGTCCAAGTGAGAAGTGAAATGTTAAAATTTAAGTACAGTACAGTACAGTACAGTATATACTTCCAGAATAAAATGTTCTCACAGGAAGGGTTACTGTACAAGAGATAATGACTAGTATTGAAGATGATGGCGGCAAGGGATCAATAGGAGTGAGGGACAATAATTTAGAGACACTGTTTAATGTAGAGGACAGAGCAATAATACTGTATTAGGATAAGCTAAAAGTTAAGATGTTTAAGATATTTGGAGGAGAATAAAAATATACTGAAAGCAAATCAAAACATGATGGCTAGTAAGGAGCAAAATAATCCGGATATGAAAATTGGTAGTTTTAAAAGTTTAAACAATAGGAACAGTGTATGTGATTTCAAGTGAAACAATGGAATAAAACCTGGAGATAAGAACCAACATAATGTTAGAACAATAATGTGGTAAAAAAAAGATCTTCCTTTACAGACACTAACAGGAGGCAGCCTGAACAAGACCACAATGTCTCATGAAGTACAGTAGTTTGCACCTTAAGGTAAACTGTAACCTCTAATCCTTCACTTTGACCAACAGCAATCATGATACAGCGAGTGCTCTTCAGAGTACTTCCAGTCATATCATCTTGGGATTTATTACACAATCCCTATGATCAGTGTGTGTGTGTGTGTGTGTGTATTCATGGGTGTCTCCAAACTGGTGCCAAGTTATAAAAAATCAATCAATTTATTGAAAAAACTGCATACTAGTGAAATGTGCTGATATCACAAAAGTATATACTGGAAAAAATGCTTAATGTGATCTTACATAAGAGTACTATACTGTACTGTACAAGCCAATATAGTATAGTACAGATACTGCATTTCTAGTACAGGTACACTCAAAGACTAGTCATGAACAGCTGCATGGAGCCTACAATAGTGACCTCTAGCAATGAGGAAAATCATATGATAAATAAATAAAATAAGTTTAAAAATAGAAATTAAAATATACCGGTATTTAAAAACTGCTTTAAAATTCACATGTACTTAAGTACCCGTATTGCAATTAAGAATTGTTCTCAATGCCAAAAGTAACTAGTGTAGGTTCTGTGTAGCTGTCCACGACTTGAGTCCTTGAGTGTATGTACTGTACAGTGTACTCTACTATGATAATTATAAGTAAGAGATCCTGAAGTAGAAAATTCCATAGCAAAGGCTGTAAGGTCTAACCCTGGGATGTTGATTGGTCAGCCCCCACCCCTGCCACCATCAGTGTACTAATTGGGTAAGTCAGGCTGTGAGGGAAGTAGCCAGTGTGTGGGTTCCTCAGTCCCTGTTTAGGTTGTTTTGTGTGTACTGTACTCTGTTATTCTGGTGTACAGTATTTCCATGCATTTATCATATTCTTGATTGCAGATGAAACTTAGAATTAAGCATTTCAAATATTTTCATTTTCAAAAATTTTTCACCAAACTTGAATGCAATTCACAAGATATATAGATGTGCGTGCATGTATGCGTGCATGTGCATGCCTGCTTGCGTGCATGAGTGTACGTGGGAAGCATTTAGGGATAAATAATTATCATCCGATTAAGCTTTAAAATGCCATAGACCTTTTTACAAAATAGGGATCGCTTTTTGTTGTTATTGTTATAACTTCATAGAAGTTAGTGCATTTATAGTGAAATCAACTCTAACTTTTTATAACTGAAATCTACTAAAATTAGGTTAGGTAAGTTATTGTTATATTAATTTTAATTAAGTTAAGTTAGGGTAATACTGTACTGCTACTACTCACTTTTAGTTTGCATTGTTTATCGATACGATTGCTCCTATGTACACAATAGTACTGTACACACCGCTTCAAATTTTCAACAAATCATACACTGTAATTACTGCTAAGATGCAAATACTGTATCACTAAAATGCATGATATATATATATACATACGTATATATGAGAAAGAGAGAGAGAAACAAAGAGGAGAGAGAAAGATAAATTATTGGAGACAAAAAAAAGGTAAAGAAATCGTTATTATAAAAACTAAAACAATATATATTATATTACACCCATCAGCATGGTGCCTGGGGGAAGCCCAAGTTTGCCATGTGGGTCTGTACGTCTTTCTCCTCACCAAACATGCAAATATGTTCAATTTTCTCTGCAACTACTTTTCATTATAGCACCAAAGAGCAATCCCTCAACTTCTAATGGTGGTGACAACAAGAAATATAGAGTGAATTGGCTAACCATAAAATTATAAAGGGGTGCGGTGGTCAAGTGGATATAGTACTCGCCTCCTGACTTAATGGCAATTGGTTCAAGTCCCGCAGCAGGCCACTGAGTAGGGTGCCCCCAGTCTACCCAGCTGCAGAATGGTCACCTAACTTTAAAATTGGAGAAGTAAATGGGAATGGTGGCGGCATGGTTATCGTAACGTGCTGGTACTCCACTGTCCTGCCTTCAAATCCTCATTAACCCGTTTGCTCAGAGAGGCCGATATGGTCACCAAACACTTTACTACTGGGCGAGAGAATGGGTGAGGGGGTGAGGTATGTAAAGGAGGGGTGGGTGAGAGAGGGAGTGGACGAAGAAGGGGATGAGTGAGGGTGGGGATGTGTGTGTGTGCTTCAATCACTCAGCTCGCAGCCCACTGCCCACCATTTGGTGGTCAGTCTCTTATCAAACAAGTAAACAGAACAGGCTGGCCACTTAGAGATATATGTAAGAAAACAGATAAATATAGTAAGCTCAACACTCACCCTACACAAGAGGGAAAAATCAACTAGGCCTAGTGGGATATCTGAGTGCCTTAGAATAAGACTAGTGCCATACCAGAGCAATTTTACCCTCTCAGCTTTTCCTACTGTGATGGAGACTAAAGGATGTACAGTACCAGGTAAGTCCCTTTGGCTAAGGAGTTAAGGAGGCAATAGGTGATTAATATCTGATGTGAGCCAATACCAGTAGTTTGATCACATCTCCATACCACAGAACATATTCCTATCTGATCTCAACCTACCTGTGTTATGTGATGCCAGACCCACATGACAGATATCATGGGTCGACTCATAAATTTATGGTGTGTTTAGCATGCCCAGCATGACTGTAGGTCATTATTGTCAGGGCATGCCCTCACGTGTACCCCCATTCACAAAAAAGGAGGGGTGTCAGCCATGCTGTCTCCTTTTACACCAAAAGCTTAAGTCTGCAAGGTGTTGTATCCACACTGCCCCTAACCATCTGGTCTATGGGGTTAATGTTCACTTTACATAATAAAAATTTGCAACAATTGACAGGTCTGATAAGGGACATACTACTAAGAACTTAATGGTTAAGTATGGTACATCACAAAACCACTTCAGCCCACCTACCCTACCATCAAAACACCTCACATGTTCTAGGGTATCTGTACTGGAGACATTCACTTAGACTGTAAATACAGTATATATCCCAATAATTAGCTTGTTTACATCAGTTTGTGTTATTTAATATGTTTTATTAACACTGTCCTCTTCTGTGTGTGACAGACCAAGGTTATTCATACTTTTCTGTATTTCAAGTCATGGGTAATTCACATAACTCTGAATTTCATACACCATTCAGTCCTATAGTTTATGAAACACTGAAGTTTTACTGCAATTATATGCCATGCAAGATTATATTATTACTGTAATAATGGAATTAATGTTTTACTATGAATATTTAAGGTTATGTTTAGACAAATATATACATAATGGGACTTTACAGTTAATGGGTCCCCTAGCAGTAACTCTCCCATTAACTAGAAGGTTTACTCCACATACAGTAGACACAATCATAAACTGACCTCCAATATCTCGATTATCTTTAGTTTTGTGTCCATGACGAGCGTGTCCTCCTTCTCCGTCACTCCCACTTTCTTCTTGGGGCTCGTTCCTCCGCCCAGCCTCGGCCCCATCCGTGTGGTCCCTAGAGCCAAGTTGGTGACAACAGCACCCATATCACCCAAGCTCTTAAACACACCCCCTTTAGCTGCTTATTACGGCAGGGCAGAAATACAAGACAAAGAGAAAAAGAAAAAGGGAAAAAGAAAGAAAAGAGAAAGAGGACAAAAGACAAAAATTAACACCATCAGAATTATAGAAAAAATGAGAGAATAAATGAAAATGAAATATGAAAACAGAAAGAATAAGGAAGAGTTATGACAGAAACCCCATAGAGGAAACGCAGTGAGCAGACAGAAATTCCAAAGACATGATAAACAAAATAAGATACAATTTGAAGTCAAGGCAATCAAGGGGCAATTGGAAAATGAGCAATCAGTAAATCAGACGAAAATTATGCAATTCAGAGATATTAAGAAAACAATTAGAACATTAGCATAGATGACCAATTAGAAATGTCCAAAGCCATTGAAAAGACGTGAGCATGATTATATAACAAACCCGAATGCAAGGTTTAAGTGATCCATATTCAGTGAAGATCAAAGCGTCGTAAAATGATACATGGAGTTACAGAACACAATTTGAAACAGTTGCGGTAAAAATTGAGCAAGTCCACAATGAAGTGTATAAGAGGTCCAGTTTACAAATAATAAGAGCAAGCATGAATTAGGGTTCACACAAAATGTCATGCAATAATATGAAGTCATGTCACAAGCACAAGAGTAAGACAAGTAAGTAACAGATCATGCCACAAGTTCAGCAACAAGAGGGTAACAGATTATGCCATCAAAAGCAATGAGAGGAGAAGAAAGCAGGAACGAATCAAGGAAGAGGGGTGGGGAGGGGTGGGGAGGGGTGAGGAGGAAAAAAGAAAAAAAGAAAATTAGTAAAAACACAACAGATAAAAACATATAAAAAAAATCAACAACGATAAGATTGAAAATTAATTGACACAATTATATTTTTCATTTTCCTGAGAAAAACTAGAGGAAAAAATCCAAACATAAAATATGGAAACTATAAAAAGATATAAAATATAATGAATATATTAAAAACAGTGAAAACACACATAAAATAGCTAATAAATTAACAATGAAGTGTATATAAATGCAACGTTAGAACCAAACACCGTCTACAGAACATGTAAACCAGAGTAAAACATCACATACTACATTCCTTCTCTAATGATGGTAACAATTTTAAGTATAATCAGACATCTTGAATCCCTGTCTTTAAGTGCCGTTCCTGTGCCTCAAAAACAACTCGGCAAATCCTAAAACAAATGAGGAGGTAAAGGTACAAAATCTTGACTGGAAAACAAATGGATAAACTTTAACTTTAAAATTTTACCGTCACTTTCATTAACTTTCTTCTAATTATTTATGTAATTACTGTACTTAACTTTTCTCGGGGGGGGACGTAAGGAAGGTGGTCAATGATAACTAAATACTGTATTGACATTTAAACCTAATATTTTCTCTTCCAATCTCTTATGCCTTTTCCTATTATGATGAAGGATGACCAGAACTGAGAAATGACCAAGACTCTCCCTTCTTTCAATGTTATTCATTCCCTAACTGTTATAACAGATTGGGGTTTCCTTTAAAAAAAAAAAAAAAGACACCAAGATTCCCATCTAGTTTATTCATCCTGTCATTTCATTGAAGCTCACAAACCACTCAACACTAAATGTGCGCACCAAGTTATCTGCAATACTAGTTTCATTACCCCCAAAAGAGTATCATTAACTGGCTTTGTAATTACACCACCAATAGCCTCAAAAGGTGCAACACTTACAGACAAGTCAAAAGGCTAGATTAGCTGAATGAGGGAGGGAGAGAGAGAGAGAGAAACATAAATTGGTATATAGTACAAGATGTGTGACTGGCAAAGGGCAAATAGTTGATGAAGCTTAATCATTGTATTTGCAATATAAATTAATATCATACGATGCCTTAGCTAATACAATACTCATTAGGAGTTGCATGCAAGACGTATGCTCTGTGAGCTTAAGTTTTCAGACATCAAAAAAGCAAGGCGTTATACAGACAACAGTCACAAGATATTACAGTACAACATGAGAATGGTGATGACAAATACAAGGCATATGTAAAGTCACTATTGTAGTCCCTAATCTGGGCAAAATTGATCAAAATCCAAACAACAAATAAACACCAAATGTTTATATTAACATCCTTCAAGACATCAACTTAATCCACAGCCCAAACCATTGCATACTAGACATCTAGACGAGTTAGCCTTACCGTAAAATCCCTCGACATAATCCTAAATTGGCAACAGTTGACGGGATATAAAATAACACTGGCCACACTCTCGATGGCCAGCTGGTTTACTCATCTAAAAAAAAATTGAACCACCAGCCAAAGCCTTTTAACTTAATTACATTGACTTGTATAAAACTACTTGTTATAAAGTCACACAGATACATTAGGTCATCCACACTAATGTTAGATTTATTTCATTATATTTAAATCCTGATTACCAACACTTTTAATAATCAGTATTTTAACTCCAAACATTAGGCAACCATAAAAAAATAAATGAAATGCATATACTTTATGTCTATATGTTAGTGTGTTTTCCCTCAAAAGGATAACTAAATTATATTAATTTCTTGCATGATATAACTCTATAATTAATACTTAATTAAAAAAAAAGTTTTCCTACAGAAGCTAAGGTCCTCACACTACAGTTACCTTCTGAAGCATGTCCTCCTCCCCAGTCACTCATTCACCTACAGTATTAACATTGTAACGTTTTACGACAATTTATAGATCTGTTCACCTGAACCTCTACTATCCTTTTATGATAAGATTATTATTGAATTATACGACTATTTTCGTCTCTATTCAGCTGTATCATTTAAATTTATATCTAGCAAATTACTTATGTAACTAAATAGGCAGCCCAAGGAAATTTATAATCAATTACTCGTGTTACACATTAAAATTAAACAAATTTGTTCTTTTATCCTGTTATTTATGCTGCAGCACCCCCTGCAGCAAAACTTAGCCACTTATAGAAGAAAATTATAAAAATGCTAACCAATGTTTACCTGACAACCCTTTTAACAGCTCTCATAAAAATGTGCAGTTAAGAGGTAACACTGTTCTCATATGTCTTGCATAAGAACTTAAAACACATTAAACATGCACTATATTTACCTTGATGTATAAAATTAACATGCTGAGTGAACTTTCACAATTTCTGAAGCACTTAAATCAGTAATGGATACTGTGGACACAATTTGCATCATAATGCTAAAGAAGAAATTCTGGGAGAGAACAGTAGTCTCGCAGGTATGTATTGCTCACAGAAGTGAAACAATGCATCAGAAGTTAAAATATATATGCTAACCCCTTCCACACACACTTGTCAAATGTATGGAGTATTAAGGCCACATCAAGGGCAGTGACACTAAATACATATACTATTCATTAAAATTATGTGCATAAAACTACACTGGATATTTTTTATTAAACAATCAAATAAATCTTTTAGAAACCAAATGGCTAAGTGGTGACAAAACAACATTCTCATCAACAGAACACTGCCACGATGTTACTTTAGTAAGAGAGTTATCCATGAAGGTGCAGTGCGTAACAGAATACTAAATTTACCTTCTTTTGTGTCCGACACCTTTCTACTGGGTGACTTTTTGGGAGAGGCTTTTGGGCTCGGGGTCTTTGACTTTGGGCGAGAAGTTTCCTCCTTACTACTAGAATTAACACCATCTGTACTAAGGACTTGAACTTTTGAACAAATTGTTGTAACGCTAGCAGCCATAGTTACTGTACTAGAGGTCTCATCACTAGCACCACTAGAACCCTCATGAGCAGCAACTTCAACAATGTGAGGTGCAATGACAGCTTCACTACTGCTAACATTAGAAGTAGATGATATGTCTGAGACAGAAGCTGTACTTAGCTGGTCAAGCTTAGGTTCATCATCCTTACAAGTATCCTCTACAGCAGCATGTGGGAAAAAATTATAAGGATTTATACTCAACCTTTCCATTACTATACAGGAAGCAACATTACCAACACCTAATACAATAACATAGCCAAAAACTAATTTTGTTAATTCAGTAACTGGGATCTCTGCTCCATGACTACAACAGTTCCATGCAGCTCTTACAATACTCCATATACAAATCATTATATTTGCACATTCTAAAACATTTGCATATTAAACATATTGTACAGTTGTTTTTCAAATCAAATATTCAGGGTACCATTGAACTGAAATCAAATGGATATAAAGTTTTTGAGTCTGGTGTATATTTTTGGGTTTATTTCAGTTTAAATCTGTTTGTACAGTATTCTAAACCCACCCAATATATACAGACAGTCCTCAATATATGCATCCCACTATGTACATAGACAAAAACTTTTTTGAGAGTATATTTAGATGTATTTAAGTAAATTACTATCTGGGAATCCATAACACAAATGCAATGGTCAATGGGAGGTGACCTTCTGGAGACCACATCTGATTTCTCCCACCACTAAGTGTGACCACGAGAGGCAGGAGTGAGTCTCTGACACACTACCACCACAGTTGCTGTCTTTTGTAATTAGACTGAACTTCAGTATATTTTTACCAGGTAACTAAAGACAAAACACGAAAAAAACTTATCAAATCATAAATACTCTCAAGATTTCACCAAACTTCATAAATAAATTACTCCTTCCCTGTATATATTTTTTATCTGGTTAATTATGTACACTCTGAGTCAAGCTTTAATGTTTGTACTGTACATCTAAGTCATCTCCTCTAATGTGGTCCAGTTCCTTGGATGGTGAGTAAAGAATAAACTGTATTTTAGTCTATACCACACCAGTTTAATGTATGCCTTGTTCATACTATGGTGTTTTAGGTACACTCTAATATATGCTTATGGCTTTTCAGTCTATACAAAAGTGATGTGTATAACTGAAATTTGCATTCATAGTTCCATCTGATTTTTTTCTTGGAACAATAAGAGAACTGTTGTTGTGAAGAAGAGATGAGGAGTTGGCAGTTACTGAAAAAGTGTCAGAAAAGTGTTTCAGAGACTTCAGCCAAATGGTGGAAAATGATTAGAACGAGTAAGAGGCATTATTTCCATCCAATTTTCTTACCACTCAGTGTTCCTTGAGGGATGCTGTTGGGAAAGTATTTTGAGTCTGTATCAAAGGAGTAGTCAAGGATGGAAAGCAATGTCTTGGTCAGCCGCAGGAGATCATTGAAGCTGTAAAACCCAAAGTAGATGAGATAGCGTGCCAGCTTCACAACCTGCAAAGTCAAAATTAAAAAGTGTACAGTAGTTGTCATATCACGTTCTGGTTACTGAAAGGTAAAAAAGTTTAAACAAACTTTACTTTACTGCATAATCAATTACAAAAATAAACTGTAGTAGTACTTTTATTTTAGTTCTCAAATATGTAGGCATGGATTAGTCACACACTGCAGGTATGTAACAATGAACCAGCGCTGAGGAAGGAGCAAGATGCCATGAAAAAAAATGTGGGCCAAAGCCTAATGTCAGACTTTATTGGAAGTTTCTGGGAAATAACAAAAAGCAGCTGAAGATTTACCAAACTAATTGTCATAAGTCAAAAGTTGTGAATAACAAGACAGAGAGGACACGTCTCTACAACAAAAACTCCTCCTTACCAACTCTGAGTTATATCATGACATTTAATTAGTATTCAACAAAGCACATCTGGCTTCCACACCAACTAGAGCTTTATTCCTAGACATACCTCAAAGGTGAGTTTATTCTGTTCACAGTCTGAGAAGCTCCACATCTTGTCCACCACATTACACAGATACTGTTCTACAAAAACAATCACATCCTTGAATGTGGTTGCAGCAGCTTCTGTACTGTGCATTGCTGCATGTTTATCATAGCTGGAATACAAACATCTTAGTGACAAGAGGCAATAATTATCATGTTTGTAAGCATAAAAAATGTGAAGTTATTACTGTACTCTAATAGTTTGGTGGTGCAACAAAACTTCACACAAATCTCACAGTAAATGTGATAAAGATGTGACAGTGAAAAACATTTATATAATCCTGGATGAAAAAATGGCTCCTAAAACCGATCAATGAATTAATTATTAGAGTTAATAACCATCTTTTTCTTTAACATAACCAAACAAAAGATGAATGCAATGAAATACAACATTGATATTTGCATGAATTTATATAGGTATAAAATGCAGGAGAATGCACTGCAGTTCAATGATTTAAGAAGGTAAACATATAAAATATGATGAAGAAATTTGTCATACAAGAAGAAAACAGATGATAGTAGAAAGAGATAAATACTATCCTTTAAGCATTTCAACTTTAATAAGTGTATCAACTGTCAAGCTTGCAACAGTTCAAAGTTTAAGATGAAGTAAGGACATATCTTAAATTGTACTGCATACAATTATATATATATATATATATATATATATATATATATATATATATATATATATATATATATATATATATATATATATATATATATATATATATATATATATATATATATATATATATATATAATATATATAGCAATTGAGAGAGAAAAGCCTTAGATTATTTTATAAATAAAAATAAAATAATTTATGGGACCAAACTGATCTAAATAGCACTTCCTAACTCCACTGCCACAGTTTACAGGTGAACAGAGGAAAAATACTGAAGACTAAAATTAAGATCTTTATCTGAACTCCTACAAGTAGAGTACTGTACTCCAGGCCTGATCAACCAAGTCCCTAGATGGAAGAGTCATTCCATTTGGGGATTTGTATGAGGAAAAAGGTAAGAGGTGGCTGCAGGTCATAGACTAGCTGCCAAATATGCACATGCTGTGTACCCCAACGTATGGACACAAAATATAATCAAAGAAAAACCCAAATAAATGTCATATTGTCCCCTGTTCAAGTGACAAGGTTGTAAAAATAAAACTGATAAACTACCGCCTTACCATGAAGGTCATCTTTATAAATATTAATGAATATAGCTGAAAAAGTATTTGAGTTATGCTCAAGAAGGAAACTCAAACAGACATATGCACGAACCTACTTCTATATTTCCCACCAAACTCATTGAACAGGGTATATTGAAGAAGTTTCCATTTCTTTTTTCTTTTTACAAACTACCAAAAACTAAATCCACCTCTTAACAAAATCTAAAGGACTGTTACTGCAAATCCCAAAAGATCTCAACACAAAGTATGTACTGTACAGTCAGGGCCGTCCCTAGGAGGGTGCGGGGCCCGGGGCAACTCAGCCACTGCGGGGCCCCAGATTATGCTGCGGTCAGAGGAACCCACCCCAACCAACCCCCATGGGACTGTCGCGATGGATGGTAAGGGCACTGTTGCGATGGTGGCGTAAGCCGTCAGGTCAGATTAACCAGTCAACAGGTAATGTGTCCGAGGTCACTCAGTCTAGTGCTGCCACCCCCCCACCCCCCCCACACACACACACACACACACACACACGTGCGGGGCCCTGGGCGGTCGCCCCTGTTTGCCCCCCCTAAAGGACGGGCCTGGTGGTGAGTGTACAGTGTAGTAGGTTTATGTGAAGTGTTTGGCCCCTAGCTGAACCTGATATGAAACTCGAGGCTCCTATACAGTGTAGTGGTGAGTGTACAGTGTAGTAGGTTTAAATGAAGTGTTTGACCCCTAGCTGAACCTCTTATGAAACTTGAGGCTCCTATACAGTGTAGTGGTGAGCGTACAGTGTAGTAGGTTTAAATGAAGTGTTTGGCCCCAAGCTGAACCTGTTATGAAACTCGAGGCTCCTATACAGTGTAGTGGTGAGTGTACAGTGTAGTAGGTTTAAATACTAGGTTTAAATGAAGTGTTTGGCCCCTAGCTGAACCTGTTATGAAACTCGAGGCTCATATACAGTGTAATGGTGAGTGTACAGTGTAGTAGGTTTAAATGAAGTGTTTGGCCCCTAGCTGAACCTGTTATGAAACTCAAGGCTCATATACAGTGTAGTGGTGAGTGTACAGTGTAGTAGGTTTAAATGAAGTGTTTGACCCCAAGCTGAACCTGTTATGAAACTCGAGGCTCCTATACAGTGTAATGGTGAGTGTACAGTGTAGTAGGTTTAAAGGAAGTATTGACCCTCAAGCGAACCTTGTTATGAATGGTGTCTTCTATACAGTGTAATGGTGAGTGTGGCTGGTGTGTAGTAGGTTTAAATGAAGTGTTTGACCCCTAGCTGAACCTGTTATGAAACTCGAGGCTCTTATACAGTGTAGTGGTGAGTGTACAGTGTAGTAGGTTTAAATGAAGTGTTTGACCCCTAGCTGAACCTGTTATGAAACTCGAGGCTCTATACAGTGTAGTGGTGAGTGTACAGTGTAGTAGGTTTAAATGAAGTGTTTGGCCCCTAGCTGAACCTGTTATGAAACTTGAGGCTCCTATACAGTGTAGTGGTGAGTGTACAGTGTAGTAGGTTTAAATGAAGTGTTTGGCCCTAGCTGAACCTGTTATGAAACTCGAGGCTCCTATACAGTGTAGTGGTGAGTGTACAGTGTAGTAGGTTTAAATGAAGTGTTTGGCCACTAGCTGAACCTGTTATGAAACTCGAGGCTCCTATACAGTGTAGCGGTGAGTGTACAGTGTAGTAGGTTTAAATGAAGTGTTTGGCCTCTAGCTGAACCTGTTATGAAACTCGAGGCTCCTATACTCCTATACAGTGTAGTGGTGAGTGTACAGTGTAGTAGGTTTAAATGAAGTGTTTGGCCCCTAGCTGAACCTGTTATGAAACTCGAGGCTCCTATACAGTGTAATGGTGAGTGTACAGTGTAGTAGGTTTAAATGAAGTGTTTGACCCCAAGCTGAACCTGTTATGAAACTCGAGGCTCCTATACAGTGTAATGGTGAGTGTACAGTGTAGTAGGTTTAAATGAAGTGTTTGGCCCCAAGCTGAACCTGTTATGAAACTCGAGGCTCCTATACAGTGTAGTGGTGAGTGTACAGTGTAGTAGGTTTAAATGAAAGTGTTATGAAACTGGCTCCTATACAGTGTAATGGTGAGTGTACTAGCTGAACCTGTTATGAAACTCGAGGCTCCTATAGAGTGTAGTGGTGAGTGTACAGTGTAGTAGGTTTAAATGAAGTGTTTGACCCCTAGCTGAACCTGTTATGAAACTCGAGGCTCCTATACAATGTAGTGGTGAGTGTACAGTGTAGTAGGTTTAAATGAAGTGTTTGGCCTCTAGCTGAACCTGTTATGAAACTCGAGGCTCCTATACAGTGTAGTGGTGAGTGTACAGTGTAGTAGGTTTAAATGAAGTGTTTGGCCATTAGCTGAACCTGTTATGAAACTCGAGGCTCCTATACAGTGTAGTGGTGAGTGTACAGTGTAGTAGGTTTAAATGAAGTGTTTGGCCCCTAGCTAAACCTGTTATGAAACTCGAGGCTCCTATACAGTGCAGTGGTGAGTGTACAGTGTAGTAGGTTTAAATGAAGTGTTTGGCCCCTAGTTGAACCTGTTATGAAACTCGAGGCTCCTATACAGTGTAGTGGTGAGTGTACGGTGTAGTAGGTTTAAATGAAGTGTTTGGCCCCAAGCTGAACCTGTTATGAAACTCGAGGCTCCTATACAGTGTAGTGGTGAGAAGGGCTGTCCCTAGGAGGGTCTGGTGCCCGGGGCAACTCAGCCACTGCGGGGCCCCAGATTATGTGGTCAGAGGAACCCACACCAACCAACCCCCATGGGACTGTCGCGATGGATGGTAAGGGCACTGTTGCGATGGTGGCGTAAACCGTCAGGTCAGATTAACCAGTCAACAGGTAATGTGTCCGAGGTCGCTGGTCCGCTGGGCCCCCCACACGCGCTGGTTCCGGGTCGCCCTTTGTTGCCCCCCCCTAAAGGACGGGCCTGTGTACAGTACTGTACTGTACCAGTTAAACTTGAGACCTTAATACTTGTGAGAAACTTTGTATCATGCCCAGTCATCTGTAAGTGAACAACTACTCCTAATAACAAGCTTGGCAAACCAAGATACAGTATTATCTATAAACATATTTTTCACTTCAACTAGGAATGGTTCTACTGTACACGTTAAATACATTTGGAGTAAAAAAAAGTATTTACGATTACAAATTTACCAAGAAATGCAGTTTAAAATGGAGAAATATTTCAATAAATTTTAGGAAAATGCAGATTAGGAAGAAGATTTAAAGTCTTTCATTCCAGAAATACATATAATATTACCTATGAATGATTAAATCAAATTATACTGATCAATACTGTACACATAAGAGCTATGTAGGAGTCTTAATACCTGTATTTAAAGCTTCAACTTTTCTTTAATATGCATATTTTAACAATGAAAACAATGCAAACAACACAAACCACATTAAGCACTCAGTAAGGCAGCAAAATAACTGACTCCGGAACAGTGACCCAATGAGTTATTCCTTTTAACTGTCAAGAAATAATAGATATTTAAACAAAAAACTGCAATTTGTCAAGACTAATATCCAACACTTTACAATATGAAAAATTAAAGAGCTACAAATTTTTAACGAGGAATCATTCACGGAATATTGTCAATGTATATCAATTCCACTTTTGTTTTTTTAACAGAACCTCTAAAACTGTGCTGTTGAACATGTAGCAGGAAGTGAGTGAAAAGATGATTTTCGTGGCTGGCAAAAAGGCAGCAACTTCAATTAGTGTAAAGAACATGCAAAAAAGATAAATGTCATGCAAGAGTTCATAATAAACAAGTCGACGAAAGAAACATGTTAGTATTACCAACGTAGTGGCTTAGTCCTGCAGCTTGCACCAGACGGCACAACCATTAACACAGATCAAAATGGTTATCATTAAGCAGTAACTAGACCAGTGAACACACCTAATTGTTAATTATAACCACAATATTAAAATAAAGGAGTGATTACAACTTGTATATACAGATAACTGTACACAGATGCACGGTAAGGTTATAATGCAGTAAGGCCGTGTGTGTGTGTGGACGTGTGCGTGTGTCTCCATTACATGCTATAATAATAGCAATAATTCAGTATGAAAAAATTTACTGTATTCAAAGTACTCGCAATGATGGAAATGGTCTACCTTATGTATGTATGTATGTATGTATGTATGTATGTATGTATGTATGCATGTATGTATGTACTGTACAGTATGTATTTTCTGATTTCCTGGATCCTAGGTCATCCATGTATAGACTGTACATCCTGAATGCACGCATGGCTCACCTCACCCCAGTTGGCCTGCAGTACTGTACATTAAAAACAACCCACAGTAACATTGCCACCACAATAATTGAAGTCTGAGTGAGTACTGTTTGATGAGATCAATGAAGTAAGTTCCTGGATATAGTCAGCTCAAGTGGGGTGAGAGAGCTTTGCCTGCCCTCAGGAAATGAGCGAGTGTGTCACATAAGACTAAGAACAAATGGTGAGGTAGAGGTACGGTAATCATTTTGTACAGAGTCTTGGTCCTATGTGACACAAGAAAGTGGGGCACTAAGATGCTAAGATATAGTTAAAGAACGTAATACAAAAAATAGTACATCTTTTTGGACAATAACGTAGCTAATTAGGAACCGAGATGATACACACATCAGAATCACACAGGATATTTGAGTATAATTACATTCATAAAACTAATGACAATAGAAAGAGAACAGTGACAGCTTCAAAATGTGCCTTGTAAAAAGTAATTAAAATATTCTAAAAACTATACAGTAATTCATTAGATGACATGTAAAACTGTAACACCAAAAGAGGGAAATACCAACATTCAAAAATGGGTTAAATCTGGTTACATATATTCTGAACATTAAACTCAGTGGTCCTCTATATACAGCACAAGACACAGGTTGATTCTTATCTACACACTGACAAATCTCGTATCAACCATGTATTCACTCCCACCAAAAAGATACAATAAATTGGAATAATTTTCTTATCAAACATACACAGTACTCACTCTGAAATGGACATTTGTGGTTGGATTTCCGACCACAATCTTGCATACTTGACAGGTGTAACCATTTCTTGGGGTTCACAGTCAACGTGCATGTGCAGCATTAAGCGGCAGAAGGCGGCACGTAAGTCATACGCGAGAGTATCTTCTTCCATGCACCTGGTCGTAATATAAGAAACATTAAATTCTACTCCAATATATTTTTCTCTCAGAAGATTGTTCCTAAAGTCTCTTCTTAAGCTGAAATATCCTGCTGGACAAGTCAACTTCCCAGGGGATGTGATCAAGGCCATTCAGACACCTATAATATCAAGGGATACTACAGCCAAATGTACCTTACATGGCTGTCTCATCTTAATTTCAATCAAGGTCCTCTAGTTGTGACAAACATTAAATTACTAATCACAGCAAGGTCTCTTGCAGTTACTTTGTACATCTACATATATCAATAATATTTCTTTTAAATCAATTATCCAAACATTTTCCAATTAATTTGTAATATGTATGAATGTGAAAAGATACGTGAACAGCATACATGAATATTTCTGCTCATTATTCAAATACTGTACTAACAATCAGTATTCAAATCCAGTATTGGGGATTTTAGTTTCTGATTATTAATCAAATTTAAGTTTGGTTTGTTGTGTCTACAAACTCTTGTAAAAACAACATTTTTCAGCAATTAGTAGCTTCATAGGTTAAGTTATATTTTAAGGTGGCTGTCATGTTCCCTGGTATCATTTTCCAGTCCATGTTAAAATAAGGACATACGGTACATGGTTACCCTGCACTGCAGTGACCACAAAGTTTAGCTACCTAACATGAGCACTCATCAAAGTGCACCTGCTCAGGAAGTTTCATAACTGTACATACAATGGTGTGTGAAACATGTCAAGTTGTACTGTACATGCAAACAGAAGAAAAAGAGTAACACTGTGTGCCCCTTCCACATTTGTGACAGGGAATAAAATAACATCGAATACATACTTCAGCATCAGATTGATCTTGAGTAGCGGTGCAAGGGGTCTTATTGCCAGATATTGTCGGTCAAGGCACATGTTTGAGAAGAGATCAAGCATGTGTCTGTAGTAATCTAAGATAAGGCGGTCTTCACCACCATCAGAGTCACTCAGGTTCTCAGCACGACTTGCAAGTTCAACAATTGATTTTGAGCACTGAAACAGTGAAAGGAAAAATTTTCTTATTATTTATACTATATAAAGTTACCTCACTGAGATTAAATTGTTGTTCAAGTAAAAAGAAAAAGTTTTGCTTCTTATTTTTCTTTCTTCCTTGGATGAAAGTTATTCACACCATTTTACCTATTCTTATGTACAAAACATGTTGAAGGTATGAGTAGATATGATGCCTTAATAAGAATCTCTCATTCCTTTTATTAACCCCTTCAATACAGGGATGCCACTTTTAATATTTTATTTGGCTATCACCAGACAATTTTATTCACCACAGAGACGACACCCTATGCATGGGGTCAAGATGATTTCACAAGGGTGACATCCATAATTCAAACTAAGTCCTTTGATTTTATTTCTGTATCATGTATGGATAATGAAAATCTAAAGCACCCATTTCTCAGAATAAAAAAAAAAAATTGAACCTCAACTTCTCTTAGAAATTCACATTCTTCCATTCTGCTAATTAAAATTTACATTCACTTGTCATATGTTCATTGTTTACATTTTATTAACAATATAAATTAATGGACATATAAAATCAAGTTCAAAACCACGAATCATAATAAAAACTTTACCTCGCCATTATTCCACGTCAAAACCACTTCTTCTTCTCGTTCAATGGCCAACACTGGACCAGATCCTTCAATATCAACTTCTACTTCGACGTCCTCTTCAACCAATCTGCAAAATGTATATAGTAATAAAAACACAACAACAATACCACCTAGAATAAATAAATAGGAGTCTGTGTTACTCCTGATTCTTGAGAAAAGGCTTGTAAGAATTTAAAAAAAAAAAAGAAGGAAATCTAATTTAATTGCCAAATTAGTGACAAAGAGACTTGTGTATTGTATGCCACAAGTTGACCCACAACTCTGATGGCTCATACAGTACTGTACTAGTTTATTAACCACCTTTATGAAACTTTTTGGAATAAATTAATTTTTCTTAGATCTGAGAGTTTGAGTTATACATTTTTTTTACCACACTTGGCTGGGTATTAATCTGCTTACCTTAATATACACACACTTCTCAACTAACATTATTCTATAAAATATTACCTGGTCTCAATCAGGATGTCTTTGTTTTTGTCACTGAAGACACTCTTGCAGATCAATTCTTGTGTGCGGGGGATGGCTTGGTTGTTGGATATACATAAAACCTGAAAATTATGCTCAAATAGTGAATAGTGTGAGTATACTTTCAACTGATACTTGAGAAAATTGAGGAAGTGCAGTTCTACAGATAATATCAAGATTTGTATCCTTTCAAAGTTAACAGCAGAATTTAAACATACATTACAGTACTGTACATATGCTCACCACAGTCAGCCTGCTAATACCAGCTATAAAAAGTAAGCTCAACAACAAAAACATTACATGACGTAACTTTACTAAAACTTCATATTTAAGGTAAAAAAATTAGCTTGCATGTAGACTCAGGTTCTGTACTGTATGTCGTGTAGGATAAATCATGCCCCTTGCTGAGATCTTGTTCTTTATAACAGAAAGAATTAATTTAGCATTTCCTAAAATAAGACACAAAAGATCACAAATTTCAAAACAAACCTTAAGATAATCCAGGAATCTCCAGTCCCATTTGTGCATGTTTTTCCGAACAAGTCCTACAAATGTTTCAATTTCAGTGGCTGTGATGTGGATCTCCAGTAGCTTCCGGTTATTGTGAAGCAGAGCCGTGATAGTTTCTTCAGCCAAAATATCAATACCAATTTGCTTTTGCATAAATCCAAAGTGTTGAGCAATGTGTTCCTGAAAAGATGATATTATTTAAGGGAATTATAATGTACAAAATTGTATCAATCTACATTCTAGAGCAGTGGTTCTTAAACTTGGGGCACATCCCCTTGAAAGGCACTGTGATATTTCAAGGGGGACACATGGAGTCAGTGAAGAAGACCGGTACGTACGGCCAACTAAACACAAAGCCATCAATGCAGCCTGTGTTTATGCAGAACTTCCATTATAATGTGTAGCAAGAAAGACATGCTTATAAGAAAGTAACTGTTTGCCATACAATTATATATCATTAGTATATAGAGAGGATACCTGTAGAAGTTATCTTTCTGTGATAGACAGGAAGAGAAAATAATAATACTGTAAGGGGGAAAAAGACATTTTATCACTGCACTGATGATGACAAGCAATACCTTAACATGTATAGAATTTGGGTTCATGTATGTATGGAATCACCTATTTTCTCAAGACACCTCACTATAACTATTGGATCACTATTCATGCCTTTAAGTTTCTTATTGCACAAAAACATACTGCTTTCAGTAGTGTACAATATACTGTAAAAATATTTAACTTCCATTACATTGAATGTATTACAATTAAATAAAAAAAAATAATATCCATCTTCTGTCCATCCACTTGTTCCAAGATTTATTTCTTATCATCTGACCTTCAGGTAAATTCTTAATCTAGCATTTCAACCAACCTTCAATCAATTCTTTATTAACATATTTACTTTTAAAGAAATTTTCCAAAAATTTTTCAGTGCAACAGATACAAATGACTTAAAGAGATCATAAAAAGATGAAACAACATGAAGGTTTGTTAAGCCTCACCTGGTTCTTCCTGTAACCTTGTTGAGCAAGTCTCAGAAGTCTATAACAAAGACGAAAAATACTTTTGTAAGCAGAGTGTCGAGGGTCATTGAGCTCATCAATCCGGAGAAGAGGACCATCTCCTCCCTGAGTCTCCGTGAAAGGTGCTTGAAGAATCTTAAATATCTATAAGACAAAATTTATACATGTAAATTAATATACACCCCATTAAAGATATAAATTCACATATGGAGTCTCACACCTAATATTTAAAATATATCCTGATTATTAAATACTGTGCTTTATATTGCCTCAGTCTGTAATATAAATACTGTACTAGATTTTCACTGATAACTGCCACTTACACTTGAGCACTTATTCCACTTACTGTATTTATAAGTCAAACAAGCTCTTTACAGCAAAGACTTACCTGCTTTAAGATACTCTGTTCTCTTAGGAGTTTCTGTCGGTCTCTGTTGGGATTGGAGATCTCCAGAGCTAGTGCTAATGGTTCACTCTTGTTTTGTTCATGCTCCTTCTCACCAGTAAAATATACAAGATCTAAGAGCAACTGCATTAGTGATCTGAAAAAAACAAGAGAATGAAACACGAACTCCCATTTCAAGACTTAGGCAAAGAGATAAATGACCCTCTGAGTTCCCACATTCATCTTTAATGGGAAAAATTTAGTTTCCCCTGGAGCTAACAACATATTCATACAGATATAATGTAGACACAAAAGGCTATTCACATTACCCACTTGATTTTCCCAACATAATTTGACCTCTGGATAATTTAGCCCTGAAGTTGTTGAATGAATTATGAGGTGTTCGAGTGTAGTTACAAATATCATGGTAATAATAATTCATACCTTCTCTCAGTCTGTGTGATACTTCCTTTTTCTAACTTCTTAGCATGTTTGGCCAAGACTTCACTGGCATCATTGGCAAAATCTAGATCTCTCACTTCTTTGGCATGAACTGGGACTAATGAGAAGGCCTCCTTGTCTTCTTTGATGGGGGCACAGCCAACCTGATATAAAAGTATTACTTCATTTACTATACATCATAATAATAATAAGCCAACCCAGGTATATTTAATTTCTCACTCAAAACACTTTACTCATGATATCCTCAACATAAAAATGAAGTTGTTGCTATATACCGAGACAAAACTGCTTTACAGCTATAGTCATATGTTTGCCATCACCCACCTTTGACATGACAGGTTTATCCTCCTCTTTGTCAATAGGTATGGAGGTAGAATGGACCCAGGTAGATGTACACAGATGTCGCAGTCTGACGTATGAATTCTGGGGGACCATGGAGTCACCCCGGATAAAAGTGGTTGGCTCAAGTTCAAAGATAGAAGCGATGTCATTGCTTAATGGAACTGAAACTAGCTGGTAGACTGGACCTCCATTAGGATCTGAAAGTAATCAGAAACAATTAGACAAATAATAATAATAATAATACCATAATACAAACAAGCCACTCAATTCAAAGGAACTTGTAAACTTAAAGAAGCAAAACACAAGACACACAAAACAAATAAAGAGAAAACAAGCTTTCACCACTGACTAATATACATCACTTACCCTATTGTTGTAAGTTAAGTAACTGTTGTAATAAATATGATAACTAAAAAAAAATTAATAGCTATTTATAATGTCAACTCCTTCGCTATTGACTCTCATACACAATCAATTACTTGATAATCCAAGATCAGTATGACAACAGTAGGAGGTTGGAGAAAATTTGTCAAGTTTTCCAATTTAAATGCATTAAAATCATACTTTCCAGGAGGAGTTAAAAGCCAGTGAAAATAATTTTACAAAGTAAGAGAGTAATCTTTCAAAATATCATAATAACCAAAGCACAATATTGAAAACCTTTACATCATGAATTACAAGAATTGTGACACTGTGCCATACTGTATATGGAGCCGGACACCATACTTATCATCATTTATGCGTAAAACATACAGTATATGTTTAGCTTGATTAGGAAACTAATTAATCGACAACTAATGTGTATAAAACAAAAGAAAGCAGTTTAATAACATCACACTATTTGTGGCAAATAACTAACATACAGTATACAGTATTCACAAAGCATTATGGTAATAAAACTGGTACTCACCAAGCTAACCAAACCAGCCTGACACTTCCATCAGACTCAAAGACTCGGGACAAGTCTTCAGTGTGACACAGTCTCTTACAATAACACAGACCACACTCTCTCTCTTCAGGAGAACAAGTGAAAACCACAAAAGTGGTTTCTACAATAATGTATCTCCTTTTCTATTTTATACCATTTTTAGAAAGTGTAAAAGCAACAGTTTTAAAAGCATTACAAGATACAGTCTATGGAGTCAATCCTCCTCATTAATAGCATGAAAGTGCATAGCTTATCAAAAGCTAACCATCTACCATGCACATAATAAAGGTTACTTTCTATGGTTCAGACATTGAAGCGATTGTGGCTGATGGATCACCAACATATAAATCAATATTATATACAGTAAATAAAGTGGAAGGTCATCATGATTTGGAATGTGATTAATTCCTAGTATAATTCTACTGTTACCATGACTGACCTTTAGTCTGCATTCATGACTAATATTTATAGCAAAGTTGCATAAAATGCAATTTCTGCAAATTGATTACAATATATCTAAACATTGGAAAATGAGTCATTTGTATGTACTATAGTGTAATATGTTAAACCTCGCATAAGATAATGCAAGCTACAGTGTCACTCTGACAAGTGATACCCACACCACAATCTTGTTAGGCGTGTACAGGTAAATGGTGCAAGCATTGATCAATGTTTTACAAGTAACAATACCTGAAGTTCCCCTCCAAAACCCAGTCTTTCTCCTCCGGCCGTCCGAACTCCCAGAGTCAACTGATAGTTGCTTCAAAATTTGCTCTAGAAAGGGATAATTTCGTAGGTTGGGAGAGCATTATAGCAAATGCTACTTACTTTCAGGGAAGCATTCACAACTAAAATCTACAAACTCAATCGTTCTACTGAGGTAACAAAAATTTGTAAAATAAATCGATATATATATATATATATATATATATATATATATATATATATATATATATATATATATATATATATATATATATATATATATATATATATATATATATATATATATATATATATATATAAAACAACATACAACACTGTAAAAATAAAATCACTGTCTCAGCTCATTTAGTGCAATGTGCTGCACACTAATCAACCTTTTTCCCACCTAAATCTATAGGGCAGCATGCAGTAAACATTGTGACTATAATGGTGAGTTGTGGCTTCTGAAGATGTGAAAAGTGTGTCATAAATACCATCATACTGGTAGAGGAAGGCAGCAAAATGTTGAAAGCCAAGTGATAACTATCAGAGTGCCATTTAAGGAGCTTGTGAGAAAGAGAGAATCACAGGAAGGTACATTACAGGTGTTACACAGTGAACAACTTCTAAATATGTGAGCTGATAAAATCAAAGGACTATACTACTGCATAAATTAAAGATGCAAAGTTATCCATACCTAAAACCACAGTTGGTTTTACAGACAACTGGACTGAGAAAGACCAAAAGGAAATAACAAGAATATGACTTAGATGTTTTGGCCTGTATTACAGTACTGTACTTGTACAGCACAGAGGTTATCCACAAGTAGGAAGACTCATTTAGGTAAAATGAATGTGGAAGGAATATGTGCAAATATAAGAAAATAATAATTTTACTACAGATTGAAAGGAATGAAAAAGAGTAATTAAAATTCCATCTATTCATACATCTATAAATATGATGCATTGTTCTCTCAGGTGCCACACCTTTACTTCAGCCACAACACTATAAGGAAACACTAAAAATAAGATATCATGGAGTAACTTGAGTCTTGACCGGAGTGTAATATTAAACACCCACATACTGTATAATATTACAAAAAGTAGATCAATAATCTCTGTAACAAGTTGTGTCATCCAGTAAAGGAGTTCTATACTACAAATGAAAACGTAAATAATCTTAATTGTATTATGTGCAGAAGAATAGCAGACAGTTCAGGATCAGTCAAGTGGAGATCTAATGAAAGAACTGGGGAAAATAAGAGTTTTTTTCAATCTGTAAAATAAAATAACTTTTGTTACATATGATCTTGTCGGTCAAACAGTACAGAGGGAGAGTAAAATTATCATCACCAGTGTTGTCAATGGCCTAATTTTCCTTTTAATAATTGCATATTTTTTTCCTCCCAACATCTATTTTCAAACCAGCAGTCATTAAAAATGGTAATATCCATATATTTTGAAGTGCCATCTTGGCACAATTAATATCATGATATATTATTCTATGTCAAAGGGTACACATTTTTTTTGGGGGGGCACTAACATTTCAACTATCTAGAAAGCTTCCTTACATACAAGAGCCGCCATCTTGGAAAAGGAGTAAATATGAGAGAGGAAATCAAGAGGGAGGAGCTTGCTAAGGAAACTTATTAGACAGGTTGGCCTGGATGATGTTCTAGAGTCTAAAAACTTTCTTCACCACAAGGCAGATGGTTCCCAGAACCAAGAACAGACACATCATTCTTTGTTTCGTAACTGATGTAATGGAAGGCGCTTCAAAGATTTACATCAAGTTTATCCCCCGTTTCAACACATCCCATCACCAACCTGCAGCACATCCATCAACCCTGTTCTCTCTGACCATCTGAACAATATTTCTTGCAATTCTACATCTCCTTTTTGTTTTGATGTTTCATGTTCTTTGTATACTATTCATCCCATAAATTGTTCAAAAGCACATCAATCCTGTTGCTTCTAACTTAATTTCTCCTCTTGTCTCCAGAGTCCATGCCTCACAAATGTACAAAAAGGTTGGCTCAAAATATATTGGTAGTGTAATCAGTGTAAAGGATGAATGTTGCCACCAATAAGTATAAGACTGTAAGAAGTTAACAAATACAGGGTAAGCTAAGTGTTGTCTAGAAACCTGTCAACCCTATTTTTTGACAGGTAAATCTGAAGAGCAACAGGAAATTTGTCCAGATAATGGGTCTAAATGTTCCAGATAAATTGAAAATGATATACAGTACTGTAGTTACATTCAACTAAATACTACAGCAAATAGTCTCCTCAGTACAAAATACCATTAACCAAACCTTCCCACAGTATGGAAGGCTGAAAGAGAAGGTGTCACCTCTTGCGCCAACCTTGACCCGTGCAGTACAGTATGCGTAAACTGGTCTTGACACAAAACTTCGTAAACTTTCCTATCATTGTTTATCCCCAATCTTTCATAATTTAGCCAAAAGTCAGCACTGACATTACTTCTTTACATATTAAGCATAAATATGGTGCTGTTAATATTGTTATGGAGAAGCCAAGAACTGGAAGGAATGCAGAAAAACCTGCTTCAGGATTTCTCAATAGTTGCAGTACTTTGTAAAAATGTTATTTAGTGAAAAGTTGTAGGAAGCATTAAGTATGATAGGCTTTTTAGCATTGCAGAATAACCTCAGAAAATCAGTACTGCTGGAGGCAAGAGCTCGCCAGATGTGTGAATTTTCTATTTTTTTAACATGGTCAACCTCCCTTTGCCCCTTCCACTACCTTACAACAATGAAGCATTTCATGCTGAAATTCCTAAAGTAGCTTGCAGTTCAGTTTAGAGATGCACATCCATTATGCAGAACTTCCTCACAGAAATCACATCCAGATTTTGTTAATACTGTACTATACCCAAGAGAAAATAATCCACTTTACCAGAACAGCATAAATGGTGGAAGCATGAAAATATGGTATGGTCCAGTGTGTGTGTGTGTGTGTGTGTGTGTGTGTGTGTGTGTGTGTGTGTGTGTGTGTGTGTGTGTGAAACATTTATTGTTAGAGAAAATGAGCCAACTAAACCTTGTGTAATCCATCTTAATAATCTGACAATATTTCAACATTAAGTTAAGTAGGGTTTACTTGATCTTGTGTTTCCTTTTATCAAAATACAGTATATGTGCAATCACATTGTTTACACAACAACATAATTTTTAGTTATGCTTACTAGTTTTTTACTCTCTACTACACTGTTCTGGCAAGGTCAATTGTGTTTTATAAATAACTATCATCATGTGTGTGATTTCTGAAGATGGATCTTCCTTAAAAGCTGTGCATTACTACTGTATAATAAACATTTAAACTTCCCAAAGCACAATGACCTACACAGATGTCTCAGCCAAGCATCAACAAATTTGTCAGCTTAAGTTAGCTTCTCAGTGTACCTACAATATTATTTTTTCTCACTTTATTCGACCTTTCATTACCTATTCAATTCACATACTTATAAGAAGAACAGTAACCTCTTATTCTAGCTTAATTTTTCTGATCATGATGTGATTGACTTACAGCTATGAAGGATGGTCTTACTGCTTCACTCATTTTTTAACTAAACCAGACCACTGTATAGAACTAAACCATATATATATAAACCTGCAATACATTAGTAAAAAAGAGCCACTACATTTCCAAAAAGGCAAAGGGAAACTTAACATATGATGCTAGTAACAAATTGCTAAACTAAAGTTTTAAAGTATGTAATCCAGCCACTGAGAACTATCTATCTACAGTCACACCTAAAGGACATTAACAAACTCCTAACCCTATGCTGAAATAATGGAGCCACACATCTACACAGGCAGTCCCCGAGTTACGAACGGGTTATGTTCCTGGACCCTGTTCTTAAGTTGGAACAGTGTTAATTCCATAGTTTAGGTTGGGTTAAATTACAACCCTGCCTAAACAAAACAACAATATTATTCCAAACATAACAAATAATAAATACTGTAAATAAAGTGATGTTAAACAAAATAGAATAATGAAAGCAATGTAAAAAATGGGAATTTAGTTACAGATTTTTGTGGTGACTATATTGGGATCCCGTTCGTAAGTGCGGTTGTCCGTAAGTCGGGGGTCCGTAACTCGGGGACTGCCTGTACAGTATACAGAAACATGATATTTGTCATACTTTATTATATTCATATCAGAGATGACAATATCTACTTAAAAAATTTATAAAAATTAAACTGAACTCGAGAGATATTGATGTTTTAATACAGAGGTGATCCATTAAAACACCAATGTCTCCTAAGTTCAGATGATGCAATGAACATATGTGAAAAGTTGCCTATGTTAACAACAATTGTCATAAATTTATTAGAGAAGCAACAGTTTATTAATTATAAATAAGAGTTCATTACATGGCCAAGGGGTTTGGTAATTCAGCACATGTACTACCCCCTGTAGTTGGTCTGACCACTACCAGTATAGTACTGAATAAACAACACAATAGCATTATGTTTTGGTACAATTTTCTGCTTCTGCTTCTGCTTCTGCTTCTTTGCCTGGCAGTGATGTGTAGATTATTTGTGAATTACTAATCATGTTTTTACTACAGTATAACTTTTATCATCACATGGACCAAACTTATTCTTCAGTCTTTCTGTAGTTTACTCATAGTTTTAGTTGTATTTCACCAACAGCTAAATTCATTATCCTTTAATATTTTCTCTCATTAGTATTTTGCCTGTTCTCTGAGATTTATGGATATCTGATTTCCATAATTCTGGGGTTCTAATGTATTATTATGCCTTAAACTGTGCAAGACCCAAACAATAATACCACCCTCATACAATAGTGTATAGAAGCAAACAAACACAAATTTTCAAGTACAAGAAAGTCAACTATTCCATAACATGTGTCCTAATAACAGCAAACTAAATATAGTAAAATAATGTAACCAAGATCAAACATCTACTCTATCTGAATTTCACTAATGAATCTATACGTGTTCCTGGACCTTTGACTGCATATGTATCTCTTCCCCGACATACCATTTATAAAAAGATACTACTGTACTGTTAATTATCTTCTTTTATCATCCTTTAGTAATATACCCAAACACTATAACTCAATTTATTAATAAGAAGAGCTACCTACCTCTTAGCTTTGCTCTGGTAGGATCATGTGTAGGGTCGTCATCAACTTCAGCAGCCAAGTAGTGACCGGTGGCAAGATGCTTGAAGCGAAACAGCGAATTCCAGTGGCCAGCTCCACCCCGAGATGGGTCGTGTTGGACCACCTTCTTGCAGGGGCAAGAAGACATCGAGGCAATTATTCAATATTACATAAACTATCCAAAATCTTTCTCTATTTATCTACATACGGTACTTATTTATCTATCTATCTACCTATCTATTCCTCTATCTATCCATCCCTACGCACTACACTCTACTGATCCAATCCAACACCTAAACAACTCACTTATAAAGTCATACCATCATATAAGTGGTCTACCTCTTACTTTACACAATCTTACCTATTAAATTATTCAACCTATGGTAAAATGTACCCACCTCCACCTCCCACAGTGCTTTGCTGGAGGTTGCAGCCGTGGCAGTGGTTCTTCCAGTTGTCCTGAGAAAAACATTTTGTTGTTTCTTGTATTCATCCATGGTAAGAAACTTCTCTTGCTCAGCATGAAACAGACGTATCACATCTCCTCCCTTCAATATTCCTTCCAGGTTTTCCTTGTGTTCCAGAAACAGTGATATCTTCCAGCATGTATTTGAACTTAAGACATTGACCTGCAAAACAAAATATTTACAATTAAAATCATATGAAATAAAGACATAATTTGTTATAGAACTTCTGATGTTGAATCATGAAACAATTATAACCGTCGAGAAGTGAAATACAATAAGTGCATTATATCTACAGTGACAACTTGAAATAATGTATTGATCTTGAAATCCCATATCATGGCTGAGCCTTAAACTAGTGACTCACACATAACCAACAAAGTCTAGGGGTTTAATACCCAGGAACCCTCAACATTAGTGGCTGGAACAAATTCTTTAATTACTGTACTCCATACCCTTCCAACACACTCAGAAATCAATAAATAAACCAGAAGATATGACAATCACTAATTAAAGTTGAAGGCAATGGAACTAATTGTTGCACTACCCTATGCACCCTTTGGCCATCACTTAGTTTTGGTTATGTCATATTTATAGTCAATCCCCAGTTCCAGTTCACCTCAGTGTTATCCATTTATTCCCCCATCCATCGCTTGCTAAACACACTTCAATCACATACATCTAGTTCTCTTAAGCATACATCTATCATATCTAGCTACTGTTATTGAATACAGTACATATAATACATGTATCCCCTGCTATCAAGGAATACAACTATCCCATCACCCATTTCCTAACAATATCAGTAATGAGTCGTGTACAGTAGGTTCCTCTGCACCCTCCAGCACTTGCCTCTTTACATCCAGGGTGATCGCGCAGGTCGTGCATGCTCGACACGTGAAGCTGCTGCCCAGCATTCACGGGGCTCAAGATGACTTTGTCGCCCACCACCACAGTGTCGCCAGGGTTACGCAGCTTGTAATAGGGATTGATGTAAAACCATGAACCCTCATTGCCATTAGCATCCAGGTATACCCGCATGGCATTCTTCTCCAGTAGTGCCGGGAGTCGTTTGTTTACTGTCAGGTACTTGTTGGACTTGAGATGTAGTAACTGTCAATGGTAATAACAACAATAAATAGCATAATAGAAATGATTATCCTCAATAAAAAATATTTAACACTGAAAATAGCTGTATATACTGTATCCTGCTCAGAAGAGGTGCCAAGAGATAGTGGGTCCTGCCTTTATCAAAGTTACCATCTTAATTATTGAATCGTGTCTCCACAAAACAGAACACTTCAAAGGAGCATCATAGTTAATATACAGTATACCTATGTATATATATATATATACTGTAGTTTTCTCCAACCTCAAGCTATGATGCCAACATAGTTACACTGATAAAATGATATATTGTACCAGACTATATTATAATGCATATAACAACTACCCCGGTACATATTAACAAACATGTTATTCAACGTTATATTACCTACTTCGTTATACTATACTGGATAGATTTAACAAGGTCACAACACTATTATCTGGGTGGTGTAGTAAGGTAGGGTAAGACACAACACTCACCTGGATGGTAATGCCATAGTTAATAGCAGTGCCCATAAGTTTTTTGCTCTCGGCTTCATTCTGCTTCTTCTCTGTCTCCGCCGCGTGCTGGAGGTAAACACAAGCAAACATTCACGTACGAGGGAAAATTAATTCAAAAGTAAAACATCATCAATTACCCACTTGAATAAATAACACACACTCAAATAATATACACAACTTTATCAAAGCAGTTAAACAAAATATATAATAAATAAATACAAAATAATAATAACCACACCTATTTTACATTTTGAAACATCTTTTTTTTTCTGGTTTTCAGATACAATAACAAGCGTGTTAACAGAAACACGTACGTAATAACCCCGTCTGTCAAATGTGACCTTTTCGTCTCTAGGTTTGGCCTTTGGCTTTGACGAGTAGATCTGAATTTGGCGTTTGTGCGCTTCACTCATCTGTTGACATTATACTGTACTCAGGTTACGGTTCATCATACTGCATGCGGAATTTAGGCACATACATACATACATACATACATACATACATACATACATACATACATACATACATACATACATACATACATACATACATACATACATATAACCTACATACCCACCCACATACCTACCTACCTACCTATCCAGCCACACACCTCACCTTATCTTAAATAAACTAACCTATCCTAAACCTAAATTAACCCTAGAGTATCATTACGGTGGTTAGTCATCAGGTGAAATAAGCTTGGGCGTTAATTATCTATCGGGTGTTACACTTAATCTCCCCCATTTAATAAGATAAAATTAAAATCATCGCATCCATCAAATTTATCAGTGAATCCACAGCCCTTAGGATAATACGCAGTTATATAAACGTTTTACTGTATCCATTGAGTGGGAATTTGTTCATTTACAGCTACATGGTTTTAATTATTCCTTTTATAATGTTCATTGTGTGTGTTAATTAAATTTCATATAAAAATAGAAATATCAAATAACAATTACAAAAAGGTGTAATAATAATAATAATAATAATAATAATAATAATAATAATAATAATACCAGTTCAAATAAGTCAAATATCCCTAAACTGACAGTACAATAAATAATACAGTAAAGTTAAGGAAAATTCCACCCCCAAAAATATGGCCGTCAAATCACAGCAGCATCAACCGAAACATTCTTAAACGATAGGACCCCGAACTCTTGAGAATAATGTGTCAATCCTTTCTAAAGTTACCGAGTTCACAGGTAAAAGATAAGCTGTGGGCGGGCTGGCGCTGTGAGGGTAACTAATAAGACCAATACAAAGTGACAAAACAACAAATCTTATCCCCCGTTCGTCGCGTCACACAAAAACGGGAACTTAATAATAATACCTAATAAATAGCACCTTGATAATAAGAAGCTCTCGTAATATTAAACAAAATATCTTGCATAAATTAAGCTACGTTCTGAGTCAGGTGCGCCAAGAAAGAATTAATTAATCACATATAATAAAGGACTTCACTACATCTTCAAATATAATACGTAGTGTAAGTATGTGTACTTTTTTATGTGTGTGTGTAGAATTGTGTGTGTAGAAGCGTGGAGAAAACTACATTACTTCACCTACAGTAAACACTAACATTTCCTCCCTAAAGAAGACCTGGAAATTGACTTGTTCCACCTCAAAGAGCAACAAAAGGATGAAAAACTCAGAAGAGATCGTGTCGATAAGGCGAGACGCGGAGGAGGGAAGAAAGAATATAAATAAATACTGTAAACTGTATATAATATTTACAGAACACGTAAGAAACCTGTCTATGTTTATGATACACCATATAACCAGGTTGAGTTACAAGTTACGCACTATACCGCCATAAGTATTCGCGTAAAACATCACTAAACATAAACGTAACAGAAGCATCACCAAACTACATAAACAGTTGGATTTAGCTTATATTGAAGACCAAGTTTTACAGTTAATTCGAAACTTTTCAAACTGAAGAAACATAAGCAGTTCGTCAGCCTCGGTGTTATTTATATACAGTCTATACACAAATAAATATACTGTATATAAATACACATGGAAGATTAAAACGGACACTCCAATCACCCAGCGTGAACGTGGCTCAATATTCACACGTCACTCAGCCAATGGTCGCTGCCGCCAGGTGACACACTGTCAACACTCAGACCCCAACATTTTGTGCAGTCACAGATGGTAAGACCAATAAGCCCCGTTGTGTTGGCTCATTACAGGAGCATCACGGGGCCAAGCAGGACAGAGGTTGTCGAGGCTGTCTCACAAACGTCAGACAGGATTAAAAATAAGTAAAATAAGCATAATGCTCACTTAACAAGCAGCGTTGGGGCAAAAGTTTCATCGCTAAATTGGTGAAACAGTTTACAAGACGGGCCCGGGAGACAAATTAGACGGACAAGATTTGTTTTTCTCGACGGGCTAAGTGAGACCTAATGAGGTGCGAGGGCTAATGAGGTCATTGTGGGGGGGAGGGGGAAGGGTAGAGGGTTGGAGGGGTGAGGGCTGGGGGGGACAGACACATTGATCCGTAGGGCAGGCAACCAGCCAGGCGAGATGCACCCGTCATCTTAGTGAGAGGTGGGAGGAAAGGGAGGTAGGGGGGGGTGACATTGTCCCTCGTGATGCACCCATCCCCCCACCCACGATCTGCCCTCACCTGTCACCCCAACCCAGCTCAATCCATCCACACCTCCCACTCCCCACTGACCCATTCTCACCTACTGCCACACACACACACACACACACACACACACACACACACACACACACACACACACACACACAATACTGACACCGAAATTGAGGTCGCCATTGATAAGCGTTGACTGGCCAAAGATCACATTACCTTGAATATATTAATGCCCTGACTCTTGACTGTACGTTTCGAACCATAAGTCGACATTTCAAGCACCTCACACACACACACAAACACACACACACACACACACACACACACACACACACACACACACACACACACACACACACACACACGACCTCTAAGGCTCTTCTTCTTCTCTCTCTCGGCCCTCTTTCCCTGCCATCACTCTTTCTCCTTCTCCTCCTCCTTTCCCTTTTCTCCTTCCTTGCTCCTCCTTCAGTCTTTCCCCCTCCTCCTCCACCCTCCCCTCCAAGGCTCACCTAGTTAACATTCCCCTCTTTAAGTCGGCTGTTGACATGCTGGCATAAATGTGAGAGGATGAGAGTGTGAGGGCAAGATAATGCTGTGTGTGTGTGTGTGTGTGTGTGTGTGTGTGTGAGAGAGAGAGAGAGGTGCTTGGAAATGTCGACTTATGGTTCAGAAACCTTCAGTTACAGTGATGTAAGGCTTAGCAACCAAATGGACCTTTGACCAGACCCAGTGACCCAGGAAATCGATATGGGTCTCTTCTCGTGTTACGGTTATGAAATACAAATGTAAACAGAGACAGACAGCCATATCACCATACGCTCAACTTGTCATCAGGTGTTAATAAAAAACAGAGGCAAGAGAGAGAGAGAGAGAGAGAGAGAGAGAGAGGAGAGAGAGAGAGAGAGAGAGAGAGAGAGACCCAACCTACAATTACGCACCAAAAAAAAACCATAATTCTAATTTATTGACAAAAAAAAAAAACTCCGGCAATATAAAAATAAAAAAATAAATCCGTTCTGACAAAAAATAAATAAATAAATAAAAAATTGCCATGTTAAAGAGTCTAAAAAAGGCGGGACAAATTCATTACCGTGGAGGGGAAAAAACAACAACAAAAAACCCTCGGTGAAAATAAAAACCTTGTATTATGTGGTGTGGCTTTACAATGGTTTAAATTCACCGTGTGTGGTTTTTTTTTGTTTTTTTTACACGGTGGTTTACTGAGTATAAGAGGATTAAGCAATTGGGTCGGCAGAGGGAGGGAAAGGAGAGAGGGAGGGAAAGGAGGGAAGATGTGGGAGAGAAGAAGAAAGGGAAGGGAAAGAATAAGAGAGAGAGAGAGAGAGATATATATATATATAATCCACCCCAGAAAAGAGATTTGTGGACGGATTTGACGGGATTATAGAACGGACACACACACACACACACACACACACACACACACACACACACACACACACACACACACACACACACACACACACACACACACACACACACCTCCAGCTGCCACTAACACCTGCTACCCGTTAACACCCGATAATAAATCAAAATAAACTGCCGGGAAGATTTGGCCCAGATTGGCGCTGCACCATTAAGTGATTTACCCTAAATTGATCGGGGGAAAAAGAAATACCGTATATCTATGACACCTTACCCGGCCTACACCACATTGACACCTGCATTAATGTACCTTTAAAATGTCAGGTTAGGGGATAGTGGGGGGGGGGGTGGGAATAAGGTAGGGATGGGACCTTATGATTGCTAAGTACATAAAGAGAGTGACTTAACGAGGTCGAAAGGGATGGACTGAAATACCTCGTTAAAAAGAGACAAATTGCACCCCAGTATTTATATTTATGTGTTTTTTTTTTATTTCGCGTCAGGTAGTTGAAGTCTTAACTTAAATCTCTCGAGTACGATCATTTTAACCCCTGGAGTACGATCATTTAAAGCCCTTGAATACTATGGCATAACCCCTTTCAAGTCATCATGTTCAAGGGGTTAAACCATCGTCGTCAAAGGGTTACACCATCATCGTCAAAGGGTTAAACCATCGTCGTCAAAGGGTCAAACCATCGTCGTCAAAGGGTTAAACCATCGTCGTCAAAGGGTTAAGCCATCGTCGTCAAAGGGTTAAGCCATCGTCGTCAAAGGGTTAAACCATCGTCGTCAGCGGTTAAGCCATCGTCGTCGCGGGTTACACCATCGTCGTCAAGGTTAAACCATCGTCGTCAAGGGTTAAACCATCGTCGTCAAGGTTAAACCATCGTCGTCAAGGGTTAAACCATCGTCGTCAGCGTTAAACCATCGTCGTCAAAGGTTGCTATCCGTCAGGGTTGCCATCGTCGTCGGTAAACCATCGTCGTCAGGGTTAAACCATCGTCGTCAGAGGTTAGCCAGTCGTCGTGCTGGCTTCATCGTCGTCAGCGGTTAAACCATCGTC